AGAAATTATTTTCAACGCTATAGCCCTGCAAGGTTAAACAACTTTCCAGTGCAAAGTTGCATTTTTCAGTCTTGCTACGGGTATCCAGGTAGCTCCTCCAGGAACGAAAATATACATTTTCAAATTCAAACTGTCGTAGAAACGGCAAACATTTTCTGTTAGAAATTATTTTAGCTCTGTGTAAAGCCGAGAGATTGATTCCCAAAGCCATATACGACAATCCTATTTTTTCTCCTCAATGTGGTCCGTTTCGGACGTTACTCATTAAAATATCCCCGATTAAGCTGCTTAGTTAGAAAACTACACGTAAACGGCTCTTGAATGTTTCTAGGTTAATTCTGCATCGAATGAATATGTGTGTAATGAAATTTCCGTGTTATCTTTCAGTGCCGTTCTTTAGTTTGATAGGGGCGATCAGAATCGATCCTACAACCCATTGTTATAGTTACATATTATAGGGAAATTAAAATCACGGTATTCCTCCATGTGATAGCTACATGATCTCGGGGGAAGGTCTCGGAACAAGCTGCAGTCTCCCTGTGGTAGCTATGTATTTCTGGGGAGTCAATGAGAAAGAATTAACAGTATTTTTACTTCCTGACAAATGGAGACACATCTCAAGAGTGACCTCCCATGTAGGAACGCTAGAGTGAAACTTTTTTTTTTTTATTTTTTTTTTTAATAGATTACTTCATTGTTTATTGTGTAATCAGTTTCTAATTTTTCTAATTACATTAATATGTACTTGGTTTTTAATTGAAACCCAGATACAGAGTAAATAATACAGGTAATATCATAATATAATTATGTTTTAGAAACATCATCGACATAATCGATGTTATTTGGTATATAATGCTGTTTTAACCTGAACTCACAGAAATGGTACCAAACACTGAAGTTTAATCAAAGCTCTCGTAACATTGGCATTAGGTTGAGAAGTTTACCAACACAACAGTTTTAACTTCAGTTGCTTTCTTTGAAAGTTACTTCTAATTGGGGAATCGTTCATGGTATAATTGTGTATGCTACCGCTGATAGGATGCTGCTAGCTGTGTTCTGATTGGCGGTTCCCACACTGAAGGTTGATATGGTTATCACGGTATAACCTTCAAATTCAGAAACCTCATACATACGCCACCATCGCGGTAGCAGGCTTCCTGATACATTGTAACAAGATAACTGCTGCAGCTTCAAAGGATATTGCATGTATACGTGACAAACAATAGTTAGACCTAATGACAAACTCGGCTTCAATTCCGTTGTTGTTTATACTTTATAAGGGTCATATTGAAAGTATATGTAAAAAGCTTGTAAACATTTGGGTATCCTCCGTAAATTAAAATATAATCGTAACCGATTAACACTACATAAAGTTACAACTGGAGGCTGGACGTATTGTCACTGGTTTACCTTCCTACACTAGCACACAAGCTATACTTTCCGAAACAGGATAGGAATCTTTATCTCAGCGGAGATCCCGTCGAAAACTATTCTATAAGATTCATAACAACCTTTAGCTTACTCCTAATTATCTCAACACTCTAATCCCTCCTGATGTATCAGAACATCTCCCAACACAATTCAAGAAACTCTTACCTTTATAATCTCCCAAACAATAGACTTGAGTCATCTAACATGTCCTTCCATTCTAGAATAAGACTTTAATACCCTTTGTGTAATGTTTTAATTTGGGACATAAAAGAACAATGTCTGTCTGTCTGTCTGTCTGTCCTTTCCAGTACCACCTACTAACCCCTGGTATTATATAAATATCACATTCATGAGAGGGCGATATTGCATATTTTCACCCCTCGGAAAGCATTGTTGACCTCGGCGAACCATGAATGTGATTTTTTTTTTTATTTTATTATACCGAGTGTCATGTTTAGGTGTTTCACCACTTCTCCGTTTTTAAAAGTCGACAAACGTTTCAGAAAAGTTTTCACTGGGATGAACCAGGGGCGCAAACATTCGGCGCATGTAACAATTTTTGGAATACCACCCTGGCACTTGGACGAACCGTGCACGCATACGTTTGGCGCATGTGATATTTTTTGGAATGTCACCCTGTCTTCTTTATCTTTGTAAAACGAGCAAGTAACATTGAAAATGTTCACATCTTTCTCAACCAATCAGATTACGAGATTTTAACAGAAGGTATAATAAAATGATTTATGACACGGAATACTTGTAACAGTATAACAATCGAGGTATCGGCGTCATGATGCTATTCATTGATATAATAATAACAAGGCATTAGGAAATCAGTTTTCTACAACTTATACGAGTCCTCACTGTAATATAATGAAATGTAAAACGTGTACAGTAACAAATAACATTTTATTCGCGAGTTTTATATATGTATCAATTGGAGAGTATGTGACTGGCAAGCTTTCAAGTCCAGTCCGGTACAAATACTAAATGCACAAACAAACCAAATTTAGTAATACATGTACACCCTGAAACAACTACAAAATGTACATGCAATGACTTAAAAAACTCACTCTGCTATTGATGTCATGGTGTCTCCTTCCGATACATACAGTGACTAAATCGTCGGGAGTATGCCCTACTAACGACACATAGTTGAAAACCAGGCCTTAAACGATGACTCAAATGCAATTATCAAAGTTTGTCTTTTTTTATATGTGTACATAAAAAAGCAATAAAGTTGATAGGTATGTACGATCATATTGATTATTGTGGCAATAATTAGCAAAGGATTACCAGAAACATCCTGTTCAGTTTTCCATTTTCCATCTTTTATAGTTGTTTTTCTATTTTTATGGTCATGTAGTAAAATCAATTCTAATTGCTAAAGTGGTTTTATTCAAACCGTGATACAAGCAGCCGTAAGAGTGATGCAATGCTATTCGGTATGACAAAGATGGGTTGACGGTGGGGCTCGGGAAGGCTACATAGTAGAAATTTTCTTCGAGCGGATAGACGCACATTCAATCAAGTACTTAATCTTTACTGTCGAGGGGAGTAAGAGAATGACTTTTATCTGAGGCTGTTAAAAAATTAAATGCTGGTGTTTATGGTTCGGAAAAATCGAGTTAAAAAATGATGATGATAAAAAAACAAATCCATATTCCTTCTTTATCAGAAAAGGGGTAATGTTGGTTGGTTATCTCCCCACTTCTCCGCATACAATTTGATTCATCTTGTGATACTTTTTACATGTAAATCAATAATATCATTTTGAACAACTCTGTCGAGTCAAAGTACTGTGTTGGTATCAATTATTGTATGAAATAAATTAACTGAAATGAAATACTGCCATGTCATTCTATAGCGATGTCATCACCGTAACGGTGGCATTCACTGTAACAAAGACGTCGTGATCGTACTGACGGTGTCATCACCAGTAATCCGTGACGGCTACTGTGCACGTGCTTGTGTTGACATTTTGTTGCCGCATTACAGAGGTGTGGCTGCCATACAAGCAACTGCATGCACGTATAGAAGCATGTCTCTTCTCATTCTGATTTGTCTATTTGTTACATATGATATTTAATAAACCGATTTTGACTTGGAGTGCGTAATTTTTGTTGAAGGACTGTGTGTTTCTAAAAATAGAATTATGACTTGTCTCAAAACGAACGCTTCGTCCCACTTCCGTACCTTTTTGTTGTGTTTTTTTTCAGATTGCTTACATTACTGTTTTTAAAAATAATAAAACAAGTGTAGCCTTTAACTTCGGTCGAAATATATTGATCTCGGACTGCGTCCTCGGTTAATATATCTTTTCTCGGGTTGACAAATCCAGGTATCGACCTCAGTCAAAGGCTATAATTGTATACTTTTTTCTCTCTCTCTCTCTCCCAAATCAGAGGTTGTACATGAACTGTATAAATGGTATTTGTTTCGCATAATATTTGCTATACAGTTCAAACGCTGACTGAGCAAAACCACGCAATATCTTAATTTCGAACAATCAGAGACCGCTGTGGCCAAAAAAATCCATACCAATTGCAATCTACGCATGGAAAAAAAACATAAACAAAAATCGTGGTATAAAAATAAGTCTCCCAAACTTTATCTTAGCTACATATATGTTCATCTGAATTGTCGAGTCCATAGTGATATATAATCTGGCTCCAACTTCTCGTCCATTCAGAAACAAATGATTTCTTGACTACACATTTGAAATAGTTACAATTTCTTAATTGTCATTTTTTTAGTCCTTGTGTCTTTATAGGTTTTAATATAACAAATGACGCACAACGCTTGGTGCACAGCTGATATACGTCTGGATAAAGCTATTTCCATGGCTTTGTATCTTCAGAGTCATATGTTTGTAAGAGACTTTTGTTGACAAATGTTTATGACCGGGATGATTTGTAAGGGTAATGATTTTGATATAAGTTTACCACTAACACAAATACATAAATAGAAAACTAAATACTGTTAATTGAACACGTATCGGAGGACCACACATAAGTTTTTCATTCATCTAAATATTAACCCTTTCACCCCTAGGTAACTTTAGTGGACTCTTAAACTTCCATGCATTTATTGGGATGATCTCCATATTATAGTCTACAGAGTACAGTGGTGAAAGCTTAAGGGTTAAGCATTAATTAAGATAAACGAATTTAATTTTTAATCGGTTCATCATAAAGATATAATTAATTCCACGGTGATAAGGAGAATACGAAGTACTCAACTGTTCCCGTGAAGGTCAGTCAGCATCTTATAGGAAATCAAACAATGGATCAAACCTCTCTTTTTTTCTCCAATAAAATAGAAAATAATTGAAAGTGAAAACAAAAAAACGGTAGCATCTCTAAATACAGACATTTTAATATATAACTTGAGAAGTGTGATATTTTTGTAATCGAAATGAAGTATATTTAAAGTTCTTGTTTTATTAGTGTAAAGTTGTTTTTTAATTCATAATCAACAATTCCCGGTTTAGATGCAAGGATAACGCGGTTATCTCCCCCTTATATATATTTCGTTCAGCGTAGCTTAGACGCTTTGTTGAAATGGCGTTCAATAAAGGACAGAACTGATCCCGATTTCAGAACATAAACAAGTATGGCGGAGTTCAAAAAAGTTCGAGCTAAGACAATTAGAAAACGTCGACATTCATCAAGTGGCGACGACGATTCTAACAACGAAGATGATGTCGGGTAAATATGTCCATGTGTCGATAGACTACAAATAGGAAGAATGATATAACATCTAGATAAAGTACCCAGCTAAGTGTAGTGATATCCAATATTAGTACCCCCTCCGCTGTTTCTCCACATTCACATACATGTACACGCATAGACAGTCACACACAAGATCCTTCATGCATGACTATCCGAGTATTCAACTTACTGATATTAAATAGTAAATGATATCACTTCTATCTCTGTAAAGTCTTGTCAACATGTCAAGGTATGGGTTGTTAATGGGGTTTAATTCAATTTCGTCACAGACAGATCCTCCAAATAACATAAATGTGTATACATAATACAGCTGGGTTATTGAAATGTACTAGTTATTGTAGTCCACTTAAACTAGCTTCCCACTTGCACTTGGTTGGTTTCAAAACAAGTCCTTTGTCACAAACCAAAATGATATTAATAACTGAACAATTACAGATGTAATTGATGTATTATGTATGTTGTTTTTTCTGGGGTTAAATGCTGGGGTATCAACACCTGGCCTATCATCATACAATCTTCATCACGCATGTGCAGACTAACTTCCTTATGCGAGAACAGTATAGCAACGAGGGAGTAATAGCACGAAACCAAGACGACGTGAAACAAGAATATGACGGTGTTGACTTTAGATGAGGCAGCGAGAAAATGATATTTATAATGTGGCCCGAACCGGCAACCATAAATATCAGTCTGTGCTGCTTTCAGTAAATGATATTGTTCCTTGATATTCCTTTCTAAATATTGCAGGTTAAAAATGCAAGATTTAAAGGAGATACAGAAGATGAGAACAAGGCCTAATGGTGTGAGCGCAGAAACACTGTTAGTGGGAAAGGAACTCGCCACCAAACAAACCCCTAAAGATGTAGGTGACATTATCTAAAGCTTTCAGAAATTTACATCTGTCACATTGTCTTATCAAGTTTGTCTTTCAACAAATTCATTTCTAGTGTGTTGGCAACTCATTTTTCTGCAGCCTCTAAGAATGATTTCAAAATCATTTCAAAGTCTTGATCACCACTGAAGGATGATCCTTTGCTGTATTTTTACAAAAATACTGACTTCAAGTGAAAACTTCAGATTCAAAAGCCTGATTATTACTTTGAAGTTTTTTTTTATATATATTTTAGACCATTTAACCAGAATTCTTGCAATCGTCTACAATGTACACCTACATAGTAATGTGGTAGTAATTCACATCTCATATGTGTGAAGTGCATTTGCTTGATTGACTGATTTCAGGAGACCATTTATCTGAATTTTATGTATACACATTTGTGTTATTTGGAGCATCTTTCTGTGAATAATGTGTAAGTTGTATACGTATAGTTGATAATATTTGCAGGTATTTAATTTCGCTATACATCTGTATTCCCAGTTACCGAATATATATAGCATGAAAATAAATACCAAGTGATTATTAATACCATGATTTACAATCTTCTTTATCATATTTTACTTTATTTTGATAAAACATGTTAAGAATAAATTCCATATATGGATTGAACGGTGTTTTTTAAAATTTTCATGCTGGTATGAACGCAAATCGGTTACAACTGATTTGCGTTCATACCGACATGAAAATTAAAAAATGCCCTTCAATCCATATTTTTACATTTTTACTATAGAACAATTGTTTAGTTTTATCTATTTGTTCTTAAATAATTTATTTATTTACTGCGTTTTATTTATGGGCCGTCCTTTCAACGACATTGGCGGAACCCTTTCACCACTGTAAACCATAATGGACTCATCCATATCAATGCATGGTAGAGAGTCTACTAAAGTTACATAGGGGTGAAAGGGTTAAATTAAATTGACGCCAATAATTAATTGTAGTCATTTAAGGTGGCTCGACACATCGTCATCAGCGTCCATTTTCGTGACGTACTTCTGGAAAAAGTACAGCTCGGACTCAATTATCTTGATCGAAATGTGCATGTACACCGTGTCGTCATTTCCGTTTTGCGTATCGGGTATTCAATATCGTAGTGCAAATAATAATAACACCTGGGCCGTTTGCGTTTAAACGGTCAAACCGATCGGACCACTGTTGTTCGTTTATTAAATAAGGTAGGACCTAGCTATCTGATGCTGCTTTCGGGCGAGCATTGAGAAAGCCTTGCAAGTCTTGCATACACATTTGTAGGTCCGCCAGGATTTATACCCGGAATTGTTACATTTATAAACGGTCAAACCGGTTGTTCCGCATAAACGAACAGGCCCCTGGTAAACAATAGTACACGTGCGTGCCGATGATATGTCAACACCCGATATCGAGATTTTACCGGGAAATGTATAATCACACGTACTTCAGGAATAAAGCTTTCCAATTCATTGACATAAACAGACTCACGGGAAGACAGTGACATGAGACCAGACGACCTCAAGAAGGTCATATAGGAAACACATGGAATGCGGACGTACCAACCTCATATGTGCATATCACGTGCTTACACGAGTTCATAAGCTGAGGGAGTTTCGCTCTGTCGATTAAATCGTGTTTACAAATGTAGTCTACTTACTCTGTGAAAATAATGTTTTGTAAAATATCAAGATACCTATGAAATGCATGTGTGAGGGCACGTGAGAACGGCATACCATGCGATAGCCTCTGGTCACATATGTACCTGACATGTAATTATAAATATACCGTGAGTTAGCGGACTGTGGAATGATGTCCAAAGTGTACATGACTGAGGGTAATTTGGTTCCATTAAAGAACAATAAATTGATAATTTTGATATCATATTTTTGATTTATTTCCATCATTTGTTATATGTAAACAGAGACAACTGTCATTGTGTAAATGTCATCCCTCTGCAAAAAGTTCCGATTTTTTTCAAGGAAGATAACTCTCACCCGGATCAAAGTGATTGTAAAATGTAAAATAAATTAATTATAAAGCCATTGTGTATATTTTGTTCAATTTCCCACTCTATATGTATAGATCTGTGTGTCCTGTTTGCTTTTAGCTTGTAGATAATCACTTTTATCCGTTCAAATTCAATAAAAAACACTTTGTGTAACATGTGTTACATATTTTGCGATAAATAAAATATTTGTAGGATTAATTATAAATGCTTCTTTTCATTTTTTTATTGTTTTTATTGTTCCGAACAATGCCACACACAAAAAAAACCGGAAAATATTAAAAGTGGCGAAAATTCAATTTTTTGGTATTTTTTCCAAAAAATTCCTCAAACTATCGGAATGTTTAGATTTTCATAAAATTACCTCTACATAGTTGCATAACCATTATATGAAAGTTTCAACGAATTTTGCTGGTTAATTGCGAAAGTGTGGAGCCACCTTAAGTGTTTGACCTAGGGGCATTCTCCATGTTATCCGAAGCGAAGTGACAAGACTCTCTATTGAACAAGGTTAATCCATGATGTCAAAAGTAAATCACATGTTTACATCTGGAGAGGTTTTGCTTTCATACTCAAATGAAATTCATTTCTGCTGGTAATTAATGTTCATATAATTGGTTGCAGTGCAAAATGTACATATAAGATAAACACCAAGTACCATCGCAACTGCAATATTTTTTCCTGGCAATGTTGCACCAAATTTAATCCCTGCGAAGTAATTCTGATTGGGTACAACCCCAAAATTGAAGCCTCAAGTAATTTAAAAACAACTATATACATTATCCAGCATTGTGTACGTCACAAGTGTTATATCTGTGTTTATTGTTGAGGTTCAGCCCTCCTAGGATCTTTGTGTACAATGTTCGTTAGGTTTAACCTATTATGTGCTTATACCTTAACCCTTTCGCCACTGTAGACCATAATGGACCCCTCCATATGAATGCATGGTAGAGTCTACTAAAGTTACATAGGAGTGAAAGGGTTAACTTAGATACTGGATGTACTTTTGATGGCTATGACAATGTTATTTGTCTGTAAACTATGTTTATCTGGGAAAACACCTGTATCATGATATCTTTTGATTGGTACTTGCAATTGCATTTTTTGTTTCCTGTTATTTTGATTGTGTTTTATTATAATATTGTTAATCATTCTTATCTTTTTCCTGTTACAGAATGACCCATACAAAATGGCTACTGGAGGATTTGTAGATATGAAGGCTTTAAAATATAAGTAAGTCTGAGAGGATGACACATGGTTTTACTGCTAAATGTTCAAACATAGATCTACACCAATAAACATGTATATATTATTGTAGTCATTACATTTTAAACTGCGAAATGAAAAGATTCACGGTTAAAATAAAGTGATTTTTTTCTAGCGTGAAAAGTAAGTTTTCAGAAATTTCACAGTAAACTGACTTCTCAGAGCTGTTCACTTGAAAATGTTGGCAATAATTATAATTAAAAAGAACATATCTCATTGATTTAGATTGTGGCACCCTTAATGAATCCCTCAACACAAAGTCATTTGATGCCCCTTTGACAAAATGTTTTGACACATCAGTACATGCTATAATCAGCTAGTGTCCTTGGCAAATGTAATACATTTCTGTAAAAGGAATTTCTTTGATAAATCCTGAAATGAATGCTTAACATATTTTTCAGTTAGGTTTATTAAAGTTTTCCATGGAATATAAGTATATTCATCAAGAAGAAAGGTCAAGTATCCTCTGTATCAATATGTTAGCTAGGCGGTAACTTTTTATTTTAAAAAAAGGACAGATTTTTTGAAAGTATCAGAACCTTATATAATATTCTCCCCCCTTCTCCCACAAAAAAGAAAGAAATTCTGACATATCATGATCATTTGTTTACATATGTTTGATAAATCTAGCATGTAACAGCCCTTCAGAACAATAAGGTAAGACAGGGCCTCTCAGTAGCAAACATTTGTAATTCAAATAATAGGTGACCACATGAGACAAAAAGAAAAATAATTGTAAGAAAAGAAAACATATACTAGTACCATATTAGATTAAGTATAAGCAGCATGAGTTATTAAACTTCATATGAATTGAATAGATGGGAAAGAGAATCTGTTCCATTCTTTAACACTTCAGTTCTCTCCTCTTAAAGAATTTGATAAATTAATTACTTCTTTGTACAGTGTTAATAATGTTCCCGTATTTTTCTTACAGACCAGTACAAGTGGAAGATAGTGAATCTATAGGTACTGCGTTCGCTGCTGAAACGAACCGACGAGACGAAGACACAGAGATGTTAGTGTTCATTTCTTGAAATTTTGTTACTTGATGATATTCATTTGTTTGGTATAACTAATTAATGCTAAGTTTGCTATGAACACAAACAGTTTTAACATCCACAAAGGGACAGAATAGGTAAATATATTACCCATCCCTCTGACTGCCTGTAGTATTAGAGTGCTTTTTGGCGAAATATCTCGATATTTTCTGACAGCTGACGTTACTGATTTGGCACATTGTCGCTAAGTGAGTTGTTTTCAGCAACTTGGAGTCGAGACACCGATCATTTGCACTCTTTTTGCTTGACAAAGGAAACAGACGTTTTCGAAAGCTTGCAAAGTAAGTTTTCAATTACTGTTTGTGTTCAAAACAACCTTAACATTGCTCCCTTGATGATATATTAACATACTGTTACATATAGGATAAAACTTGGTTATGTTATTTGGTTAATAAATACAAGAGTGGTATATGTAGACATCTATGATGTCTGGGGAATGTGAAAAATATCACAATAAAAAGAATATTGAATATTTTGTAGTTGCAATGCAAAAGGGGACCAAAGGGTATTTAAGGTGTTCTTTCAAAAGGGGACCAAAGGGTATTTATGGTATTCATTAAAAAGGGGACCAAAGGGGACCAACTGGTATTCAAGATATTCATGAAGTTTTTAATAGTTAAGCTACAGGTAAGTTATAAATTGAAAACAAAATGTGGAAGATTTTTTAAATGGATAAACAATAATATACATTATGAAATAATATAACATATGGTATCATTGTTCTTGTTTAGGTTGAAGTATGTAGAGGATGAGTTGTCCAAGAGGAAAGGTCACCACAAGGAGGAGATCACTGACAAGTAAGTTTACAGATACAGCAGCTATGATATCAGTCCGACTGTAAGGGTGGAGAATTCTACAGCTGTGATATCAGTCCGACTGTAAGGGTGGAGAATTCTACAGCTGTGATATCAGTCCGACTGTGAGGGAGGAGAATTCTACAGCTGTGGTATCAGTCCGACTGTAAGGGGGGAGAATTCTACAGCTGTGGTATCAGTCCGACTGTTAGGATGGAGAATTCTACAGCTGTGATATCAGTCCGACTGTAAGGGTGAATTCTACAGCTGTGATATCAGTCTGACTGTGAGGGTGGAGAATTCTACAGCTGTGATATCAGTCCGACTGTAAGGGTGGAGAATTCTACAGCTGTGATATCAGTCCGACTGTAAGGGTGGAGAATTCTACAGCTGTGATACAAAAAATGTATCAATAATTTTTACGAAAGTGGCTTGATTTTGAGGCTTTTGGATGACTGAAATTTCCATTTAACTTTTATAGAAAAAGAGAAAGCTTTGTTCCAAAATGTACAAAAACAATTACCGGTAGTATTAGTATCCTGTTTTGTTTCTAGCTGGATTTTGGGTTTACTTTTATTACTATAACGGATTACTCATATTCTATAACTTATATATGATAAGGCTTTTATATATAAGGATCGTTTGTTACTCCATTTCAGAATAATTTAACACATTCAGGTTGATTCACTCATCATCAGACAGAAGCTACTACTGTAGACATTGTAAGGTAATCAGAAGTTTACCAAACTGTACATACATGTACACACTAGCGAGGAGATCAGTCTCTGGTAAACTATCCTGGGTGTTACCATATATATAACATGGGGTGTTTTTTTCAGGCAGATGTGTAATTCATTGTAAACGTTTGTGCTGATGATGACACTACTAGTGTGTTGAGACATACATGGCAATAAAATTGCTGATCAATTTCTTCATGCTGATTTAAAAATGCATTTTTTCTGAAAATTTTATGAAGTCTTGGTCAAATTTATAAAATTTTGTGATGTATTTTAGTAAATTATGTTTGCTTTGGTTTTATAAGCTCACCTGGCCCGAAGGGCCAAGTGAGCTTATGGCATGGTGCGGTGTCCGGCCTCCGTCTGGCGTCCAACGTCAACTTTTTACTTTCATCAACTTCTTCTCAGTAACCAAAAGGCCTAGGGTGATGATATATGGTCAGAAGCATGCTTGGATGAAGGGCTACCAAGTGTGTTCAAATAAATGACCTTCATCAATTTTCAAGGTCACAGGGGTCAAATATGTTAAAATCTTTAAACATTTTCTTCTAAATAACCAAGAGGCCTAGGATGATGATATTTGGCCAGTAACATGCTTGGATGAAGGGCTTCCAAGTTTGTTCAAATAAATGACCTTGCCTTATATTCAAGGTCACAGGGATCAAATATGTTAAAATCTTTTAAACAACTTCCTCTGAATAACCAAAAGGTCTAGGGTGATGATATTTGGCCAGTAACATGCTGGCATGAAGGGCTACCAAGTTTGTTCAAATAAATGACCTTGACCTACATGTATATCCAAGGTCACAGGGGCCAAATATGTTAAAAACATTTAAACAACTTCTTCTGAAAAACCAAGAGGCCTAGGGTGATAATATTTAGCCACTTACATGCTGGGATGAAGGGCTGCCAGGATTTTTCAAATAATTGAGCTTGACTTATATTCAAGGTCACAGGGGTCAAATATGTTAAAAACATGTAAACAATTTCTTCTGAATAACCAAGAGGTCTAGGGTGATGATAGTAGGCAAGTAACATGCTGGGATGAAGGGCTACTAAGTTTGTTCAAATAAAGGACCTTGACCCACTTTCAAGGTCACAGGGGTCAAATATGTTTAAAACTTTTAAACAACTTTTTCTGAATAACCAAGAGGCCTAGGGTGATGATATTTGGGCAGTAATATGCTGGGATAAAGGGCTACCAAGTTTGTTCAAATAAATGACCTTGACACGTTATATTCAAGGTCACAGAGGGCAAACATGTTTTAAACATTTAAACAACTTCTTCTGAATAACCAATAGGCCTAGGGTGATGATATTTGGCTAGTAGCATGCTGGGATGAAGGGCTATAAAGTTTGTTCAAATGAATGACCTTCATCTTTTTTCAAGGTCACAGGGTCAAATATGTTCTCTACCTTTAAACAACTTCTTCTGAATAACCAAGAGGCCTAGGATAATGCCAGTAACATGCTGGGACGAAGGACTACCAAGTTCAAATGAATGACCTTGACATATATATTTTAAGGTCACAGGGGTCGCAAATATGTTTAAAACCATTGAATGACTTTTTCTTAATATGCAAAAGGCCAAGGGTGATGATATTTGGCCATTAACATGCTGGGTTGAAGGACTACCAAGTGAATGACCTTTGCCCATATTCAAGGTCACAGTGGTCAATATATGTTTAAATCTTAAAATGATTTGTTCTGTATAACCAAACGGTCCAGGGTAATGATATTTTTGCAGAAGCATGCTGGGTTGGAAGACTATAAACTCTGTTCAACCTAATGTTATAATGTCCTTGTTCGACATTCAAGGTCACAGGTGTCATATGTTTAAATCTTTTAATAGGTTCTTATGAATGAAACACTGATATTTTGCCTGTAGCTGTATTTTAGTCCACTTTTAAGATTACAAGTGTGAGATTAATACCAGGTGAGCGATGCAGGCCCATTGTGCCTCTTTTTTTGTTTAACCTATTTTTAACAGCTAAAGTCATTTTTTTTAACAATTTTTAGGTCCAAAAAGCCGGAAAATAAACTGTTTGCTCTACCAGATAATCTGAAAGTGGAATCTAGTCGGAAAAGGACAGAAGACATGTTGTCCAACCAGATGTTGTCAGGTATACCAGAGGTGGACCTGGGTATAGAGTAAGTATCAATTCACAGGTCTATCAATGAGATATTGTAGTCTATTAGTGTTAATCCTTATAGGATTAATTTGTTTTTGTTTTCATATCAAAAAATCAAATTTTACAGATTTGTCCTAGTTCTCTTTTGATACCACAATAAAAGTAATCCCACAAGAATTTGCATAGCAAATTTTACTGTGAAATGATTGGGTGATGATGTTAAAATATTTTGGCTTCGACTGTTGGTTGGGCAGTAAAATAATTTAGGCTTGATGTGATACACACAGTATACACACATTTTTATCATGTTTTCTATAAAAACATACTGGTATTAATATTAGTTATAGGCAATGGATAGCAGTTTTTAGAGAATTGTGGGGGAAAACCAGTATTAAATAAACAATCTATTGAATATTCATTATACATTTTGTAAGTTGTTCTTTTCTTTTACATGCCAATGATTTGAAAACTGAAATAGTTTTTCATAACTCCTAAATGTCAATTAAAATATAGCTTTCACTCCATGTATGAGTCTGAGACGCCTTCTATCATTATATAAATAATTGAACTCGGCATTAGTAAAATAAGTTTCATTGAAAATGTATCGCACGTTTGTGTGTATATATACATATGAATTAATATTGAAGTAATGTCAGTGTAGATATATTCTTCAGGCACAACTTTGGGATGAAATAATGTGAATAATGATTTACTTAGACTACGATTATCAAAGTACATGTATAATTAACTAAAATGATTAATCATTACTAGCTGGAAATAGAAAAAAAATCTTTCATTGTAGAAAATGAATTTTAAATGATTTAATAATATCCAAACCGTGGCTCTTACTCTGATGATAGTTTAAGTTGCCTTAAATTTCCTTATTGTTTGTTTTGCAGGGCCAAGATCAGCAACATTGAGGCGACAGAGGAGGCCAAACAGAAACTGCTGACGGAGAGAATGAGGAAGAGAGAAAAGGAGATATCAGATTTTGTCCCTACAAATATGGCTGCCAACTTTGTTCAGCACAACAGATGTACGTATCGTCATTGTTGAAAAAGATAGCCTCTAGTTTTCCAGTTAGATAAGCTTGTATCATATTTCATAATACATAAACTATTGTGATAATCGAGTACAATGGCGAGTTGGTAATTTTGTTTTGACTACAAAAACTGCTATATTAAATTACTTCCAGATGAAATCATATCTCAATTACATTGTATTCAGCTACAAGTAATAGTGATTTAAAAAAACATATCACTTTTCTTTTTAATTTTACTTCACAGAGCCATGTTTTTGAATATGTGATATCATGATTCTCAGGAATCAGAAATAAAAAGGGATCCTAATTTGAACTATATCAGCTAGATTCAGAATACAAAGAAAGGAGAAGAGGGAATCACAATGTTTTACCACAGTATTCTTAATTAACTTGATTTAGGATCTATCATGAAGTCAATTACATTTGTAGTGAGATCCTTGTTTTTTCCTGTACTAATTAAGAGCAAAACTCATTCATATTAAAATACTTGAAGATTTCTTCATTCTCAAATTTAGATATGTACATGTGATGTTGCTTATTAAGTGTAGAATTAAAAATTTCGTTTTATAGAACAATTGGAAGCATATATTGGCAACATTTAATGGAGTCAAAGTTTCTTGTTGTTTACATGTTGTATATTCTAGCATTGAAAAAAAAGTGGGTTTTTTATAACTTGATTTTTTTCTGGCAATGATGCATTTGATCTTAATGATATATATTTGATTGCTAAACTTGATATTGCAAAACTTGATATACTTCATAGAACAGAAGTCTATATCAACAGAATACCACTGAATACTGATGAAAATACTAGCAAACACTCTTGTTTTAGTACAGTTTTGTACATGCTGTATATAAGTGAAAAGGTTCAAATTGTCCTTGTAGTGGTTGATAAAATAAACAAAAACATGTATGAGTATTACAATCCTCTGGTGTGTTTGCTTCTCCAGGCCTATTCAGAGGAATACTTGACATATACTATTTATGATATCATACACGTAAGACATTAGCATCATTACAGATCGATACCAGCAACTGATGATGTCATAACAATAGCACACACACAAACTGATGATGTCACAACAATAGCACACACACAAACTGATGATGTCATAGCAATAGCACACACACAAACTGATGATGTCATAACAATAGCACACACACAAACTGATGATGTCACACTTTTACAATGCATCAAATATTCAGGACATCATACCAACAGCACCTTTTTATACAAAAATTGATGATGTCACAATACTAATATTTGTTACCTATTGTGATGTTTGTGTATGTTTTCAGTCAAAATAGAGGATACCAAACCACTACTGAAGAAAGAAGAGGCGCCTCGCCCTGAGCCTGTCAGAGTCGGTGATGTGGAGCGGCTACAGACTCCAATAGGTTTGTTTATTGCAGCTTTTACGCTGTCAATATTTGTTATTGTGTCATGTGGGTCGTTCATCTTTTTGTTTTGTGAAACTCTTAAGTTATATTGAAAAGTCAGAATTTTTATTTGGGTTTTATTCTAGAATTATTTGAGTAATATTATGCATAAACAAGGAATTTTCACTTTCTACATAAATCAGTTGAAGTTGTGTTAAAAATTATTATGACATGCATTCAGAACATCTAAGAAATATTAAATCCACACTTTTTTCATGTTTTTTTTTTTTTTAGTTTCAAAAAAATGAAAGCAGTAGTCTGGTAGCTAGTGATATAAAGAAAATGGTCCTCCTTCATTCGATTTTGGATTTATCCAATCTGTCTAAAAATAGATCACACTAGAAGTGTACTTTACTTACCATTCTGTATCAGTATAAATGTATTTCAATAAATTTGTACCAGTCAACTTTTTTGTTGTATACAGGTGCTGATGGCAAGTCAAAAACCGCTGAAAAAGCCACAGATGATTTTTACTTTGAAAAATTCAAGAAACAAATGAGAAGATACTGAAATTGATCAGGTACAACTGACAAGTCAGCTGATTTTCACATCTTGGAGATCTGTCGCTAAGTCTGCCTTAGATTCTATAGTAACGTGCAAGGTTAACTGTATGATATTAAATAAGTTAAAGAATTGCTTACGTTGTACACGTGACCTTGAGAATCAGAGTGGGCATGAGTGACCTCAGCCAGCAGGCCTGTGCTGTATGAATACTGACCGCTCTGTCATTGCTAACACCCAGGCATCTTGTTGAACAATAGATTTTATATCAAGAGCTGACACTGTAATGTGTGCGAGATATTAAATGTACATCAGATATCAAGGCATTAGGTTTGTTCAATGATTAAAAAATGAATGACATTTGTTGGCAGGTACATGTACCTGCTCACAAATGTCATTCATTTGTTATCACTGAACAAACCGGATGCCTTGATATCTGATGTACATTTAATATCTCACACACATTGTACAAATATATATAGAAAACTTGATCATATAGATAACAAATAACTCACAGAGCAAATGGCCTTGGGATGTTTTATGAACTGGACGATCACCAAAACAAGGTGTAATGGACCAAAGCAAAGCTAAGGCCTATATACTTATTTTGGGTCACTGACCAGACCCTGATCTGTCATATGACCTGAACTTCTGTTCAGTATTTTGTTATGCTATTCAAAATCTTTGGTAGTCAATGACCACAAATGTGTAAATCAACAAAAGACATGTCTAAATACTTATTGTGATGTCAGTATAAATAAAAAAAGCACAGAGCTAATTGGTCATATGGGAAATAGTGACTGTGTAGGTTTGCAATGAATGAAGAGTGGTCTGGAGTGTTTGAGCACCTGTGTGCTTGTAAGTACATGATCAACCCCTGAGGTCGGGGGTAATTTGTGTTGGACCTGTTAACAATTTTTTTTAAAATTGTTTAAATTAAGAATTTGATTTGACTTTGGCTAGGAATGCTTCATGCCAAGTTTTGTCAAAATCCTGTCAGTCATTCTAGACTATTATCTATAGGCTAATTGGAACAGTTGATGGACAGGCGCTACCCTACAGCATAAGCCCACATCACTGAAGGTTCGGCAAGCTACATGTGGAAAAGAAAGAATGATTGAATGAATGAATTGAAGAGTGAAAACGCAAAGAAATAAATATGAAATTGATATTTTTTGTTAGAGGTTTTTAATGTTAGAATATAGGAGGTTGAAAGCGTGCAATTTGCTAAAGTGAATGATTTATTGTAAGTGTATGTGATGGTCAGTCATGTAAACATACTTGTATTAATTCTTGTGTCATATGAATAAAATAAAAAGCTGAGTAATAATTGCAGGTTTTCTTTGATTTCTTTTCCACTGAAATTTTGTGTTATGGCGTATCCATGTTATAACTATCAGTTTTCAGTAAATCAGATTTATCTACTTTGATATATACGTAGAAACATCAACTAGCGTAAACATTGAACAATGTGCAGGCACTTTTAAATATCTTTGCATATTCACTCACACAATCAGATTGATTGCAATGACTGTATTGCTGTCTTTTAAAGTTCTCATTTAATGATTAAGTTACTGCATGTAAAAAAAGCAAACATACTTACGTTTGAAGTATATTTTGTAATGAAAAGAAGTATGGAAGTATGCTACATGCTTGTATTTTTTTTAAAATAGTACTTATTTTATAAAAGAAATTTTTAAAATATCAAAATCTTCGTATACTTTCCAACCCAAAACTTTTATCTCTGATGTTTAAGGAATAGATTGATAACACAAACTGTATTTTAGACATTTTTAAACATATATTTTACACACTTAGAACTATTCCTAAAGACAGTTGTGTTAAAGAGTGTAACCAAAATTTGATTGTGCCAATATATCTGGTACATGGTACATATTGTACAGTCTAACAGTCTGGGTCTCTGCTATGGTCATCAATTAGAGATGAGTGGAATTAGTTCCGATTACATATCGTCACTGTACAAGGGGTGTAGCAACTCGATGGTGGGAGACAGACAAGTACTACTTTGACACCTATTATATATACTTATTGCCCACTCCCCCTACTGGAAGTGTTATATAACCGGAGATGTGTATTTTACACAGTAAGGAATACCAGCACCGACATGCTAGTATTAGTGAAACAGGTTTTGTGCAGGTAACATGGACAAATGTAACGGGGATCTTAATGTGAAATATTTCAGCATGCTCTCTTTAACCGCTGGTAAAATATCAACTACTAGAAATCTGCAAACAATCGCAGCATAGAATGAATAACACAAGGATTACTTAATATTGTATATTTTTATTTTTATTTTTTTTAAAGTTTTAATTGAATGTTTGAAGCAATCAAATAAAAAATAAAAACAAGTTATTTAAAAATGTTGTACATGGATTTTTTTTAAAAGTTATGTTTATTTACAGGTAACAGATCAACTAAACATCTTGAATATTAATAATAGAAATAATCATTTGATTGATTACCATGGTGCGACCACTGCTATTACGGTAACGTTCACTTCAATAACCACAGTATTTAGCAGTACTGGAATCAACGTTTTTACCATATATGGCAATGTTTGAATAAATGTTATCATATACCGCGATGTTTATATTACCATATATGGTAACATTGAACATAACATGACGTGAAAACAATCATAAAGGACAAATATAAGTCATGGTATTTTTTTACTGCCATAACAACATCTACAGCCAATTAATATATATATATATATATTTATATAACACATTACCATATATGGTAAATTATTATTTGATCTTGACCACATGTGGTAGACTATCATAACGGCGCTTTCATATCATAAATGGCAGATATCCCTGAATTTTGAAATGGATAAATTATTCCAAAACCTTAATACATATTTTCCATCAATAATCGAATACTTTGACTTTTGGATAATCATCGAAAAATTGCCTTAAAATGAAATGTCCATCACGCTTAAAAATCAGAACCGATTAATAATTAAGATTATCAACATTCAAGGATATCTACGGTAACATCGTATGTTTCACAAATACTCTCAAACAAATCACAGCTTTTTGGAAGAATGAAGCAAACCAGTTGTACAGCTATATAATGACATAATAATACAAATAGCAGCAGTACTACTTCTTATGTGCTAGCGACACTCTCATCGCAACGGGAGGCATTAGCTGGAAGGTAAAATAATAATATTAAAAATTTATAAAATGGAGGGCTAATTGGTGGTAGGGGACATATGTAAGTTCATATAAGGGCATAAGGTACTTATCATCTCTTGTTCCTACAGTCTGGTTCTTGACGATTCGACAGCACCACGTTGAACTAATTTGGGGAGCACTGTTTTATTAAATACAACCATTCTTGCTTGGAAAATGTAAGATAAGTGATAGTCTCTTAATTTTGAGCTTCAATATATTTTTGATCATTTAACGATTGTTGATTATTACCATGGTAACAGAATATGGTACCATGGTATTGATTATCTGCTTGCTTAAAATGTATAAAAGTGATTGTAAGCCTTTGTTTTTGTTTCACAATTATAACTAATACTATTATTCATATGTTGTAAAGCGTTTTAGAATAATTTCACAAATTATATAGGGCGCAATATAAATGTTGTATATTGTTAATATTTTTACTATTATTAGTAGTATTCGTTTAGTTTCTGAAATTTATTTACTTCATAACAATATTCACGGGGCTACTTGAAAATCACCACTGTTAAGTAATTTCTTCCATAGATAATATTTGAATCTTCGTGTCAACCTATCAAGTTCTTACCATAATCGGTGTTTGACTGATGCTTTCGAAACGACTGATGCGAGACCAAAATTCTTTACCTAATACATATCTTACATCGGTTGTTTAGTCTTTGTCTTACTCAGAACATTCATACTATACAGAGCTATTTCTAATCTAAATAGCAATGGCATTTTATCGTAGATAATAAGAATTTAAAACGAGGGTAGTATCATTTTCAAGTTATCTTTCACAGGACACCTACTATTGAGCATTACTTAATCTTTGGCATTTAACACTACAGCTTATAATTTCTGATAATATATAAAAAAAATATGACCGAGTTCACCTCTTATCACAGAAAAAAGGTACATTAATTAAAATATAAAAACGAAAAATATTTTCGTAAAATTTAAATCTGGGCTTTCCATATAAGTTCCAATAATGATTTTAATAATGTCCCCACCTATCGCATACCATGACAAAGCGTTTAATTGTGAAGTTGGAAAACTTTCTAATAATCTTGATTTTACAAGTATACTTTAAATTCGGAAATAGAATAAGAAAAAGGGAAGCGAGAATTACTTATAATAAAACAAATTATCCGGGTGAAATGATGCAAGTACGTGACACTGTACAGAAAACATTTCAAATGCAAATGACAGGACTTTAATTTGATACTTTTTAGTCCTTCTAAATATTTTTTGAACAATAAACTAAAAAACAAATAAAGATATTTAAAAATGGTGGATTCAATAACTAGCGATAGAAATGTGGTTGACTAAAATATCAAAACTGTATTTGAAAATTATGATTTATATAAGATATTTCAAACTAGTATGTTATAGTAGTGATGGCGACAGCATGATGACGTCATTGACATTTACACACTTGCATTTAATACACCCCAAACAACTCAGTTTTCACCATATATATATATATATATAGCTCAGAAATTAATATACAAACCATCCATCAAATCAACCTGTGCTATGGTATTCTTATTCAATTCAACACATGTAGATACACATTTTACTAGCTTCCAGTCATATTCTTTATATACAATTCTACCTGTAAAAACGTCATTCCAGTCATCCTCCAAACAACACAACGTTACACATGGCAAACACAATATCCAATGAAAACGGATGTTTGCATAGAAATTTTGAAGAAGAAAAAACAAGAGAAAATAAGCGTAAAAATAATGGATTGAATTTAGGCTGTTCAACTGCACAAAGAGGAATTAGTATTTTTTTTCATAATAAAGAAAAAAATACGTAAGATTTCAACTTTGTTTTATGTGACGTTTAAACTTATATCAAGCCTTTCTTTTCTGACAGGAAACATAATTTTATTTCACTTGTTTACATATCTAAAGGAATGTGTTCTTTCTTAACGAACTTGCTAAAACGGGTTCCTTGTAAAATCTTTACATCTACTATTAGTAAACTGAAAGTTCTATCGAGATAATTGAGGGAAAAACACGCATAACACTGATAGAAATATCAATAAAAAAAAACTTATAGAACACAGTGCTTCAATAACATCGCATTATGTTTTGCTGTTTGACCAATAATGATTACAATTAGATTTTTTGTCATGACATAATAAGGTGAACATAGAGAGGAAATATAAAGCAAAACGGATGAGAAATGCACATGTATATATATATATTGATATCTGAATAGGATCTACAATTACAACTACCGTACATTAAAGTTTCTGCATTATGAGACTGGTAGAAAAATATGAAAAATGTATTTTTAATAAGAATTAGGCAATAATCCCCGCTTGGTCCCTGGTACACTTAAATGAAGGAATGGGATGGAGAGAATGACCATACCTAAACGTTTCAATACCACTACAGCATCGTACCGTAGTCTCTCTATTGCCTAATTCATAACCTAGCTCCACAGTAAAAAGATGGTTACTATCATAAATAAAATGACCATTGATGGAGTTTGTTGATCTCAACGATATCCTCAGGCACTTCGACAAGATTTATTTACATGGTGTAGCATAAATGCTTACTGGTAACTGGGTCAACACCTTATAATAGAACAGTGCCCACAAGCCTATTAAGGCTAAGGGTTGGTAGTCTTTCTCATCAATGGTACGGTTGAAGGCAAAATCACCACTTATAGTCGGGTAAGCCTCTCACAGGTTTTATATTAAAAGTGCCTAACTACAGTCTACCTATTTATTTGGTGTATTTTATACAAATTTCACCTCAGACAAAACGAGAACAAATATTTGAATACATGTAGCATCAAGTTCCATGATAAATACAATGAACGCAGGGAACCGTATCATCAGCATGAATACAGGGATCCGTATCATCAGCATGAATACAGGGAACCGTATCATCAGCATGAATACAGGGAACCGTATCATTAGCATGAATACAGGGAACCGTATCATCAGCCTGAATACAGGGAACCGTATCATCAGCCTGAATACAGGGAACCGTATCATCAGCATGAATACAGGGAACCGTATCAATGACAAGGATACAAGGACTCGTAAAATTGAATTGATACGGGGTCCTATATCACAAGGATGGATCCAGGAACAAAGCAACAGTGAGTATTTACACATCTAAACAGAAAATTGATAATAAGTGTATCTTTGTTATTATCTGTGCTCATGAATATTCAATAACAGCGTTCTGTTTGTGAATACCAAAGTAATATGGTAATCAGCTAACATTCGAGGAAATGATGAACAATTAAACCTCTAAACAATAACAAATAATATCAACATTTAATAACAGTTATATATTTAGAAATTTGAATTGTTATGAACAAAATAACTTAATATCATCAATATGTTATAACAAACATTTCCAAAGAATTACCTTAATATATTTATTCCAGTATTCTGTAAGTACTCAAGACATTATAGAAACCAGTTAGGGTAATTTTAGATCAAGAATAATCGACTTCGTCGACATGACTAAACACTTGTTTGAATTAGCCTCAATCTGAGATGATCACATTACAGTTTTTAACCAATCAGAATAGATATGATCAAGAGAAGTTATCTCTGAATATTTTCACACATTGATACAAGATTGTGAACAATGACAATACTATTGGAATGATTTTTCTCTCCTCAACTCCCATTGTTTGTGGATGCACAAACTGAATTACAAATATAACAATATAAATTGACCCATCACATATTTGTGCGGGTACAGGTGGAACATCCGGTCATCCATGCTTCCATCTAACCAGCAGCACACGCTTGCACCTGTCATTCGTTCCAACTTACGATTGAAGAGGTAAAAATGCATATCAGGAATAACTGAAGTAACCGGTCATTGTTCAAACAGTAAGTTCTAACGCACACAACGTTACGATTTTCAATCATTAAACACACATATTAATCAAGCTCATATCATGAGTCATAAATGATTAATAACAATCATACAAAACATATTCTGTATGTAAATAAAGTATGCTATTTATATATAAAAGGAATATTTAATCTTATCATTAAGAAGAATCTCCAGGAAAACAATAGATGTTCTAGGTCATGCAAACTTTGAATTTTAAAGGAATGGGTTATATTTACACATTATGGACACGTATATATATATATATATATATATATATTCCTAATATGTTCAAACACGTGATGAGCAAAACAGACGGCTTTCACCCTGCCCGTACACACTACAGTATTTAGACTCTCCCAATTCAAGGTGTTGGAGAGTTCACACTATGGGTAAGAAAACCAGTATATAGTGTATATTATATTGATAACATAGTCATCACATTTTCACGTATTTAGTGTAAACCACAAATTAATCACATCTGAACAATAAATCATATGAAGATAGATAACAATAATTTTAAATAGGTTCGCCAATGTTATCGGCAACACATGGAGATCAACACACTATGTACGCTGAATAATTTCTGCTACCTTACACATTAAACATTTGATTTTTTGTAGGTCACAGCTGTCTCAAATAAACCTCTTTAATGTTTTAAAAACATATCAATAAATTACCATTCATAAGTGATATTAAACGAATATCTCAGAAAGGGACTCTTTGGAAAGGAAATGCATTTCTCATTTAGGTAGCATACACCTTTAATCTATCATCCGTTATATCGCGCAGTTTTCAGTTATATATCTAGATCCTGAAGGAAAATCAAGCTACGTGGTAAGGCAAGAAAAGACAAAATATATGCCACCGTTACCCTCTGAAATATACCACAATACAGTGTTTAACACAAATGATATTTTAAAATAAAACTTACTACAAATCCGCACTCATAACTCGAATTCAAAATTCCAAACATATTACTATAGATATGAAAATGATTGGAACTAAAAGATTTCAAATTGCTTGACGATAAGATTGTCGTACATACAAGGAGGATCTAGTGTATGTATAATTTAAAACAATTAACACAGGTGGACAGAAAATGCCTATTTACCATCCTCATCTGGCTGAAACTGTCTTAGCAGGTCTTAAATGACATGCCAACTCTTTTATAGAAATAAGGTATAACTAAATTCTATCTTACGATAACTACCTTTTGATAATGAGAGAAAACAAAACGATTCCTGAGTATATATATTAGAACAAATCTAAAAATGAAAACGTGTGCTCAATGATACCAATAACAGTAGTTATCTTGATAACTTTAAAAACATCACAATATCACAATCAATAACAAAACAGACTAAGAATGGATTATTTCAGAGCATTGCAGTGGATATATTATTATAATGAGAGACAAAAAAAAAAAGACAGAAGAAAAATTCTTCACAGAATGCTAACACCAATCTGACTCATCATCCGAGTCATTGCGTAGCGGAATATTACTGTCGCTTCTCATTTCTAGTTTTTCTGGTTTCTTTTTATGTCCTTTGGGTTTGAATCCGTTGGGTAATGTTGACGCATTTCTAGGTCTTCCGCGGCCGCCATGTTCATGACCTATATTTTGTGAGGCCTGCTCGTCAAAATGGCTTGCTAAAAATTTGGTTTGTTCATTATTACTATTCCGGCTAATATCCGGCGAGTGACTACTGGTTCGGTAACGATGATCATGAGATCGATCATGTGATCGGTCATGTAATCGTTCATGTGACCTGTCATGTGACCTGTCATGTGATCGGTCGTGTCCCATATGGGGGTCATGACTACTAGTCCTACCACTGTGGGATGGCAAAGTTCGTGAGTGACCACTGATTTTATTCAAATTATTTCTCTCCGTGGGACTGGTAGGTTCCGGCCTTCCCATACGTCCAGGCGGAACAATTGGGCGTGAAGTCAGGGGGACATTTTGTTTCGGCACATGTGTGGGGGACTTATTAAGTTTTGGAAAGTTTATGCTTCCAGGGGATTTTGGGGGCTGGGGGATAGTGGGCGATGGCATGACTCGTGGCATGTTGTCTTTTAATTTTGGTTGAGCAAGATTCAAAGAAGAAGGCTTGGGTGGAATTGATGGAAGTTTCCGGCCTGGTTTCTTTGGTGGTGATGTGACAGCAGGACTTGGACTACGGGACCGGTCCGTCAAATTGGCAGTCCCGTAGTACTCCTGCTGAGGAGTCTGGGAAGGGGTGGTAGTAGGGGATGGACTTCTAGACCTGGTTTCTAACGATGTTGATCTGTAAAAAGTCGTATCCCGTTTCCGTAGTGGCTGTGGACTTGGTGCTGGTGAACCAATCACATTTGACTGCATGGTAAGAGGAGGACGGGTTTTACTTCTCCCCCTCATTTGTGGCGAGTTCGGCAAACTAAGGGTCTCGTCCAAAAGGATACCTGTTAACCAAAACGAACAGAGGATATACTTTTCATTTTTTGGTTTTGAATCCGTTGGGTACTGTTGACGATCATTATCATTTCAGGTATTTTCTTTAATTAAAGATTTTTATAATATTCATTTCTACCATGCAATAATCAACTTAATCGCACAATTATTGCAATAATTAACTAGAAATATGTCAAAATGACATGAAAGTCACCCCATCTCCTGTATGATCATTTTCAGATAAATCATTGACCAAGCTACACGTAATATATTTCCACCTGTCAATCAAAATGGTCTAACAATGACTAGGTGTAAGAACATACACGCTGTTAAGGAAGCCATGCTAACACATGGAATTAATAAGAAAGCATGTGGCAACTATAACGTTAGCGTTGACTGTCACCTCGAGTACGGGGACATCTGCTGACACTGTCACCTGGCATGGACAAAACAGGTTATTGGAATATAACGATGATGTTTTCACAACAAAAAGTTTCAGAAAAGATTCAATCTTATATACGGATAAATCTTCTACATTTTTGTTGTTATCAAATAGACTTTTCCAAGTAGTTTTCTGATCGTCTGCAAATCCGACTGAATCGGACATCGATATCGGCAGAGTGTGGACGCTTAAAAGCAGTCACTCAAACAGGTCCGACGAGGACCGCCAACAGCCAAATTCGCGAGACATGCAAAACACCAAACAATTGTGATTTCAGCAATTCTCCCTTCAAAAGAAAATATCGGTATGTATTTGGCTGTTTTGAGAACGTTAATATTTATTTTTCAAACTCTAACTTTTATCATTATCGGTTCAATTCGCATGAATATCAACCTTGTGAATTCCTGCCGGTTAATAGTAATACGCGACCTTGACTCTTTGCGGTACATCAACTTGCGAACTTCGCAACTTTCCCCATGTCGTTTTGACACATTCCTACTGTCAAGATTGAATAGTTCAGCATGATTAACCAAGAACGACATTTTAACCCCAGAGTGCTAATTACGATGCAATTCTTCGTTATGTTTCCCCATACGTGGTATTTATCAATTCACGTCCTGAAAAGTTCGGCCTACTTTACTCGAGTTTATTTATCCGATTCTATCGATAATATGACTTAAACTTGCGTCTTTTCGTAATAGTTAAATTGGCAATGCAATCAGGGGTTATTCAACGAAATTTTGTAGTTTATTGCTGCGAGCATATTTCAAAACATTTCCGAAAATCTTCGAAACATTTACGATAAATGGTCGCGACCAAGGACTGGCTCTGGATTGTTCTTGAGTATCGTGTACATTTCTTGGCACTTCATTTTTCCTCTTAATAAAGTGCGCCCTATACGCGAACAACAACGGTAGTCGTTGGTCAGACATAAAATATCTAAACCAATCAATAGCAGTTTATTATATAACAGTCTAGCCTTCGGGAATCTCAAAGGTGCCTGATTCATACTCGGAACATCTCTGGGTTATATGTAATTCCCATGTGAAACTTGGAACGACTTTAGATTTTATGCCAATCCTGTTTAAAAAGGAAATCGATAGTTGAGTTATCCAAAAGCTTGCAATTAGCGCCAGGTACATTCCGGCAGAAGCAAACACACGAAAGCATTTTTAGCGAAAAGTAACAGATGTCAAAATCTGGGACTGAAACCGAAATTAATCGTCCCCGCTGGGGTTCCCCTAGGGGTGACTAAAATGTTTAAAACAGGTATTCAACAGCATTTATCATAACTTATATGTACCTTCATAATCCCTATTTCTGTAATGTTTTGATCTGCGATCCTGTTCCGCTATGCTATGAGCTTGTTCACAGATGTTCGTTACCGCTGAAGCAAATCCCAAATCCACTCTTCGAGGCGATGGTGATCGGCGACCCATGTACGGACTACCGACTGGGGATCCAAATGGACTACGGTGTGGCATCAATGGGGACCTTGGGGACACCGGTGTACCTGGTAGGGAGGGCGATTTACTCCCGCCCCTGATGGACTGGTCCGAGTTCGTTCTGGACATGGATACGTGACCTGCGTGTTCAGGCTTCAGACCTCGGGAAAAGTCTTGGCGCTCCATAGACTGGCAAAAATGACAGACAAATTGTAAGGAAACAACAAGCTATACGTTGTACTATATTATCATATTTGCATAATTTTATCCAATCACATACTACATGTATGCATATTTATCAAGGGTAATGTCAATGAAATACATGTACCACTAAAAAACGCATTTTAATAAAGTTGTGATCCAGTAAGTTATCTTTGTGTCTGTAAGTTGTCACAGTGTTCCTCTAAATCAATACAATTTATATCGTTTTGTTATAAATCAACATTATAACTTCGCAATATTTATATAGTTATTGTTTATACCAACACCATAGAACTGCAAAATAATGATTATATGGACAGAAATCGGGTTTTATAATATACGAAGTATTTCAAATCTTCAAAATTATTTTTCTTTTAATGAGATATTTTTTAATTTAAAATAAAAACGTATTACCAGCACCGTGACAACAATCACATAGTAAAATGCCCATGCTGCCGATCCAACATTCAATGGTAAATTTGAATCATGAATATAAATATTGAAGATACAGAAAAGGAAGAGGCAGTAGAGTAACAAAAAAAAGAAGAGAAAAACCAGAAACCGAGACCGTAAGTTGAATTTATTAAGTTTTTGTCCCAAACCTCTACGAATTCAAAATAAATAAGTTCCAAAATATAGATGAAACATTTAAAAATAATAAGCACAATATGTACAAACCATTCGTTCACCACAGCTTAAAGGATCAATTTTGAAAGCTTTACGCTGTTAACTTTATACCAAGCAAATTCTCTTCACGGTAATGTCAATTGACCAGCAGTTCCGTCACCAAAAGCTTGCTAAAACCTAACAATATGTACCTGTCGGAGGTATACAACTCTCTTGTGAGGGATGACTACCCTAACATTAGCAGGCGATGAAACAGAGGAAAGTTTTTCGTCTTCCTCCTCGCACGAGAATGAGGAGTTTACGTACCCACCGTATTCGGGACGGTACCCTTGGCCCTGCCAGGATAGTAGGTCAGGTACAACATTATATAAACATTTAAACAGTGCAAAAGCTCATGAAGATGAAAATATGTTTTCATCGTAGTTAATTACATAATATTTGTAAATAAAGTGTTAATTTGAAAGGAGTTTGCCAATATCTGGAATATGTTATATTTAAATTTCAGGTCATTATAGAAAAAAGGTGTTCAGTTGGAATTCAAACAGTCAACTGGAATATATTCTCTGATATCTTACCCGCAAACTGCACGCATCACCTTGCTGGTGGTCTTTTTTCCGTTTACTACCACGCCGCAAAAAACTCAGAGATCGTTGCCAAGGGTGTTTGTCAATACTGTAAGTAGAAATGGAAACAGTGAACAGCGAGATGATCGGTAATCAACAGGTGATCATTTAATCTCCAGACACACACCACTACAGACAAGGCTGCCTTAACACTTGTTCAGAAACAAGGGTTTCATCTCCCCTTAATGCGTGATTCAGTGGATAGACTAATTTGTTGAAATGCATCTAAAGACGTTTTTGTCGCACGTTTCTTCTGTTGCTTACTTTGAAACTAACTATCCCATACCGGTAAATACTAAAGGCTTTGCTTGCTACCCAATGCCAAGTACTTTTCTCTCCTTTTCTACTAACCAGTTTATTATGCACTGGCTTTTTAGAATTTGTTGAACTAATAATCGTTCTTCCAACAGGGCATATGGATACAAACATTTGTTCTCTCCACTAATCAGAACAGATGAATGATTCACAAATAAATCCAATTTTTGTGGATATATCAATAATTTACAAACATCACATAATACGCGTTTCTTCACAGACTACTTTTATGACACATAGAAATATATATATACGACATTTTGAAAAATAACATGCTTTTACAAGTGACTTCTAAAAAATATACATCAAGGAGAGTTACACAAATTGAGAAACCTTTGCAAAACGTTCAAATTGTGTTATATGTTATACACAGTTCTCGTTTTCTACCTAAAAATATTAAGTAAATATTTTTTATACATTTTCACTGCGATTATCAATAGTATTCAGAGCTGGGGGAACAAGATTCAACATTCTACAGCTACAATTTTACTTACCTGATGATCAATAAATAAATGTATAATTTCACAATCAGAAAATTACTCCTTGTAACGGATGTATTACAGAACAATTAAAATATAATATATCACATGATTACCGTGTCATATACTGAATACAATCACGTCATAAATATTTTCTGTATAATTGAAAAACGAAATGAAAAATGTGACGTCATGAATTATAATAAACAGACTTCAAGGTAATATAATGATGCCCTTATGACAAAATTAGCTAATAAAATGGAGAGAATGCTTCCGCAATTTTCATTATCATGTGATGGAAATGATATATAATTCCTTTCCATTTCATACAAGATTGATGACGCTTGTGACGATTTTCATTTTAAATCGACATTTCAAATATCATGTAATATATCTTTAGATACTGGTAGACGGTTACACTTACTAGATCAAGTTATAGTGTGAAATAAACGAATTAAATTTTCACTGTAGATCACTTGTTTTATTTAGTTATTTTCGAGGAGGAGTGTGAATTAGATTATATCGTCAATATCCATTCATACACAAGTAAATAAGGAATATACATTAATTATTGTTCGTTTTAAGTTTCGAATCCAATAACTTACGAACAGGTCGCTTAATTACAGCTGGTAAAGCAATTATTTACGAAAAGAAAGTGATTTACAATGTGAAAACATATTTGTGATACATTTTTAAATGTTTTGTTTCATATACTATTGTATTGTATATAAATGCAATTAACTTATATATCAAATAGAATATATTTTTTCATACAAAAATATTATTCTCATATATATAGTACAATTTCTTGAAAATATTCTATTGCATTTCTATAAACAGCATGAAAGATAGAATTGTGAAAAATTTCGATAGATTTAAAGATAGAGAGGAAGATAAACGGAAGAATAGAATAAAAACTTGGTCATGCGAGAAAATTAAAGGTGGACATCTTACAGAATAAAGTTGAAATTATTGTTTTGTATTAAATGTTCATTACAAGATGAAAAGGAGGAAACCGTGAGGTCTTAAGAGAAATATTTTAATATGTAAAAAAACTCGGAATATTTTATAGATAAAACAAACCTGTCACCGATGTATGAATTTGGACGGTTATTACTATATGATTGTTATTAATAAAGGTGCTACAAACTGTATCTGATAATACAGCTTCATCATTTACAAATAACTGACCTAAATGCACCTTGTCATCATGGATGCATCGTATCTTTGATGTGTGAAACGACAAAAAGTGTTGAAATGTTTTCCCATTAAATATCTTTTAATATAATACTAACATACGGGGTTATTTTGTGATTAATTCATATTCAATAGCATAATTGATATCCTCTCAAATTCATATGGATTTCAACCGTTAACAGAGACATAAGTTTTCATTTGACATACAACTACCATTAAAGTAGCAATAAATCCATGCCACCAATTGCAGATAGAATATGAAAATTTAAGCCCCATTCCATTGAAATCCCTAATTCCCTGCATACGTTGGAAAGGGTATGTGGATAAGGTGACGGTTAAAGGGTCATGCCTGGGGTACGTGTTTAACCTCAAAGCGATAGGAATATATGTCGGTTCTAGGATATTCATATACCAAGGCTGCAATGTGTGTAGATTTAATTTCTAAAAGAACGGGTAGAGTTTTTCTAACATTTCCCATTCCGATTTTCTATGCTAGGTGTCACATTTATCAAGCGTAACTATGTTCAGCTTTGATGCATGTTGGTTCATATCATGCAATGTGATCTAATTCAAATGTAGATTTCATGAACAGTTAAAAAAAATATGAAAAATGATAAAATGTGTGGTCTACTGGAACTACAACATGCTAGGACTAATATAAATATGCTTTAATTTGACAGTTTGGCTTAGTAGCATTAATTTATTATTTATTTTATTAATGAATCAGAGAATATATTCATAAAACAAAACCTATTTGTTTTCATTACTAGTAAAAAAGTTATCAGTAGAAAATGATTCGATTATGATCTTCTTCACACCAAACTTGGGAAATTAAAGCACAGTAATTATGTCACCTGATATCATATTAGCTGTAGTAGGGTAGCAGTGTCAGTAGTAGTAACTCTTTCTTTTTCTTCACGCAAGACCACACTTGATGAGTCGGCCACCCTCTATGAACCTTGACCTCAGACTCTTGTAATTACCTGTGACCTCCGTCCATGTCATCGTCCGGTGAATGGTCGGAGTCCTGGTCCAGACTTTGGCTTGACCGAGCCGACGGCGTCCTCAGCACCCCCATCAGTCTCTGGAAAAAGCACGGGTGACGCTGGAAAACGAGGGACATAAATTAACCGGGGGTGTGCGACGCGAGGTTGGCCTAGCTACTGATAATAAAGAAAGAAGCGAATACAGATACCGTTGGTCGTCGTATAGCGACTAGCTCCGGTACACAACGTCAGGGGCACATTACTCCACCAAGAAGCACAAAGATGCGGAGGCAGCCACAGGAAAGGACATAGGAGGAAGGAGAAGAGAGATAGGACTCGATCTTCATCTACTTTCCTGTACGGCGTGATATCAGAGTTTTGCTGAATTAATTCACTGCTCAATATGCATTTACACTAAATAACCTTTATATTACTTCCACAGAGGTTCTTCCGAATGATTAGTTGGACAATTCGGTTTTATCAAGCATCTTGTATACATTATTGTCTAGCAAAGCTGTCGGTGGGTGTTGGATTGTTATATGTATAACAATTACTTTCCGTCCCATCATCTTACCATCACCATCATGTTCTACCAAACATGTCTTTATGGAACATTCTGACCAATTGAACTACTCTAGAAATCAAAGCCATCTTTCTATGTCATTTAACACAAATGTCATCAAACCCTTTGATTCCGGATAATGATTTTGTAATCGGCTGTTTGCATTTGCAACCAAATATAAAGTAAGTTTACATTTGCAACCAAATTCAAATTAAGTAAATTTTTATAACACTTATTAACAGCTCTAAATGAAAAAAACTTATTTCTCTATCATATTTGCAAGCTAATTTGTTGTTTTAAACATAATTCGCTATAATACTCCTTAAATCAATATCAAATTATGTAAATATTAAAACCAACTTTCCCCATGCATGTGAGTGTTTCACTTGTAATGCATAAACAGAATAAGTAATCCCGAATGAAACAATGAATACATAAAACAATATAATTGAAAACAAAACATAATGCAAATTTAACATAAGTACCTTATAGTGGTTCTCATAGGTCCGGTAGTATTGTCTCGGAGGCGCGACATTTAGCCATTTACTTTGACCCAATGTTAGTTTTTTAACTTATTAGTGAGCAAAAAGTTAACATTCCAACCCAAGTCAAACCCATGTTATGCAAATAATGGTTGAATAGGAAGTTAATATAAAGTGTTAACGTTAAGTCATTCCTAAATCACCTACACCAAGAGTGTTCTGGTAAAATGCATCCTGAATTTAACAATTCAAACATTCATAATGAGTTAATTTGCGATGCTGCAAACTGTTGATAAGATGTTTCCATGGCAATGATAAAAAAAATAAAAGATGAATAAAGAGAAACAAATACATAGGAAAAAAACTATTTGGAGAAGATCTTCACTAGAGAGAGGGACAAGAAAGTAGAGAAGGAATCTAAGAGGAACACACTATTACACATTACAAATATTGATAACTTATAAGGGAATTTACCTTTTCTTTTTCAAAACTTGTATATTGCACCATGATCACGACATTAATGCAATTTCTTATACAAACATTTCAATTGAAACTTAAGAGATATTTTAAGTTTAAAATAGATGTTTTCTAAAAACATCATTTAAAGGAAAGTCCTTTGTACATGAAAATAAAAAATAGATTATGAGGTTAAATTCCCTTTAAAGTACTTTACAAACAACAAGTTCCGTGGACTAAACAAAGATATTTTCATAAAAATAAATCCTTTCTTCGCATGTTTTTAAATTCAAAGTGAGATTTCATATTTTTAGTAATGGTTTTATCGGATTGTTCAGACCACGGAAACAGGAACAGCTAGAGTATGCATACGATAACGAAAATAATGTATCACTATCAATACATAAATCAAATTATATTTCAATATGAATGGCTGTTGCATGCAGACAAATATTTAATACGAAGAGGCGACAAACATTACGATGCGAAGTTTAACATGTAAGGAATGATAGCTGCTTTAACATATAGGATTATGGTGAAAATGGCCCCTGTTTTGTAAAATATCTTTAAGTTGAGGACAATCTTGAGCAATATAATGCCAAGCATTGGATTAATATTAAAGGAAAAGCTGTAATATTTTAAACAAATTATGCCGGTACTTTACACTTGGTGTATACTAGGAATGATTGTCGAAATAAGTCGCTTAAAGATTAAAATACAATTGTTATAAGTCGATACTATGATTTTTCCTCATTCTAACACCAACTTAATATCAAATCTGGTAGCGCTGGGACAATAGTTGATTGTCCATACTACGAAAATTAAATAATTGAGCAAGCATAACGGTCTTACTTAACGTTACAATTTCACAAGCAGCAAATATTTCTGTTAAACCGATCTTGTCCATTTTAAAGAGCTGTTGTAATAATGAAATGTAGCACTTTGCTTAAAAATATCTAAATCTAAAACACACGATCTAATGAAATAATAACACCGAAATATAGGAAAATAGCGAGGCATTATAAAACTAAATCATACTGACATCACAACAAAACCGAACCAATAAGAAACGTCAGTTGAAGTTGAATTAAAATGTACTTTTTACATGTAAAAAATCCCCAGAATATTATAATACTGAAAAAATGAGCGATGCGATAATATTTGTTTAATTTGTAAGTATTGATGTGATGTATGTGATGTAATTGCAACTTCTGTTTTAAAATTGCTTTAATTTGTTCACGGTATGGAATGTCACAACACCTTACGTAAAGGAAAAATAGAGGAGCAACTAAAAACATATCTAATGAATATGATATAATATAAAGTTAGTATGCATATCAATACTTCATTCGCAGATTGTGACTAGTGTTGAATATCAATGATCCATTATTTGAAATTAATAGAACAATTTGATGTCAATATCTCATATTTTAAGAGTAAGTCATTGAAAATAAAAGTAATTAGAGTTAAGTAATTTTAAATCTTGCAGCTCCATTAAAAGAAATGGAAATGATAATCTCGTTCTTAACATCGGTGAAAACAGATTCAGATTTGTTTGATTACGTTTTTTCTTACGGTATGTATAATTTCGCTATTTCATATTTTATGCATAGTATATTGATATGCACGTTAGCAACTCCCTGTGTTAATGGTACGATAGGGGGCCACTCATAACTAATTGTGCAGTGAAGTCATGCTAGACAAGTGGAAAGTGTGCAGTCATTAGCAAGTAGTTTCTGCAATTTTTGGGTCAAGTTTGGCTATGTGGTTGCCACAGCGAAGACTGCGTCGGAGACGACTGCTACTAACCTCTTCCTTACTATCCTCCTGCAATCAGAAAGGTCAAACCAACATCTCAAAAGGTTACACCCACACATCATAATAGGCGTTTTACCAGGACAAACCCACATCTCAAAATAGTCATCTAGAGAGGATGCTTATCATATGAAATGTTCAGGACTTACGGATATAAGCAAAACCAATCAAAAGCTGTATTAAGTATAACAGTATAGAAGAGTAGTGGAACATTTTCTGTGATTTAAGACACCTCTATCATCAGCATGCGAAATGTCGTAAGAATATATTTATTCTCCAAAATATTCCCTATTCGGAGAAATCTCCAGCTATGAAATGATCCAACCACTGGTGTTATTATTATAATATTTGCTTGCTATTTTTAGACCATAATGAAAGTATATTCAAATTATACCTTCAAAGCATGCTTAACCAATGACATCTGCTACATCAGAGCTATAATTTTACAAAGTTCCTTCAATCTACTTTACACATTTTGGTTTCTCAAGTTGTTTTATGGTTTGACGATGCATCCTAACAATTTTTATTTTTTTGCGTAATTCGCCGAACAGTCCCATAGAAAAAACAAATACATCGAATGAAAATGGGATTTGAAAAATAAACCATCAGTCTATTGCTGTCAAATTTATGCGTACATATTCAACAATCATAATATACAAGAAAACTCAAGTAACGAAAAGTTTTCGTTAGGTGACGCAAAAAGAGAAATGTTTTCATTTTCAAGTTAAAGGAACATGTCTCGGGGTTTTTCCCGGGACGATTCGTCGGTACATTGATGTAAAATTAGTAAAACTATGTTTGACATATCGTTTACAATATCAATAGTCGAGAAATCAAGTGAAAAGGCTCATAGATCTACATCATAAATATAATAATATTCATGTTTAACAATTATTCGTTTCAAATAAAACAACCATTGTGGCCGTTCCAAAGAATTTCTCTCAATTATTTTTATGACTGAGCTAGTCAATCATATTTCTTGATGGATATGTTATGATGAAGGTACAATACACGATGAAAAACAGGAACAACCCACCATAAGACAGCATTTTTAATAAATTGATAACGAATTATGGTAGAGTAGACAAGCAGAATAAAGTGCCTTTACCAAAAGTAGATTGTTCAACATAAAACACCATTATTGTTGTGTATGTCGTTTTCAAAATACGTTTCCTCTCCGAATTCAACCTTTTAACATTTTTAATGTTATCATGTGCCTTTTACCTACTTACCATTTTCATACTGTCAAACTTGGTCTGACTTGATTTGTAAGCCCTCCAATTATCTAATATCAAAAGGCCTACATAGATTTTCCCGACTGTTAACTTTCCATAGGTTAGATCTGAAAAGAAAAACAACGTCATAAAATTAAACGAGACAATTTTAATTGTAACGGGAATATTCATAGTCCCCCAACTGCCCCTATGACATAATAAACTTGCATACAGTGTTTGCGCAAAATTAAGATAATACGAGGTACCGTCGGTATCACCTTGGCGCACACCCCTAAATGTGTCAAACAATCAGAGAGCACAGGGCCATGTTTGATGACCTATCAAAAATAATACCACGTTACACACATCTACACATGCCCACCAATGCTCATGTTGAGCTTCATAAGTATTTCATAAGTATCCGGCCGTTACATTCTGAGAGAAAAACTCTGGAAACCATTTGGAAGAAAAATAACAAGAAAGAATAGAAAAAAAACCCGCTGTAAAACAACTTCATTAGGGGGACTTAACTACCAATGAATTTATACAAAAAAGTCATATAAACTATACTTATCAAAATAAAAAATAAAAAATACGAAATACCGACACAATATTTTTGGGTCAAGTACAATGTGTTACAAAATTATCTATAACCGGATTTGTTTTTTGCGTTGATTATCATGCTTTCATTACTCAAACTCTTTTCTGGAGGGCACATTTTGAATGTCAATATACATGTACGCACATATTGTTGTACTGATAAAGCAAAAAATGGCACTTTTCCATTGTACAGTTAACAACATACGAATTTGTGTTTGATATGAGCCCGTAGGAGCACGCACCATTGTTGCCTGGAACGAGACGATTGACCATTTTACGGGCTTGGACCGGCCATAACCTTCTTACGATGTCTCTCATCTCTTCGTCCTTCTTGTCCATTAGCTCAACTGAAATATCGGAGCGCAACTCATGTGCAAACGACCTAGTGCCCATTTGTAACAAAATAGTGCTCAATATTTAAAGAAATCAACATGCTAAATTAGATCAAAAGTATAAAAAGTAAAGTTCCGAATTAGAATGTATAAATTTCTATTATTGCTTAAGTTCAACATGGCCTCTTCAATAGTATGATTACTGAGTAAGAGCTTGAAATTTAGAATACCTCCAACGTAACATAAATGTTTCGCCCAAAAACAAAAGAAATCCCGCCCTGCGCAAACTTAGCGGCTTTGCTAACAATATTTTGTTTACAATACCAAGCAATTAAAACGTTAGCCGTTTTACCATTGACGACATGTTGAAATAACAAAACATGAAACGTCACAGATACACATCTTTTGGTTGTGCTACATGAATATTTTCGATAAACTTTCTAATATATCGTCACCACACCATCGATGTTTTTTAAGTCATTTGTGTCCCCCCCCCCCCCCCCATCACTTTCTGTATGAGTAGTTTTCTCATTTTTCGAATTTGCCTGTGCAATTTTTACAAAATAACGTATTTTGATAATTATTAAACAAAAATAAACAATACTATTAAACAGGCCATGTAAAATGTGTAGTCCTTTATAATTATGATATAAAAAGATAATTTCGAGAATAAGCAACGTGTTGAATTTGCAGGACCTTTGAAACGTGCAGTGGTAAAAATTTAGTTTATCACAAAATCAAACATTTACTACCGGGTTTTTTACCTTCATTATATAAAACTAATCGTTTCTATTTATTTCTAATAATTTGGCTATGCGTTAGGTACTTTATTCCCTTTTTACCTGGTGCCATTTTTATCCCAAGAGATTCCCTTATAAGGGCAAAAAGGGTCGTCGTGAAGTTGACCTTTCCGTCCTGGGCAACTGGCATGTTCATTCGTATCAATTTCCGATACGCAAACTTGTTTGGACATTTTTTACCGAACCCGACCGGCGGTTCCATGTTCTTCAACATCTCATACATGTCCGTATAGTGTATTCTACCTCTGTTAAAACAAACGAAACATGGATAGATGCACTACCAATTATGCCACATATGAAAGGGAATAAGATTCTAATATGATTTTCATTATACCATATATGGGAATCTGACACATATGCCCAATGGAAATCATATCAGACTCGTATACATACATGTATTTTTCGTATTTTTGTCATTTGTGGCATAATCGCTTATGTAGAAGATGTTAATTTTTCCTTGTTACATGATGTGATCTCCGGTTCCAGTTCTTGGCGTTTTCACTTCAATCTCGTTTTGGTTGATAAACGTGGTAAAGACAAAAACATGGAATATGAGGTAAACCTCGTAATAAACTCTTTCAATAATACTCGAACCCCAAATGCATACAATTGTTTCACCTATGCAGTAACATTAAGGCATAATAAGCACTATGCATGGGTGCATAAATACTTTATGTTTATCTTTTGAAAATAATCTGCTGCTTTTTGAGGTAAAACCTCTTTTTATATATATATATAAACAAAAAACGTTGCAATGGTTTTGTATTTCATGGTTGAATTCGTTTGTTTTTATTTTTTATTTTGTTTGTTTGTGCAAAGGTATTAATATCCCAGGCAATGTTTGACAAATAAAAACTGATTTCGACTGAGAGAAAAGTACATGCAAACAATTCGGTTGTCCATTTTGTGAATCATCAAGAAACAGATAAACGACGTGCCACGTGACAGGCATACGTACGTAGCTGCCGGATCGTAGTCAGCCCACACCCGGGAGTACTCGTCTAAATGATGTGGCCCCAATATGGAGCTGTCCCTAGTTAGGTAGTCAAAATTGTCCATGATGACGGCCACAAACAAGTTTAACATCTACAAACAAAGATAGGATAGCGTGCAACGAACATTGAAAGCAACTAACTTTCAAGAAGGATGCAATCGATTGAACAGTATTTGAAATGAACATGGTCAGTAAACACTACAAAATATGAACAATGACAGTTTATCAAAACCATTTAGATCCATTTTGAATCGATCTGATTAATGGTGAGATGATGGAGGGGCAATTAAACTAATGCTGAACATTTGACTGTCACCTATAAACTTACTAGGTTAGCATTGTTATATGCAGAGGGAAAACAAGGATTCTTAAACGAGCTTATTACAATTGATCAGGCATAAATCACAAACGAATGAAAAGTCTAAATATACCCGTTAACGTTATGAAGCACGTTGTTAGAGAGTTACACCATTGACAAATTTCAAAAACTGAATCCTCCTATTGGTTTTATATTTAAAAGTCACAATTAAACTAGAAACTTTGTAGGTTTGAAATGGCTAAATGAATTATACTTTTAAAACCGTATTATACTGAATGGTTTAATTCAAAATACCATAAACATATACCAGTATTTTATATATTGTATTTTTGCAAGACACATTTTTTCTTCCTAACTCGCAAAACAAACAAATACTCCATTTCATATGCATATTTTTTGTGTGTGTTGTAAATATTTATTGAGACTCAAATGATGTTCATAAACCTGCCGGGAAAAGACTCCTCGCAAATATCTAATTAAAAGACAAATCGCGAAAAACAAAATATGGTTAAATTAAACGATTTAGTTAAATGATTTTACTCACTAGAAATGAACAAAAGAAAATGAATGACACGAAGTAGATGTATGCGAAGTCCAGGCCACACGTCTTCTTTTTACTGCCGGACTCGGGATCACATGTTTGACCACTCAAACACGACAGCATTATCTGCTGCCAACTTTCCCCAGTGGCACATCTGAAAATAAATTCCACAGGCGTTTGTATAATTCTTTGAAAATGCAGCAAGGTCGCACATATCGTACGCACGATGTCTTGCTACACTCAACTAACCCATAGCTTCGAGTTTCAATTTTGGCCGCAAGTATTGACAATATGGTATTTTACTTTAACAAATATATACATACACTCTTGAATGTTTCACATTATATTTTTCAAAACAATTCAATGTTGAATTGTACATTGAATAACTTCAAAAGCGTGTATTGCATGTTAAGAATTGATCGATGAAGATTTATTTCCAGAACTGTCAAAGGAACTGTAAAAATCACAACTTACCTGAACAATAGCATGAGGCCTTGAGCAAAATTACGGAAGTTGTTATGTCTTGTTATAGATGTTTTGGAGTCTAATTTGATGTTCCCAAAAACCTGAAATAGTGAAAGGATAATTTCATTGTGTCTTCTAAAATGAATGTTCTAATTTTAAGTAATTATCTTAAGGAAGGTGATTAGGTACATTGTAATAAGTGACCTAAACATGACCGATTATAAAGCTGAAAATATGTACATGTTTTACGATGAAACAGAACGACATTCTTTGTCCTGAAAATGATTAAGAGTGTTATGTTGACGTTACATTTATCAGCGTAACAGGATTAAGTAAACAACCGCACGTCTAGATTGGGGTTTTGTTTTAAAAAAAATAGTTCACATACTAAATGAACGGAAACACGATGGTGAAAACTTCACACAGTTGTACATGTACGTCTTTATAATACTGTAATTACTACATGTAAAATCCTGTCGGCAAAATTGCTATCACGGATGACTCCGAAAACTACAATTCATGAAACTGCATCGTGACGTCATCTTGTGGCGTTTCAAGTGGATGCCATCTTTTTTTTGGCGACACTTTCGGCCACTATTTCGTAGTTTAAAAATCATTGGTCATTACTTACCTGCATTCCAATAATGGCATAGATGAAGAACAGCATCAGGATCAGTAGACACACATAAGGCAACGCCTAGAATAAAAATAAATGTGTTACATTATTCATAATTCCTCTCTATTTTATAAAAAAAAAAACACACCCACATGAATTTAAACATGAAGTGTCAATCATTTTATCATGCATCATTGCAATACAGACAAAAGCAGGTTTACCTTATTTAAAAAACAGTATAATAAAATTGATCGACACACCAATACTGCTAACTATTCAAACAAAACAAGCACATCCGTTAATTTACTGGAATGTGAATAGGATTTACCTTGAAGGACTGAAGGAAAGTCCACAAGAGCAGACGTATTGTATATCCCTGTCTCAATAACTTGATCAATCGAGCCGCTCGGAACAGTCGAAACACTCCCACGTTGAATCCTACGTACGACTCCTAGAATAAAAACAAACAACCAGTCTTTATAAATTGTACTATATTTTTTCAGAACCCTTCCAATGATGCTGATATTTCTACGTCATCAGCCACGTGATGCATTCAAAACCGACTGACTTAATGTTGTAAAAACATCCTCCAAATACAACAACTATTTTAACGTAATTTTACTAATTTAAAAAAAAAACGAGTCTTTGGACACCATAGCGATTATGAACAAAATGCTAATTGTTGCCATGTCGGTTTTGAACAAAGCAGTGACTAATGCATTACCAAAGCCTCATACATATCTAAGAGCTTATTAACACAGAATATCTACATGAATGTACAGACAAATCTAAGAGCATTAATGCATAGCATGATAAATGGCGGTGATAGGAAGTCTGTAAATCATTCAACATCGTTACCTTGAATGGAATCAAAGATGACACCTCACATGTGAAAGCTGTTAATGCAATTCTTCTTTGTTCATATAACTCCGACAAAATTACATTCTAAAATCAATCATCTAATCATATGAACTTTTAACAAAGTTCTACTGTATACTTTCTCCAGATTAAAAAAAAACCTATATCAACGGACTATGCGCATGATCAGTAACTGAATAACTGAATTATTATAGTATTTCATGAATAATGTTTGCATCATCACATTAAAATCAATTCAACACATCATCTAATTCTTCATAAGAGGATCGAAAGATATATTTGTTTTTGTTCTCACGGCAAAACAAATCACCCCCATCATAAAATTGCACATTAAGACTGAACGTTAGGAGTATATAATCTCGCTTAGTTGGCGCGGCGGTGATGATGCAAATATATTTCAATCGATGTTAACACCCAGTATATCCACTTGTGTGCTGATCAGTAAATGACATTTATGAAATTAGATCGACTAAATACAGATCTATCAGAATGAACAGTTGTGAGAGACCAGTACCTAGGGTAGATGTTGCAGCAGCTGGATAGGCCAGTGATAAGCGGGAAGGAATAAAGTCAGAGTAGGGAGTGGAAAAGACCTTAACGATGATATTGTATGTGCAGGTTAATTGCTCGTGACATATATAGAATAATGAAAAATTGAAACAGGAAAGTGAGAAATATAATACTGGTGCAATATTTTTATGACGTTATTACAAATGTGTTAATTGGGCTATAACAAAAAGAATGGTATTTCTTAGCATTCGACCATTAACCAATTGTTCAAATGGAGGTACAAAATTGCAAGTCTTGAATGGCACTACATGGTAGAACGTTCACCTGAAGTTATGGTCTATAAGTAATGTCATTACTAAAATACTTTCGAGTTGGTCTTTTCATCGCAAATGACGCGGTTGCGATCGCGTACTTGCAAAGTTCGACGCGGGTATAAGTTTAGATTGTATCAAACACCATGTCTGGTAAGAACAGGGTAAGGAAACAGAAAGAGGAAGTAAGCAAAAGCGAGAAAGTATATGAAAAGGATATGTGGAATTAAGAGGAAACAGCAGGAAATATGTAACAATACATAGACATTGTATTTACAGTTTCAGGTTTACATGAGTAGCAATGCAGATTGAAACTGACTTTGGCACTATAAACGCATGTCAAGGTATGTTCACTGTGTCTAAGATGATGTATGGCGAAGATTGTTTATTCAATTAATGTATTCGAAATGGAATTATATCGTATATTGATAGATGCAAACTGATTACTCTTAAAGTTCATTATTCAATTAACGTGAATTACAGTTCAATGTCCTCAAATGTCATTTCAATACACTTTGATCTTGTAATAGTGAAATCGATTGATTGATCTTATGGTTTTAATGGTGTATTGACAATGACCTTTCCATTTTATACATCATCATCTGCACAGCAGAGCGAGGGATACATTTGCACAGAGCATATTCACATGAATAATGAAAATAGGTGTAAAAACTGGACAACTCTTTCCAGATTTGATCAGATAACTAATACTCTTTTTGCTCGCCAATAAGTAATATAACTTAACCCTTTTCAGTTCGTTTGAATGTAATTGATACCACAATACAATGTGTCGTATTTCATTTTTCCACAACACGATTAATTTGAATCACTCTTTAAAGAAATGGGTTATTTTCGAGTTTCCAGTGTTTATTCCTGTCCATAACAATGAGAACTAACGGATGTCTGTAAGGGTCGCCGCTAGTTTGCTTTCAACAATGAATACCAGACATAACATCAACACATAATAAACACATGTTAAGACAAATGAGACTTTGAATTTTTTTTCTAAAGGAAGACTGCAATACAAAACCATTACAAATTTTATCCAAATACTCAGTTCCATTTTACACTTTTGTAAGCTATTTTGTTCAAACCAATTCTTTATATTTTCTTCAATGCTAAGTTTTCTACGAATGGATGATAAAACTTGGTCAATGTTTTGTGATGAGTCAGTAACAAGAGCAAAGCCTTGATGATACGCCATTAATTTGTTAAGATTTCCTAATAATCAAAACGTTTATGCAGCAAGTATGAAAATGAGGTGATAATATTTGGTTGCATTACTAATTGTCAGTAAATAAATGAAAATTATTATGATCTATCAAAACAGTTTAATTGAAATATCGTTGTATAAACAGCAAGAATGCTAAGGACCCTACAACAGAACCCATTGGATGGATATATGTACACTATCAGTTGGCACTGGTAACCTGTTTGTGTAGTCTACCAAAACTTTCTTGCTGCATATACACATACATTGGTTTGAAATTACGATAAATTGCAATGATGCTGTGAAGAGCTATCGTTAGATCTATTAACCGATTACATTTGTTATTACGAAAAATAACAAAATAGTGTAAAATTCAAACATTAAAAATACATAACTATAAGTATGAAGGGAAAAATTCAAACAACAGTTCCAGGAAAAATGACCTAGTTTCTAACAAGGCAAACTGGTTTTCTAGGTGTGTGGAAAAGACAAGTAGCCTGCTTCAATATTGAATTTACCATGCCGAAGAAAATAGATAATCGGTTAAGTCACATAGAAAGCCTAGGAAACAGTGACATGCGGTTTTGGGAAAAGGTAGGTTTTAGGCAAATACCTCATCATGTTACAACAATTCTATAGAGGAATCAGTTGTGATCTTTTTATATCACCATACAACTATCATTCTCTTTTTCTCTTCAGCTAAGGTATGGTAACATTGTGATAAGATCTATTTGTGTGTGAAACTACAAAGTGAAGATTCATTCACAGTGCTACGCGTTTACGGAAATGTGTGGCGCGATAGTACAGTGCATGGACACCGTATGACGTTTGGCAACTCAACGGAAATTCGTCCTCACTGGTGCAGACTTCTGTAAGAGGTTTTTTTCCAGCTTAATTCATGTTAATACACATTTGGCATATTTGTTCTATTACTATAGATATATTAAGAACGCATACTCTTAGTTAAATCACATTCTGTATTTAAACACAGATTATCGCAGTAAAGCACGTAGCATCGGACTGCTCATATCGACATTGAAACATTTTGTTTGAAACCTTTATTCTAGCATGCTAGTAGCAACGGTAATAAGGCTATCAATCTCGCATTATTTCCTGATGATCTAAATAGAATTATAGATAGAATTTGTTTCTGTCTATATGCACTTCACAACATTATATAACATGATGGAATGAACATGTTAGCCCTTCCGCTCCTCCCAAAATCACAACCACGCTTTAAAAGATCTACAAGCTAAGTATGTGGATATTTCAACTGTCTATGGCATGCTGAGACTAAGTGTAAGAAGCAGGAATTATCAAAATGAAAAAGTGAGTGTTGATAACTGCCGAGGGACATTCATACAACTCAAATAATGTGTGGAACTATAGTTAAATGTGAAAATGGATGAAATTAGGACAGCGAAAGCAGGATGGGTGAAGCATTATGCTAAACAGTGCTAGTCTCCTAACTGTACATAGATCATCAACAAATTGAACCGGGAAATCCCCGTACATTTTTGTTCCTCTAGCAAACCATCCAAATGAAATTATGATCAATTTTCTTTTCATAAATAGAAATGTCAAAATACAAAAGTGGAGATCCACAAAAGTGTCATATTCCTGCTACAAAAGTTATTATGTGTGAGTTATCTGCTTAACATGCTTTTTACTTCTTTTTTTCCTCTTTTTTTCTCTGCTTTGCCAAAACTGACGCAAACAATTTACCTGACATCTCAAGAAAAGCCATAAAATCTGATCGTATAATACATGTTCATGCTTCACAGTGCTACTGTGGAATTTAGGATTCTTCATTCCTTTTAATTCAGACAGCTAGTAGATTTTGTTGACAAACAGATTCATTGAAATACGTTTTGAACATTTCTAAAGTCTATGTATAGATTAGATCAAATAAATAAAACAAAATAATAAACTAAGTTGTCAGTTCCTAATCAAAGTAGAACTTGTCAATACCCATGCAGATTGCACTAGAGAGCACAAACCAAAGTGACGGTGTATGAAGGAAAAATGTGACTTTATACATTCAGATTGAAAGGCAAAAAGTAATGCATGTTGAGTCAATTTTGGCATTTATTGAAATAAAAAATCCTGCAAAAAGCCCAATATGGTTTGGTTAGCCCTACAGTTTGTGTTTCAAGATTTGTTTGACTATTCAGAACACTGGATTAGCATTTTCATTTGTTTTCTCAAATATTGGATTGAATACCTTTGTAGCACTTTGTGCTAAAACAAATACAAGGTATGTAATGTTTATTATTATTATAATAGTTTTACAATAACGGGGCTTTTCCAACAGTTTATCCTGTTCGAAATGGTTCGCCTTGAATTCTAAAGGATATGAGAAAACTTTTCCTCGAAACTTAGACGGATTCCGTTAAAATATTGATAATAATTGTGTATAGTCTTGTTACATTCAGTTCTAAATAATACAGGTTTTAAACTCCCATCATTTTATGATTTTGTGTGGGCAACAACACACATATTCTAATTAAAATTTCAATTTGAAATATCTGCGTTTCGTTGCTGACAAAAAGTTATAAAAAAAAAAAAAAAAAAAAAAAAAAAAAATTGGCGTGAGAAATTAATAACCTGAATATTTACCCAAAGTTCACAAACTACTAATCGGGAGTTTTTTCCCCCACATAATCTTACTCTAACTACTATACAAATAAATGGGTTCTTCTTTGTCAGGTTTTTCTGATGAATCATCGCTTTTTTTTAGCCTTATTCAAAAGTATTATTATTGAAAATGACCAACCGGTTCTAAATGATAAACGAAACGATCTACGCAATTTCTATTTCTTTTGCTTCATTTCAGTCTGGTTATGTGAATTATGAACTATTCAATAATATTATTTCTACCATAATTTGTCCTGCTTGGCAATTGCCAGGGCACTCTTTAAACAGCATAGGTGTTGGTTAAACGTTAACTGATTTACACCTTCCGTCGCTTCAATTGGTTACATTTATGACCTAATGAGGTGGTGGTTTGACGATTGGCATACATTGTCGAACATTTACCCGCGATGTAGTGTAAAGCACGATGCATAAACCTAACAAGACGTTGGTTTTACCAATACTCATAATTATTTAAAATCAGAATGTATCAAATAAATCAGTCCATAATTTTGTGTATGTGAAATTTTGCGAATTTATTAAAATTAGAAAAACCTCAGATTCCTGCTCAACCGAACCGATTTGTAACAACGATGCCGATCCCTCGAGAGTAAAATCTGTGGTACGTAGACAGGCATTCCACATATCTTGATCGTTGTTTGTCGTCTTTATATATATTGCATGTGTTATTTTTCATAATTCAAAAGAAAAACTCGCCAAAGCTTGTTTTCCTTTCCAAATTGACAAATCATCTAAGTTAGAAAAACATAATGAAAATCAGTCGGTCTTTGTGGTTCCAATTTCTCTTGCTTACTACCTTCAAAACTTTCAAACATCACTTAAGAACCTTTCACATACAATACAAATTAAAAATCACACTTAAGCACTATACATATATAACATTTCGATAGTTTCATTTGGACGTGAAGGCTATAAGGTACAATTGATAACCGCAATAGATAACTTGAAAAGAAACAAAAAAATGGGACAGCAAAACCCGTTAAAGATGTCTTGATTACCAAACAGTTCTTCAGACAAAGAAATTCATAAAATGACTCGAGGTCAAATTTGAATACGAGAAAGTCGAATATTTATTTGGAATCCGTCTAAATTGCATGTACACTAACAATAAAAGCTTCACGCTTAATTGAATTCAATATGCTTGAATTCAGGCGCTTTAAACCATTTCCAGACAGGTTGTAATAAATTGCCAATTGGGCGAATTACAGGATCTGTACATAACAAAAATATTCATTCCATAGTCATCTACGGATCTAGAACAGTGAGTAGCTTCCATCCATCCCAATGTTGGATTAATGGCAAATGTTTATCTTTATATATATATATATTCTCACATATAATAGGCATTTTTGGATATTGATAATACAATAGAAAGATGCAGATAACAATCTTTTATCTTACAATCTTGCTGAGAAGAAAATGTGAATTAATACATATTGGTTCTAGAGTGCAATTTGAATGAAAAACTTTCATTCAGTGAAATATTTGACGTTGATTTAAATAAAATATTTAAAAAAAAAGTGATTGTATTTTAATAACTTTACAAAGATCAAATTTACAAGAAAAAAATACGTATAAGCGTAAGCACCACATAGTTAATATATAAATATATAATCTTCTAAAGTAGATAATTCTTTAAATTAAAAAAATGACAATATAATCTTTAAAAATTGTGAAAACTGGATGAAAGCTTCCACGTGGTTTGCGGTAGTTACACGGTGCCAGATCTACACAGAGTTAATATTTGTAGTACTTGGAAACAAACCTCATTTTCAGAGCCCGGAGTTGGTGCGCTAAACTGCGCCATTATCGTCTCCAAGTCAGAACAACAGAAAGCCATTAAAGTAGGCGTCTAATCTTTTATTTTACGGTAATCAAATAACACAAACCTGTTTATGTTATTACCGTAAATAACCTAACAACAAGTGCATTTTATAGTATACTACCTCTAAACGTTGACACACAAGTGCTTAATTGTAAAATGCTGCTAACTGTTGATCACATGTGCTTTTAATGGTAAAATACCGTTTATAAGGTACAGTACCGCTAACTGTCGATTCTAGGTGCGTTTATGGTCATTTTTCTAGTAAATATTTAACAATTTGTGCTTTTAGACTACAACAATTGCATATATTGGTCAGAGGTGATTTGGGGCTAAAGTATCACTAAATTTTGGATGACACGTGCTTTTATTTAAATTACCACATGATGTTACAAACAGGTGCTTTTTGTCTACAAGACCGATGATTATTACTGGGTCGTGTGCTTACAAACCTTTGGGTCTACCACCTCAAATACAGAACGGCAAAGCACTATTTAAAACCACTGCTAACCAACACACATTCTGTGTTCAGTACAAAGCTTAGACTATGCTCAAAGCTTATTTTGTGATTTTTACAAAAATCCGTGTGTTTCTTGAAATAAGCATAGCAACATTATTTTGTAATGATGTTACAAGTGGAAAATCATAAGATTATTTAATATTAACAGTTAACATTCTCTGAAGAATACAAATATTGAAACTTTATTTATTTCGATTTGAACATTTAATGTTATTCGTTGTCGATCCGTTACCTTTGATAGAAAGTGCGTTTTTTATAATAAATTATCACGATTACAAACAGGTTTCTACTAACGGGTATTTACATGTGCTTTACTAACCTCGGTGTTTATCGCCTCCAACTCAGAAAATAGCACCTGATTACCCTGGTTCACAAATAAACACTGGACATGTTTTCAATATTCTTCATTTTTTCTCATTTCTTTTTGCACTATATATGTTCATTTAAGTATATATCTATAAAGTTGCATGTTAAAGAAATATCTACTTTGTTTATACGACTACTTATCAGGTATATAAATCCTCAGAATGCATTTTCTTTTCACTTGAATTTCTTTTCTTTAATTGGTTTATCTAGCTTATCAGTTGTGGGTTTTGACATCTTATTTTATTACTGTGTCAACTGCTGTTAAAAAATCAATGTTTCACAGTCTGCACGGTAGAGACTATATTCCGTAAGTAGACATTAGTAGTTAGTAGAAAAATAGGGACAATAGCATGTAAAATGCACCAATAATAAAGAGATAATACCCAAAGCTTCAAGAATATCACCCAGCAAATCAGACAAAGATTAATGCATCTCTATGTGAACTCCTACGATTACTAGCATACATATTTAAGAAGTCTGTAGATGATAATGACAGAGTGTCTGTAATACAATGCCTCCACCGTGCTAGTGATACCCATATACAAATAGCATAAGCAGCACAAATATACAAGTCGTTTCTGTCATACAATTAATAGGTTTTTTATGCACACTAAAAATTCCTGATGAACATACAAAAACATCATGATATACTTTTGAAGAAACTTATCCTATGTTTTAAAAAGGACACAGTATGCATAACATGTACCAGATAATTCAACAATCAGATACGATTCCTGAAAGTAATACTACAATTAAGAAACATGGTTATTTCTAAATAACTCTGTAGATTACAAAAATACAATAACTGCGTATTTCATACGCAGGTAGGTTTGATATTAGCATAATTTATTGTCTAAATAATTATCAACAATGATTTAAGTGACCTTTTCTTCCGAAATAAATCTAGATTAAACTTGGTTCTACACATTTCCAAGTTGTTTTAGACATACAATCATTGAACGACAGGTGGTTTTAATTCGATAACACAAAATTTAGTTTTCATTTGAAAGGAAATCAATATCTTTCTTTCAGAACGGATCTTTCATTTAAGTAAATTATATGCTTGAAGTTTATGCTATATAGAAGAAATACATTTCCCAATAAAGTGGTTCTCGATCATTTCTACTACATTGACAAATACTGACGTTCAAGATACTTACCCCAAATTCACTGACAAGCACGTCAATGATACTTCCTATGACCGTCACAAAGTCGAATACATTCCAGGGATCGCGGAAGTAGTTCTGTATAATTTGAAATTAAAATAATAAAATAAATTAGTAAGTTTACAGGCGGAAAGGATAACAGGTTTCAACCATTACTGATAAATAAAACAAACCAAACATTGACATTCCACATTTTGTTCCGTTACCAGAGAAAGTGATACAAGAATATGCATGATATTGTGTCAATATGACTAAATTGAATATTATATACTTGATTTTGTACACGTTACATTGAAATTGCATGTTTAAATTAGTCAGAAATTTAATATTAATGATTTTTTTTTTATAATTACCGTAAATTGTGGTATAAAATACATATTTTGAAATTGAAATTGATATATTAGTATCGTATTTACAGCGAGAAGGATTACAAGTATGTTAAGTTCTGTAAAATGTAGCAATGAAGCATTACTCAAACAGCTTGTATTAGTAAAAACTAAAGCATGGCTATGCTATGTCTGTTAGAGCTTGACTAATACTTCTATAATGTTTCCAAAATGTACATTTATTGCAAATTAAAACAATTTAAATGTATGTTTCAATATAATTCTACATATAAAACAACTGTAAAATGAAATACAAATTGTCGGTCAAGTCAGCATCACAAAAGGTGAGAAGATATGGAGGAACACGTAGGGCAAGTCAAGATTTTAGTTAGCGTACAACTAATTGGTCAAAGCTAGATGTTTGTTCATGAAGGGTCCTGGTCATTTCACTAAACACAATTCATGAAACATATTTACCGTAAACTTGTTTCTTCTATCATTTGTGAGATGTTGAATACAGCGAAATAACGTTCATATTCTTGTGCAATGTGCCAGTCTACCGAGATTTGGTTTGCAATTATTGCTATTAAAAATATGTCCTCAATATGTAGACCAATATTTAAGCAATTTGAGAGTATATGTTAATAATATATCACTGAAACAGACTTTATTTGACTTCATATGAAACCATTACAGGGTGTACTAGCTACCGGATGAATACATAAGGTAATTTATGTATCAATATCCTGCAAGATTACAATATATATATATATGTGTGTATATATGCTATAAATACCATGGACTAATTACATATATATTTGTGTTCGACCATGCGCAAGTACTTAACACGACATGCAATATCATTTCTACCCATACTTATAAAGCTCTCCTCTTTCTCTTTCTCTCTTTTTCTCTCCCTGAAAATAATCATCTTTCCCAAATAGTTCCCTTTAAACGTTAAATTGGAAAACGGAACTGAAATTTAGATCAAATCGGTTTAAATCCACTTTAAATCATTTTTCACCCTTACAATATTAATCACCATACAACCTCCCTTTTGTGATGTTGACCTGGAAACAATATTTGAAGTTAACACAATTCATCAGTGACAACAACTAGAGGGAAAGCTGTGAAAATAGCCATAAATATCAAACACCTGATATCCCTCATACTCCCAGATATATCAGTGAAAGTAATACGAGATACGGGAAAGGCAGTAGATGAATTTTGAAACACTGAGTATTTGTAAGAAAAATTTAAATTGGCTTCATCTTCGAAGCATTCTCCATCAAAAACCATGTTACGCTTACATGCAAAGTTATAAGTATTGTATATTTCAACATTTTGAAAGCCATCTTTTTCATCATTTTTTTTAAATACCAAGAAACTGTCATAGAACGTTTTAAAAGCCTCTTTTTAATCTGTTGACAAAGAAACTGCCTTCCCTTAAACGTAGCAATTGTATAACATATACTGAAACGATTACGTGAACATAACGCAGTTTGTACCACGAGAAAATACCTGAAGGTCGTGAATACATTTACGGAAATGTAGCTATTTCCAATCAGAAGATCATTCATTTTTTACTTATTGTAGTGATACTTCCGAACCACCATCATAATGGAAAGCATCCCTGGTATTCGTAACGACCTCTGATGAAACACAAAGCAAAGGAAACACTACAGCAGCCAACCTGATGGGGCACATCACGTTATTATAAAACAAAGTGGCATGCTCAAATTGTTAATAATATACATATGTGTACACAGTCAAGAGAATAATATAAGGATGGCTGTATATGGAGTCCATATAAATTAAAATTTCTTGAAACGTACAAAATAAGATGGTTGACTAAAATAAGGGTAACTAAGGACATTTTGAGAGGGAAGGTAGCGCATGATATAATAAAATGTAACGTTTGGTAAATAATTGTCACTGAATATAATCAGCCACACGCAAGCGAAAACAAGGGGGGTAACTGGAGCGGATATGCCTTCATCTTTATAACATCTGGTGCAAATATATATATAACATATATATACTCTCTTTATAATAAAACAGTGATTTGGAAACAAAAGATAACTGTAATGCGAGTCAATATGAACATGTTGCCGATATCATTCAAAATGGGTGTGGCGATATGTACAGGATCACAGATTGACGCAAACAATAGGAAATAAACACACGATTGTGCAAATATGCTATCCCAAATTACGTGTCGTTCATGCATTTAACATCACTACAATACAATTCAGTAGTTATTTAATCAATTAACAAAAATGAAAAATATGTAGAAGTTTATTTCATTTCTTAAAATACTGTGAATTCTTTAGGTTTCGTGGGTCTCAAATATCTCGTTTATGATATTTTTTTAAAATACACGTACTAGTAAACCAAAAAGTTCTGTAATAAATATTTAGATTATTTCGTTCGGCATGTAGATCAGAGGAACCAATATATCAACTGAAATCGATTCCACCCGAAAAATAGAATACTCCACAGTAACTCGACAAGGAGTTTGGCTAATTATATCGGCATTTTCTTAACTTGCATGTATATCTTTCGAAAAGTTAGTCATTTTGGTTAACCTATTATTCTGCACAGCCAAAACAATATTTGCGTAGATATTTGTAAGTATAATGTATCGTAATACATACTCAACAAGAAGTTCTCGAAACTGAAGTTTGGTCTGTGTTTAACAGGACTAAACCATGAAACAGAGCGTATGTAAACGTAGGCCTTATGCTCGAGGTTTCTTTCTGTCCATCATCAGAAACATTACAGCTATCAGCTTATACAGGTATACAGGTAATGGCTACTACTGACTTATTAACATAAACCAAAGCATTGGAAGGCCCAAAACCCTTTACATTTACAATTCCAAGTAGAAAATTCCGAAATGCAATTTGTAATTGAACATGTAGCATTTAAACATAACGAAATTTCAAGATATATCACTTTATATTTGAAAGTGTCCATAGTGTGGCTTATTCTTTATCAAAACGACCAACGACATTTCATGGGTAGACCACGTCAAATACATGTATTTCAACAAATGAAAACGTTGCCGAATAAAAAAATCTTTATACTGTAATTAAATTCCTTTGTTTTTGAAGGATACAATTTTTACATTTTTACTTCCTATGAAAATACATAAAGAAATACTCAGAAATATACAGTATTTAAACTCAAATTACATTTTTAATCCGAAAAATCTGTCACAGAAAAAAGACGGTGCTAGTAAGTGAGCTTTGAGGAAAAAGAGTTATGGAGGGGAATGAAAAAGTATGATATTTCTTTAAAAATAATTATAAAACTGTTGATGGAGTATTGCCAAACAGACGAAACAGCAGTTTTCTGACATAATCTTTCCTCAAAAATTATAATAAATATAATAATATAATAAATAATAAATATAACATGTTTCCATTACTTCGTTACAAAGTTCAGGAAAACGTTTGTAGAATGTTACAGCTGCTAAGTAAAATCTCAGTTTTTTTCTTATTAGCACTTAACCCTCAATTGTCGTTCCTTTTTTTCAAATTACTAGAGTTGTTTCAGTAAACACCTGTAACGCAGATATCCCTGGAACGTTTTGCTCATTGCTAACTCTTTTCTTAACTTCGTACTCTTCAACTCGTTTGTTTAAAGACGTACATGACTATGTATCGAGAGAAAAAAGTAAACAAAGATTTCCATCAAAATAAGTACGCTATTTCATATTCATGCAAAGTGGAACGTCGTTAATCTGGATTCTTGAATGCTGGCAATTTTGTTTTCGTGAATATTTCATTTTTGCAAAAATCATATTTGAGAAGATTATAAGTATTACAGGGAATATACTAAAGGCCTTTTTTTCTGATAAAACTGAATTCAACATTTACATCATTTATGAAAATAGTAAAAAGAATTGAACTCTCTTATCATTTACATGTCAAATACAATTATCAATTTTTCTTTTGGTTTTCTTCAGAAGAAATGTAATATGCCATTCAGAAACCATGAATTAAAAAAACTATTAATTACCTTTCTTTCACAAATAATTTGTTTGGTGTTTCAGAAACACAACTTGTCCAGACTAACAAGATTCGCTAACAGTTTAGGCTGCTGATGGTTGTTTGTGCATTGGTCAGTAAGTATATTCCATGCAGCATATTTGCTAAAAAAAACACTATATCACACAAGTGTGAGAAGGGCAATTCTTTTTAATAGCTTCGGTTGTTTATATATTTCCCAGTAAGCTTTTAAAAGCTCAAATACTGAATGGAAATCAAATTAAAGAAACAAGAGCATATGCTGCAAGTGTCGGAATGTAACCTGCAGCTTTTTGTCTTCTTTTTGTGACGAAGTTGATAGAGATAAGCAGTGGGTGTGAAATACATTTTAATGAAACATCGCACTCCATGTATGGCAGTGGAGGGAATTCTTGTGCCGTAACATTTTCTTTTGAAGTGATACAAGATCAGTTTTATGTTTATTAAAACATTAACTAATACCGGTATATGTTATGAAGACAAAAATAAATAAAAAAATAAGATATTCTGGAAACATTACTTAACAGTTTCAATATGCAACTTGTAACAAGCTGTACAATCGAATACAGATGGATACTATATATTTTTCCAAAAATCTTGTTTTACTGCAATGATGTTTCTATAGATTTAAAACAACGTGATAAAGAACGATATTATTCTTAAAAAAATATCTTTGTGCGTACACCTATATCTTTGTTTATCTGTATATCATGAATTCGTTTGCACTAGTCGTTGTATTGCATTACTCACTGTTATACAGAAATTAAATACAATAAAATATGATATATCGTTTAAAATAATCGCTTCATTTATGGCACCGACTAAGTAAACCGGACATGATATGGAAATTATATACAGTTTAAGAAATAAATATCAGATATATTACGACATCATCTGTAAATTAGTACGAATTAAAAGTTATATCTGAAATGCATGAATTTTCTTTGATAACTTTTATGGATACACAATTATTTATAATACTGCGGAACACATGGACACAAGGACATGGCAACTGAAGCAGAAAGCAACATCCATTCACCGAGAAGCAAACACAACTATATTAATAGCATAATCTTAATAAGCATGTGATTATCCCTAGACCATTAAACGATATATACAATACAATAGTATTATACGTGATTTATAAAACGCCTTAGAGCTAACTTGTAAATAAGATAGAGCGCTAAATGTATATAATTGTTTTTCATTAGTGTCAATATTTCTTTGGCACTTATCTTTACACGACACATTAACTGTTGAATGTTTCTTTATTTTCCATTCATTCTTTCCTATATTTAACATTTGAAGAAAAAAATTATCACTCTAAAAATATATAACTGACATCAGCTTAACAACTTCATCATAAGCTCACTACCAACCATAGCACATGAGGATAAATGCAAAAGTTATGTTAAATAGATGCATGCACATACTATAATGGAGGATGAATATCCAGTTTCTATACAATTTCCTCATATTAATCAACTGAAAAACACGATATTGATTACCGAACAACCACTGAGTGACCAATCAAATTAGAGCTTAAATATATATGAACAGAAATGAATGTGGCTGTGAGTTGGTGACGTAATATATATATGACACTGACGGCTGACGTGTAAATTAAAGATGAAGGCATATCCGCTCGGCGGCACAGCACAAAATCGCACTGGGACAACACCCATAGGTGGATAATAGTCCCGGGTAGTCTGTTTTATAAGCGATGATTTCATTGTTGTTTAATTGATGTGATTGAGTGAAAACCTTTCTGTTCTTGTTACTTAGCACACAAATGTTGCACTTTTACAACTGCAAAAATGGAAAATACCACGGCTTTGAAAACAGAATACCCAGGTTTTGTGGATAAGGGTGTATGTCGGTGACATAGTAATTAAGTTTAATCCACAAAATTAACGACTGAAAAACAAAGGAGGTTGACGACTTTTACAGACTGTTTCCGCAAACCTTTACTCCAAACGCTAGTATCTTGAGGACACACTCGACGGTGAAAAGAACCGTGAATACGATATTTATTGATATTAGAACCCTTTCGTATTGAGTTGAAGCCGCTGTTAAATCAACATCGTTTCCCTGTGTACCATCAAATTGGCTTTGGTTAGTGAACTGAAAATCAAGCAGTTTAGAAAACAAGCAAAGATTAAACCTCTTTCCATATCACACATCGTTCTATCTGAAATCAGCTCGATTTGAATCTGCACGTGGGAGGTTTTTTTCGTCTCCAAAACTGATTTACCATTTTGTTTATTTCCTTGCAGGTTTGAATTCAACTTTAAGGAGGAATCACATATCTTCAATAAGTTATAAAAGATGGAAGATATTGGTATTAAGATCAAAATCATTATTAGTGTGCTGATTTCAAACAGAAATTTAAAGGGAGACAACTTCAATAAGAAATACTACGTACATACATATATCCTTATCAGATTAAATGGATAGACTAGAGTCATCTCCCTTTATGAGTCATCATTCAGTATTAGGTATGTATTTGGACAATGCAATAAGTTGTGCTACGTTTTTGTAAGATCTAATGTCGTGCAACAAGGCAGGCCCAAGTCTCCATATCACCTAGCAACCAACGTCATGGCAACAGAAATTTGTATACGATTGTTAGGCACAATGGCATGAATAAATATATACTTGCATAAAAAATTGCATTGACACATTTCTTTCCCTTTACTAAATAATGCACCTGCACACTTTGTAATATTTTTTATGTAAGTATAAATGCTGAAGTAATTAAAGATCATAGCTCCACATTCTGAATTTGTTTCCATGACAATGGTGTATAGTTACTTGGTGAATGAGTATCATACACTAGAAATACCCAGATCCAAAGATTCAGTGACATCTACATTTCTATTCATACCAGGGCAATGAAAATTCATTCCTTTTCATACACAAACGTGTGTTTATCATTCCTATCTTCAAACATTTAAAAAACGTATGCTTAAAAACCGTTAGTAGCAACACACTTGATTACTTAAATCAAGAAAACAAAAGTATCCAAAAAATAAACGAACCAAAATAGTAATTTAAATTTCAAATTGATAATGGAAACATATTTTAATGCTTAAATGAATTTTCAAACAAACCCTTGATACAAGTTGGTGATGGATATGAAAAGTACACAAAATAAATGAAAACCCCATGACCTATAACTTTGCTAGCTTACCCTGCCAAACCCTATAAGCTTGAGAGTACATTCTATGGTGAACATTACTGTAAAACCACTATTTAGGTATTTCAAGATCATCTTGTAGTCTTCTGGCTGCTGAAAATACTGGATGGCAAGGAGAGAAGATGTCGTCAAAGTAACAACAAAATAAAACGTTGTCATGGCAACAGAATATAAAATATAACCTTTCATTCTTGGTAAAATACTGAAGGTGGTGAATGTTTTCATTGGTGCCAAAATATTTCCCCTTAAACAGTTACAAATTCTTCATTATTCCAATCTGATTCTATTACAAAACTGTATTACTAAGATTGTGAGTTTTGTTATAAATTTATATTTCTAAGTATTTTCCGTCTGTTCTTTTTGAAAAATACATAACCACTTTCAACCATAATTTATGTTCTGAGAGGAAAATATTGTAAAATAATAAAACAGTGTTAAAAAGGCCAAAACTTAAATGCCTACACTCAGCTTATTGGTTCATCGAAATGTCTCAGTTCTCAAAATGGGATTGAAATATTATTTAGTCTATTTGCTGCATTTGGATGAAACAATTTTCAAGCAAGATATTTTGATATTATGAATTATTCACATTGTCATTCTGCAATTTCAAGATACATAATAACCCCCATTTAATTTGATAAAGGAAAATTACAAAATTAAATAAAGCAAATCGAACGTTTTCATGAAACAATGTAATGATAAAATTAAGATGTAAACCTAGAAGTGATTACATTTCTTTTAATAAATATTTATATGGTACATTTAAATAAACAATACTGATAATTGCAATGTGAAATACATAACGAAATGGAAGTACCATCCAGACCTTTTTACAGATAAATTATGCTATTATCTCACTTAATGAATATTGCATAGGACACATATAACAACACAAAGAAAATGTATATGCTTACCTTCATCATCAGAACTATTGTATTTAGTGTGATAAGTGTCATGACAAAATATTCAAATTTTTGGGAGACGACCAGGCGCCAGACTCGATATTTGGCCGTCCCCTTCTGAGGCATATAGCGACTGGTTGGGCGCGCATTAATTGCGTAGTCTATGCATTGTTTCTGAAATGAAAAAAAATGGTATCATTGTCCGAAGTACATTTGTGAAATTGACACAATGTTAAACAGCATGCATATCACTGACCTGTCTAAACGGGAATTCTTGCTCATAATGAAACCAATTATATTTTTGTCTTCTGACTACAAATTTTCTATCAAACATCAAAATGTCAAACAAATTTGATCTAATTGTAAATCAATCGATTCCAGTTGCATTCAAAAGCAAAAAAAAACCCAGAATTACTACAATAAACAATTTTCCCCTAAATGTTGAAATTAAAGAATTGAAATTATATATGAAATTATTTAATGAAATATAAGCAATGAAGTTGGCAACATTTTATTTTGAAATTTGTTCAGAGGGATTTTACTTTCAAGAATGATAATACAATACAATTTGATGCCATTTTAAGATGAAAGTACAAAACATTGAAACTGAGGCTGATAGGAATACAATTAAGTGTGACAGAGCCCAATGTATTTAGTAAATTACAAACACACTTTTTAATTCAGTGTTTGTTGATGATACCAAGAGCATGAAATAACATGATTCTGTTTTCGGTAATATTTATATCATTTTAATTCTGGGATAAAAAAAGATGCTAACATAGGGTTAAAAGTAAACAAGAGAATCACCTGATTTTTGTCCAGGTCCTGGTCTCCGAGGTCACTTTCTCCCTGCTCTTGGAATGTAATGATGATTAAGGCCACAAATATGTTCACAAAGAAGAATGGAAAGACAACGAAGAAAAACACATAGAAGATGGCCATCTCCATACGGTAGCCAGGCTTTGGCCCTCTGTCCTCAACTGTCGAGTCCATTGAGTTCTTTAGCACACTGGTAGATAGTAAACAGCATTTTTTTTAAACAGTTGATCAATAGATTACACCATTGTCATTAACTGTCACAATATTTCGGCCTTCAGACCTTAAGCACTTTATTTTTTTTTATTTTTTTTTAAAGCAAGATCAACGTAACGTAAATTCACTATTGACCATCGTCCTTGCAGAAGGCGTCGTTCTTCGGAAACCGCAAAATGGAAGTAGCTTAAATTAACTGTGACTTTTGGTTAGGAAGCAAAAAAAAATGGACAGTGAATGACAATTATGTTTTGTTTTTTCCTATTGAAAGCCTTTTTGTGTAAATGTATCATGTTATTTCTTTTCTTTTTCTTTTACATTGTAGTCAATCTATTATTATTTACAGATGCTAATTGATTTTTTTTTAAATGCATGCTATTTACGGGATAATATTTATGCTATCTTTGTTCTGATCATTAGATCGTAGAACACATGCTTGCACTTACTCGGGCCAGCCTTCCCCTGTAGTAACGGTGAATAGCGTCAACATCGCAAACACTATGTTGTCATAGTGGAAGTCTTGGCGTCGCCACTCCCGATCTTTGACTACGGGTGAATCAGCACCTTCCTCATAAGAGAAGTATTGACCTCTGAAGAGTTTTAGAAAAAAAGTGAAGGATTAAATTCAAGTTTACTCAAACACTAATCTTATTGAAGAAGATATGTCACAAATATAAAAAAAAATCGAAAATATTTCGAAACAATTTTCATACAAAATATTTATGATCACTCTTGGACGTACAAGATCATATAAAAATAGTTTTGACCAGTTAAAAAAATGTAACATAACTTTGTTTCGATTGAATGAAAGTTATTAAAATTTTCTATATGCGACCAAATTGCATTCAAAGCAATAGACAAATGTAGTAATGGGATATAGGTGCCGGTATACAGGATCCAAAAACACTGACACTGAAAAACATCTACAAAGGTTTGGGAAAACATTATTTTCAATTTCCCACAATCATTTGAGGAACAAAACATTAACAACATATTTGAAAGGATTAATTCTTTGGTAGCGGGCCATTATACTTTTGGTATATTGTGACACATACTGGCATTCTTTTTTAGTTTCCTTAGACTCGTCGGTACAGAAGAAGAATTTTCCCTTGAACAACTGAACTGCTATGACGGCAAAGATGAACTGGAATAGCATGTACACGATAAGAATGTTTGACACGTTCTTCAAGGAATTCACCACGCAGTCGAACACGGCCTGAAAGGATATAAAAACATATTCATTACATCCATAGCAAAGCTTAGATACATTTTTTTTTTATTAAAAACTAAGGCTGTTATTATGCAGTGTAATAACACGATCAGATGAATTCTAAATATTGAAAATGTGTAATTTAAGTATGATATGACAAAGTTCTTCCTTTTCAATTTGACATGATTGAAACATGTTAGAGCTTGTTTCATACACATCTATTGGGAACTGGAAACAAAATTTTTCTTAATGTTCAAATCTACTGAAATACGAGTGCATGTTGAATGCCATGTGTAATACGCAGAGCGGTACATGCGTTACATTCAAATAGTCAAATGAATGATACATACTAATAAGAAGGACTGTCCGATGTAAATCAAGATTTGAAACAAAATTATTGTAAAATGTTACTCGCCAGTCAGACATGTTTCTTGGCAGAAACCACTCGCCCAAACTAGTTTTCTAGTTGCTATGGGAACAAGAGAATCCTGAGTGTTCAATACTTACCTTCAGCTTCGGAACCCTGTTGATAGTTTTGAGAGGACGAAGCACTCGGAGCACCCTCAGAGATTTGATGGTATTAAGGTTTTTACTCGCACCATCACTGTGAACAGATATAAAATTACGCTCGTCAAACCGATCATTAGAAAAAAAATTGTCGGCGTAGAACTGTGCAAGCAAGGGAAGACACACAAAGCAATGAGGTCTAAACAGGTGGGTAAAAAGAATTTAATACTTAGTGTAGGACCAAAGTAGGTGTGCTAAGGGGGATACTCATTTAAGGGTATATCTACCTTACTTTCCATGCAATTTCTTTCCTAAGAGTTCTATTGAGGATAACGTGCTACCTTACACTTACATGTACAATAACCACTAAAAATACAAAGTAAGAAAGCACCTATCTAAAGTAAGCATTTCTATACATATGACAATTACAACCGCCTCCTTTCTAAAAGATTTCCGCCCGAAGTTGCATAAAAAATATTTTTTTGCAAATATGAAAATGATTTATTTAAGAAAAATTTGTGAATTTCACAACAATGCAAGCATCGAAAATTCTGATCTTTTAGGTTTAGGTTTATTTAACAATAAGTCAGGGAGATAATTCTTACACAAATCACATGTTTATAATGTAAGGTAGCATACAAACTTAAAGACAAAATATGTGAAAGAATGATTATAAATATCAAGAGATGAATGGATATTTATGATAACAGGTTGTGAAAGTTCTGGGAATGTTGTACTTGTTAAAAGAGAAAGGCAAGAAAGAGATACTAGTTGCTGAGAAAAACGGAAAACTTGATAAATGTGCATGACTGTCTGCAGTAACTTGAAAGGGTGATAGAAAAGATTAAAGTGTGGATGGACAAATAATTAATATGTGCTCCGAGGAAAAGGTTAGAAGTAAACATCTGAAATCATTTTGTCATATTCTCAATTTGATCACGAAAGAATTCGGCTTTACTGACAAGGATCTCTGTCAGTTTAAGATGCAAATGTACTGAAAACACTCTTGGTGTGCTAATCAATATTTTTAATAAAAAAAATGCAAGAAGTGGAGATTTAAAGATGGTTTTTATAAAAAAAAAAAAAAAAAAAAAAAAAATTTTTAAAAAAAAAAAAAAAAAAAAAAAAAAATGTTTAATCAAATTTAGAAAAAATCTACTGAGCAAATGTTTCCCCGATACTGTTGACATATCAAAATCGTTCTTAATCTGAATATGCTCTTTTTTAATGTAATAAATTTATCTCTTAACAAAATTGAAAGATTCCTTTAGTTAATCAAATGAGAATATGTCCGATATCAAGATCAAGATTATTTGAATTACATCTGAAAAACTATGGCATTATATCTGCGATTGCAATTATATATTTTTTCTTTTTTCTTTTGGTATACAAAATATAGCAATGTATTTCTTTTAAAAGTAATCTTCATAAACATGTAAACCAGGTTGACAAAAATAAGATGATGACGATGATTATGATGATTATGATGATGATGATGATGGTGATGATGATGATGGTGATGATGATGACAATAGTGATACACCCTGGCAGATACACTCAAGATTACAGTTAATAAAATCGGTGTTGTTGACACTGATGTCGACAGATGGATGTGTTGACATAAGTTGTAACTTGCCCCATATTCTGTTCAGTAAAAAATTTCATCTTAGACCAAGTACACTGTCTAAATTACACTTATAGCGAATATTTTATACCTAATACTGTGACACAACTACCTCGCTTTCAACAGAGTTTCACACTTAACGTTATTTGCTATTTTACTGCATCACTGTTAAGAAACAGCGATACAATTTGATGGGGATAACTCTAATGATAAAGATGTTAAACAAAAGAGTAAATGAATGTTTGATTAGGAAATAGAAGCATCTGAAATGCATTTTTCAACAAGAGAATTTAGTTATGTACAATAACAAAAACAGTGTTTTCACTAAACGTCTTATGCAAAATTATTCATGAGCATAAATATCCATACAGGCAGACTCTATTAAGACCCTAGTCGAGTCTAGCTATGGGACAAGCAACAATAATGATATTATATAACGTGACGATCATGTCATATGACAGGCGAATAGAGCGTGTGTACAACCAGGGCAAGGTCAGGGAGGATTTTTATCTTGTAGAACGAGCTATATTTATGAATGGATTTATATTGTATATATAGCTATTCATTTTTGTTTTCAATTTTCTTTTGATAAATATTGTTTTCGCATTACCAGCATTCCTAATAAATTATTCCTTTTTTTCATTATCATATCTATACAATATGTGCAGGTATAATTTTGAGCTAAAATGCTGCAATTCTTTGATATCTTCTATTTGTTTCTACATATTCGATATAACTAAATCTTGTACCATTGGAAATCATGTTACACAAGAAATATCATTGTAAATGGTAAGTGGTGTAGCCTCTTTATCAGTAATACACCACGAAAGGAAGAAAATCTGAAAAAAGAATTCAAACTTAAATGCACTTTAGGAATCGAGAGACCTGGTATAGATATCATTGATCAACTCCATGGGCTACCCAGTCATACAACAACAGATAAATCATCTTAGCCAGATACTAGCCAACTCCATAGAGTAAATACATAACTTCTCAGATATACAACTAGACGACAAGGAAGTTAAGCGCCACTCTCCATTGACATTATACCACATTACATACATATATATATAAGCCAGGTCAACACTTCCAATAAAGGGCACTTGTAGCGAAATTCATACACATTCTGATCTGTTGATACATAGTTCAGGTGGCTTTTAAAAGGAAGTACTACAAATGCATATTCTGCTTTATATTCAAGCAGTTTCCCATCCACATTGAAAAGTAGCCAATTTCCCGTTAATTATTTACAAAGAAATGTGATTTTTTTTTTATATGACTTTTTATCTCAAAAACTAGCGTAATGACTCTAATTTCATAATTAGATTAACTGATACGCTAAACCATGCTAAACCGACGTTAATCACCTGATCTGCTACGCCATGCATTACTGATAATGCAAAGAATACAGGTTTAAAATGTCTGTGTGCGTGAGATATGATATTGTGTGTATTTAGATACGGTGGTACAGCATGTCTAGTGATTTAGAGTGACAAAGATACAAAAGGTGACAACAATTGCAGGATATGTGGTTGCTATGACATCATTATAACAATGATGATGTCATGATAATAATGGCATCATCAGAGTACCAAATTGATCACAAACTCACCGAACAAAAGAAATCCATAACAATGGTGGTTTTTTTTCAAAATTTTCACCTTAATTGACGCTGATGATGGTTTTAGTGATTTTAGTGAGCCAAAATAGGTTTTTAAAATTTTCGATAAAATTGTCATAAATTTAATTCTATGTTATAGTTTTTACTGAACAATAAGGTAAATGGTAGAGTTTTTTTTTATAAAAATATATATCTGATATCACAGAACGAAATATATACTTGTGAATAAAACCCCAGAAACTACATTTTTGTTATAACACAATCACTTGCATAACGTCAATATCATGTACCAATTGATTCAAATCATCTTCTCAACAGTAACAGCCAAACAGTACATCCAATAGTTGTGAAACAATCGCTGTGGGGTTTTTTTAAATTAAAAATATATGAACGTAAATCAAATTATTTAAAGGATGTTCTCAAGAATTTTGAGATTATGCCACCAATATATACCAAATGGGAGAAAACTGACCCCATACTGAAGCATATCTTAAACACTTTTTCTGTTTTTTGAAATTATTTAATATGTGTTGAATTTTTGCCTGTAGGAAAAATTTCGGCATATAAAAAAATATGTATATATATATGTACTGTATATGGTTATAATCTTTTTTTTTCTTTTAAAGCTTAAAAACACCCGAGGTATTCTAAGTGCTTATTTCTTGTAATTGTATTAAAAACTACTAAATGATAACCAATAAAAAAAAAGATTTTGTGATCAGATATTTGTGCAAAAACACTTAAATTTAGATAGGAAATGGGGCCAAATTTCTAGATATATCATTTATAAAAAGTAAAATCCGTGCAAGGTAGCTCAACGTCTTCCTCATTACAAAAGCAATGTTGTCTATAGATGGCAAATGGCTGTTCCGGAAGGAAGTGAAGCCGAATTGTACATGTCAAATACAATATTGATTTCAGTAACACGTGGTTTAAAACAAAACCAACATAAAATAAAAAAGTACAATTTTGAATATATATTTCCGTTTTAGCTTGTTTCACCTTGGTAAAGTAGGCAAAAGAGTTCCTCTTGCGAAATACATGAAAGTAATTAAAACATAATGCTAACATTCTAACAGTACAACATGTTTGTGGAACGTTAGTGATCATTGACATCATGCTAGCATATCAATTCTTGAAATGAAAGAGAAGAGAAACCACATTGTCAGTTCCAATGCTAGAAACATCTCAGTGTTAGCTCTAAACAGCATACAAGTACCGTGATAATGTGATGTCGTCATCGACTACCTAATCTAAACGCCCAAAAACCCTTAACCCAGTGACAATTAGAGGTCACATGCTCAAAATTTTGTAGAAATATTATAATCCGTGATGGCATCATACAAAATTACAATTTGTGATAGCATCATACTAAATTAAGCAACTGAATAATGCCTTACATATAATTTGTAAAAGTTTCTCGTGACATTTTGACTGTAGATTTTAATGACATTCATATGCTTATACAAACATCAAATTGATATTGATGTCCACATAATGATGCTTTTTTCGTATGAACATTTTTTTTTAAACAATTACGCTTAATGTAATGACATTTATTCCGTATATTGATTGCAGTTGCTTCAATTTTGAATGAGACTATTTCGTTTCCGTGTGATTCTGATAAGGGGAAACAATTGTTGATATAATGAACGTTGATCTATTATTGTTTGATAACACACGTATCCATTCAACACTACACGAAAAAAACGTCAAAATTGCTATGTCACTTAAACATTAAACAATGAGCTTCTAAAATGTATCAAATCGCCATCCATTGAATAACCTTGCAAACAATACATCTTTCAAAAAATATATGCTAATAAAGTTATTTAAGGTCAACCCCAACTACAAAACAATCTGTTATGTGAAGCACTGTATTCACCACTACATAAGCCCCTCATCTGATTAAGTGGCATTTCCTACTTCCAAGCCCCCTTGATAACAAACCACCCTTTTTACACAAAGCAAAGATAACAGATCAATAGACGATGCCTTCCCGTAAAATGTACCTAAAAGACCATTTTGATATATTCCACCTAACAGACGATGGACAATGTTTCTTTAATGAAGGATTATCATAATTACTGTTTCAAATGGCCATTAGCATTAGTAATTAACTATGGCAACACATAGCACATTTAATATATATCTTGTAAATTTCACATTGCAGCATAACAACTTCAATATTTTCTGCAAAATATAATTTGAAAAATTGCATATTATATTAATGCATAATGCTCTTCACTAAAAGTTTCAAAATAAGTTGAAAAAAAATCTATATGTACATCTATTTATTTAGAAGAAAGCATTATATATAAATATATTTTGTATCTTGATGTTAAAACTACGGTGCATGTGCTGTTTTGGCATTATGCTATCTTCCTAGAAAATATTTCACAAATTATTATTCGAATCAATGCGGTGAAAAAGTGTTGAAAAAATCTACCTTTAGAGAAAGAAATTGTCATGCAGAGAAAATATATATTCTATTACCCAGTGCTTACAATGAAAGAAGAAATGATACGATGGTTACAAGGCGAAAATATATCAAACAAGCTTGGTCACCAGTCCAGTAGTTAAGACAGGCTTAACAATTGATCAAGTTTGATTTTGCTTCCACAATTACAGTTCACGCAATATTATTTCATATATGACTGTTTTCTTTAACATCAAAACTAGCAGACTCTTTCAATGAACCTTTTAACAACCAAGCATACATATTTGTGACATCATGTGTTTTTCTCAAATGCTAAATAGCCGTCTCATTTGAATTTTTAACATGTGACTTGCAAATATCAAAGTATGAAGAGTTGACTTAAATCGAATTAATCTAATACAAATACAAATAAACTAGACTATGTGGTTTAATTTTAAGTAACAAACCTGACGATAAAATCGCTATTGGAATTTATTACAAAAAAGCTGCTAATAATCGAAAAAGGAAGACAAAATATGCTGCAATTTAACAAAATTGTGTCCGTAGAAAAATAACATGCTTTTTCATTAAATTGGAAAAGAAACAAAAGACAACGTTTTAATGGGGTTTTCTTAAGTAAGGGACTCGGGTAATAATTGATTTTAAGCATATCTAAAGTTTGGAAAAGGTAACTTATGAGTATAATTATTTTATCGACAAGAATTTCAATATTATGATTCCTGTTTGTTCTTCATTTTATGGTAGCTTCGAGTACTCCGAATGCTTCAACGGAATAAGATTATATTAAGGTCTGTGCTTCAATAAGGCTGTTTCCATATGAGCTCTCAGCCAGAAATAGCTTCAGTTGTATTCAAAGCATCATAAATGTCCACCATTTCTAGGTTAATTCATCATCTTCTCCTCTACATGCAAACTCAGTTTTTCTTTAATTATCATTACTCAAATTAGAAATTCACATTCTTTAAATATTCATTTGCATATAATTTTATGCCGTTCATTTCGTTCTTTGAAATGGTATGGATATCAAAAATCTTATTAATATTACTGTTAAAGTATATAGTTAATAATGTTTAATAATTTGAGTGCAAAAATGAAGTGAAAATATACTTTTCATGCAGTATATATTTTCATGTGTTTATCTGATGTATACACCGGTGTTTATAAATAAAACCACAGGGTGAACAGTATAATAATCCGCTTACAACATTTAATTAGTAAAATTAACAGAAACTTGTTCCTTTAAGCAAATTACATTTATAATGCTGACAATATAAAAACAGTTCATATATCTCTGCATGAAATATGTCTGAAATATGTCTGATATCAATAACGCTCTTGTGAATATTTAGGGTCTGTTGAATAATTTTCACTGTCTCTTAAAAAAAATCTGATATTTTCAAAATTTGAATTTCTCTGCAAATGGAGAATAAGTATTTGTTAGAAATTATACAGAATATTTCCACTATATCCACACAAATTGTTTAGCACTTGCTGAGTAGACAAGCGTATTGATAACATTTTATAGCTGCTGATATTGTGTTCTATGAAATGATCCCTTATTTCATGAAATTATCATTATTTTTTTCCTTTAAAAATGGTACAGGTTTACAGAATTTAAATGGGAAACCTTTGAATACCTTTATATCGTCCATTCACAAAACAAAATTTGATTCCTCAAAAACAAACACCAAAAAACCCCAAACGAATTAACTCCTCACGAGTCATTCAAAATAATCTCAATTTAAAAAAATAGTAGAATATTTTTAACACTTAGCGCTTACGAAGACTTCCGAACAATTATAAAATATTCAATAGGTAGTTACAAAAGAACATACAAATTTTAAATGTTTTAAGCCACAACCATTTATTAAGTTTTTCATCCGAGACCAACGAGTTTATTTTCATTTTTATTTAAAAAAAATATCTTAACATGGACCTAAATGTCTTCAAAAATGGACGATATAGAAGGAGTTATATTGTAACAAAAGGACCAGTCGGTCTTGAAACGTTGCGACACGTTTAATATGTACTTGTCTGATTAGTGATATGACCTTAGTTCCCTTGCCTTGAATTAAAACCATGAAGTTTAAATTATCTCTAAAATGAAAATTGTATACCTGGTATATTTTTGATTAAAAGAAGTTTTTGATTTGGTGTGGTTTTGCCTATAAAAAGTCACCGAGCAGTCAATTATTTGATATTATATATTCTCAGATTGTCTGTTCCCCTATACATCAACAATATTGTTTACAACCTTTTTTCATATATTACATTCTATAGCTTTTAGTTATATATTCTTATAATATCACTCAATCTTTTCGGGTCCAGAAATTGAGAAATTGTGGTACAAGATTGTCCAGAACAACAGAGAGTTCAAGAAAGACAGCTCGGTATCACTGTATCCGTAGTCGATAGTACAGACGGGAGTAAAGAATGGTGGAAACAAGACAAAAATTGGGTGGATCTGGGCACACATGGTTAAGAATTTGTGTTTCTCTATTCCTTACTTATAACTCAAGGATAGTTTAATATTTTTTTCGCATAAATAGCAGTATATGCTGTTGAAAAATTATATCAGAAACGATTTCTTCATGTATTTGTTCCACTAAAGCAGCAAAAACTGATGATGAACAAATCAGAGAAAAATATTTTCAGACAATATTACGTATTGATCAAATCATGAACTTGTTTGAATGCACACCCCTCACAAAGATTACCTGACCAACAATATTCTTATTTGTTTCAGTGGACAAATTTGGTATTAATATAATTTTAAATACTACAATTTCTGTTACAGTTAATGCATTAATATATCAAATGCTGAACTCATGACAAAAATAACCCTTAATAAAGTTGTGCAAGGTCATCGCCAGTTAATATGCAATGGGCATCTATTATGAAAGATAATTAGAAAGCATAAAATTAGTTCTTAAATTGGAGGAAGTAGAAACAAAAAAGGATACTGAAAAATGGATAAACATCATGCTGACGAGTATGGAATAAAAGTTTTACTGACGGAAACTAGAAAGGAAAAAACAGTTATCTTGGAATCATATGTTTTTCTCATACTTGAAAATTGAGAGAGGAAAAGACGAAACAAACGTTTTTTTTCCTTGTTCATTTCCTTCCACATTATTGTATTCAACTGCGCTAAACCCTTGCAATATTTCAAAGGAAATTATGATTATTTAAATATTTATATTTTTATCATTTGTATAATATTTAGTCATTTTTAACAGTTTTGTTTTACATATAATTAAAAAGCTATTTTAAAGAAATGATTTCTTGTTCTTTAATGGGGGGGGGGGTCCATTTATTTATGTTGGGTTTTTTTAGAGGGAGAAGGGATCAAGTTTTGTCCTACATACTACCTGTTATACTATTATGCAAAAAAGTGGATGTTTCAAGAAATTTTAAGCATTCAAGTGCATAACATTGACAAGATATGACAAAGACATGCAAATGTTATTTATCGTAGGGCTGAATTTTGAAAAACAAATTTGCTTGATTGATAATTTAATTGAAGTGATTTCAGTTAATTTTTTTGACATTAAAAAGGTAAACATTCAGGTAAGATTTAAACAGTTCTGAGACATATAGATAATTTAATTAATATAGTGTATTCTCATTAACAAAAGAATTTCGCCAGAAGAAAAAAAACTTGTTGAATGATTTAATGTTAAACAAATTTTGCAAACAAATGCATTTCTTATCTACAAAACTATTTCGCAGGAGAACAAAAATGCTTTATGAATTTTACTATGGATTGTTTTAAAAGAAATTTTGTACATGTTTCAAGTAGACTTTTTGAATGCAATAAATAACAAAAAAAGAAGTGATAAACAGGCTAGTGTGATCCAGTCAGACGACCTGGTGTTCAAAATTAAGGAAAGGTTCGTGGCCATATTGACGCTGTACTCGGGAACTGGCAGCTCTTCTCTACAGACTTACCTAAGTGGGTTTGCATTACTATGGAGACGAGATGGTAAATACAATATGTTAATAAAGGTTGTTTCTATAGAGACGAGATGGTAAACACAATATGTCAATACAAATGTTGTTTCTATGGAGATAAGAAAGAAAATACAATCTGTTAATAAAGGTTGTTTCTATGGAGACAAGAAGGTAAACACAACATGTTAATAACGGTAGTTGTTTCTATGGAGACGAGATGGTAAATATAATGCTTTTGAAAAACGTTCTTTATTATAAAGAATAATTGGATTCGTTTATGAAGGTTGTAATTTCAATGACAACGAATTGGTAAATGCAGGTAGTCATTTCTATGGTGATTAATTTATAATTTGTAAACAGAATAAGTTAAAACAGAAAGGCTGTCAGTTTCATTTCTATGGAAATTAATTGGTTAATAAAAATTGTTATGAATGAGTTGAGTTGGTAAACACATTTAGGTTAGTACAGGTTGTTGTAATCATGGAGAAGAATTTGTGAACCTATTACGTTAAGGAAGGTTCTAGTTACCACGGAAACAAATTGATAATTACAATATTTTATAAATAATGATGAAACCTTGGAGACAATTGGTTAACACAATGTATGTTTACTTATGTTACGAATGAAACTATAAAAAAAAAAATCTTACTTCACAGCCAAAACAAGCACCTAACCAGTTCGGTTTGACACAATCTATATTGATCCACAATACAACTAACACAAAGAAAACATATATAATAGATCTGAAATATTCACAATGGTCAAGGGGCAAGATACAACATATAAAGGGGAAAATACAGTTTTATCAGAAGGAAAGAAAGCCAAAGTAAGCACAAAAGCCGCATTAAGAAAAAACAGGTTTTTTCACGGGTACACACTTCAATTTAATTCAAAAGAAAAATACTTTTTTCTTATTTTCCTAACAAATCTGCCAAATATAATATTATATTGATATAAAATAAAAGTGTCTTTCGCTGATGAGTTCTAATACTAATCAGAAGATGAAACATAACGGATTCAATAAATTTAAAAATCTCCCCGGTAACAATCTAGAATACATACAGTATTATGAATATGAAAAATAAATCCTGAAATGTGATGCTTTATTATCAAACTGAAATAATATATGGATCATACCATTCGAAAAAACCTACTTTAACTTTTGACCTATGACAAATTTTATAACATCAATATATGCTGTTTCGTTTCGTATCATATATGACATAAAGAAGAACGGTATATCGTAAATGTCTTTCCCTTACAATTCTTTATTTTGCACGAAAATAACAATATATAAAATACCATGAAATATTTATTGTAAAATCAAGTATCTGGAGTATTTCAGTAAAACATCTACCCAACCACAGGACTTTGTGTTATTTTTTTCTTACCACTCACAGGACTTAATTAATAATTTGCGCTGAAATAACAGGCAAAGAACCCATACACAGAAAAAATATATTTTGGAGTCCAGGTGTCGGGTAGTTTTTTTTTACAAGAACATCCCTTCAGAGAATATGTATATATGTATTGTTATAAATTGACATACACAATAAAGGAAATAAGTGTTCATCCTTTCACCCTGTCAAACATAATGGACTTATCCATATCAATGCATGGTTAATAGTTATAAAGTATACAGAGGTGAAACAGTTAATGTCCTTGTGAATAATTACAAATATAATCCGCAAAATCAAATATGCAACAAATAACCTTCAGCCCCATTGGTAATAACTCAAATGAAATATTTTGCAAAATTTAAAGTCTTTCATTCCATAATCAGACAAAGAAATCAGAGTAAGAAGCCCTTTACCGTCAGAAGATGTAAAACTACAAACCGGGATATGACTAACAAATACATCAATAAAATTTACCAAAAATAGCCAGAAAGGGTTTGTTGAAAATATGTATTTTTAGGGGTTTTTTTGTTAGAAGAAGTGTTAATATGGTATTTTAGCTGAATGCATGTTAATTAATCGTTATGCCGCGCGTGGGTTATTGAATAATCAGTATTGGAGTATATGTTGTGGAGTTGTCACGACAAGCAAAAGTAGCTGCATCAGCAAATAATACGCCAGGTGATGAACAACCAATAGCCACAAAGAAAACAAATTACTCTGCAAACTTATCAGCTTACTAAATTACCATTTTGTATGTTATCTATTTCTCGAGTATAGGATTCATTTGAACGTATGTGTTGACATACCACCTCAATCATCAGATTCAAGTTCTAATATGTGAGATTACCGGGCTTCTTGTGTACTATTTATTTATTATAATAAAGTACTCTCAAACTTTTTAAAGCTATAGAAAAAACCTTTTTAAGTCACACACTGGGAAAGAAATAACTTGCAATTCACTTTTGACATACAAACATGAGGCTAAAATATATTTGCCTCTGACATTTCCCTGGCCCAAATAAAATACATAAACATTTACATCTTTGAAATCAAAATATATGATATCATCATTATTATTTTGGTAATTTTTCTTTTATTTGAAAATAATGCAAGATATCAGGAAATAGGTTGAACTGTTTTACCTTGAACCGACCTACCTACTCATAAAGAATTTAGGCAGATTCGGTTAGGGACAACCAAGCAGCACTTTAGACATGGCTTGTTATGTAGGTATCTCCTTATAGTATTTATCGTCATTATACATTCAATTGACCTCTAAGCTATTTCTTCTAATATCCATATATATATTTACTGTTTATTACACACACAGAATAAGTCAGAAAATGATACGTACGAAAAATTGAAGGCAACGAGGGCACATATAACCACAGCTGCATCGAGGATGTTCCACAGATCTCTACAGTAGGAACCCGGATGTAGGATCACTCCCAGATCTATCACCTAGGTAAACAAAGGTATTTCAACGTTAGGAATCAGGAATCAAATAGTTATGAAATATTTGAAGTTTTCATTAAAATATTGAAACTTATAAAAAACCAGCATAACATTACTCAGGACAAAGTATCTTCGTTAGACTCTACATGTCGATGGTTTTTTTGGATTTATTGCTAATTTACATGAAAGACTGATGCAGCCAGACCATATATGTTAATCTGGAAAATTAGTACAACAAGGTCTCGTCAAATTACACAAAAAAAACGATGAAAATAGCAATCGTATGATAACGATGTTTTATACAAAACCACCTATACTGAACCATCAAAAAAGGAAAACTATCTGTATCAAGTGAATATGCAATGCAGATGTTTAAACGGAAAACTAGAGTATTGTGAGTGTACATCAAAAGTTCGGGGAATGTGTTTGATGTTAAGACAAAGAAACATACAACAGGTATAACAATTGTTTGTAAATGTAAGAACGAACCTTTAGGATCATTTCTATGGTGAATACGGCTGTAAAAACATAATCGAAGTATTCCAGGATGCTGTTGTGGGTCGACTTCTCTCTCACGGGATCCTCTGTAGCCAAGGCAATACTACTGGCACTTATCACAATCATGATAAACAAGTCAAAGTAACGGAGATTCACCACAAAATGACAGAATCGGCGAATTCTGAAAATAAAAGTTTGTAAACTATATTATACACGGTCACTTTATCTTGACATTTCACAATTACGTCTGCCACTACAACCACGTTTTTTTCAATATGACATCCAGTAAGTACCTAACTAGTTTTCAATGAATGATGATGATTCTTTAATCATTCAAGTTTAAACAAGGGCAACAACTCTGTTGATATAACAAAATCCAAAACAAATACATGTAAATGCAGATTTAAATTATATAATATGGTTGACAAACACGTTTATCCTCACCATTTAATTTTCATGGCTAAAATATTAAAATAAATCGGATAATTGATAATTGATTTCAATTAATATTTTTGACATTAAAAAGGTAAATATCCCTGTAAGATTAAAACAGTTCTGATAATTTATTCAATATACTTTTTTTGATTAACAAAAGAATTTTGCTTGAAAAAAAAAATCGTTTAATAATTGATTTTTTACAGCCATAAAATTGTGTCTGACCTACCGTAACCTAAGGCCACCATGTACAATTTGCCTAACCGCAACTGTTATGTTTATAGGTTTTCGCCTACATGAGTTTGACCATCTCCTACAACAATCCGGACCTTTACCTCCAAAATGACTGATGACTTAATACCCCACGATTTACACAATACTCACGGGTTTGTTGGACCGAAGATGAACATGGAGCTGTACGGTAACATTGGTTTAGGACCACCAAATGAGTTCTCCTCCTGCTGCCCAGTGGCAGCTTCCGGAACGTCCACACTACTATCATTACTTCCTACAAAACACATGCAAGAACGAAGCTTCATTCTCAGTCTTCGATAGAGAACCATAATAGAGGTGATTATAGCACGATAAATAACTTTCTCATGGGGATATAGCACGATAAATAACTATCTCATGGAGATATAGCACGATGAATAACTATCTCATGGGGATATAGCACGATGAATAACTATCTCATGGGGATATAGCACGATAAATAACTATCTCATGGGGATATAGCACGATGAATAACTTTCTCATGTGGATATAGCACGATAAATAACTGTCTCATGGGGATATAGCACGATGAATAACTATCTCATGGGGATATAGCACGATAAATAACTTTCTCATTGGGATACAGCAAGATTAGATATATTTTATATACGGTTTCCACAAAGAAAAATTCTGTCTTTAAATGTACACGAAATGGAGTTTAATCTTATATGAATATCGATATAAACTGTTGAAAAATGATGTAACTGGGAAAGTTTTTAAACAAACTAAGTTTAAAAGTAGTTTCCCTGATAGAGACTTGACATGGAAAAGTTAACATCTCGAAGTGGTTTTTTTCATGAAGTTGATCTTTAAGAAAAGGATAGAAAAGCTTTTGAAACAGGTGAATTTATCTGCCACATATAAAAAGGTACAACTATTAAAAGCTTTCGCCTCTTCCTGCTAAAAAATATTTAAGAAAGAAACGTAGAGAAATATATGTATCTGTTTGTATGTTTATAAATAAAAAATAAAACGCATATCTTACAAAATAAATACAATATTTTCTACTACATAATACTAGGAAATATAAGTGCATTATACTATACTATTCTAACTACTGTTTGAAAATTATAATCGAAGATATATATTATTGTGTATGACAAGATATCTTTGACATTCAAACTTATTATTATTATTAAGATTGTTTTAAAAATATTTGTGCAATTAATCAAATAAGCATGAGACCATGTATTCTGCTATCAAACATGACAATTTCTATCAAAGATGCAGAGGAAGAATAAAAGTTCAATGTTTGTGATTACTAGTGAAAAACATATGCACAGCCAGTATAAATTCACAGGATGTCCTGATCTATCAAACAGGTTTTTCCATTCAAATATAAATCAACCAATATTCATGCACAAAAAACAGAATGAAAATAAAACCAACAACAGTTGTAAATGTTTAGTTTGACTTAGAAGTGCAGTAAAGTGACTGTTTTTGTATGTTACTGACTGAATCGGTAGCAAAAATCACTGTTGACCTCATGTACATTGCCTGTGAATTTTCTACTATGCATATCTTAATACGGAACCTGAAACAAATAAATTAGTACACAACCATCTACTGAGCGTTGTTATAAAGTAGTTCCCAATCAAAGACTGCCATCCGATACCCAGATATAATTTGAATACGAATTAGCTTAACATTAAACCTGTAACTCTTATGATCTGAATATATCAAGATATGCTGCTTGAAAATTACAAATTACATCAATACTCGAATGTCTTTATAAGATATTTTTTAAATTTTCACGAGGCCAAAAATATATTTACATTGCACACATGCTTTAGGGGAAAATAATCGATATGCATTGATGCAAAAAAAACATATATTTTGTAACTAGAATACTGATAGGTCAGCAAGGCCCCTGCTGTATGCCCGACAGTGTATCTTCCGTATAAGCACCGAGCAAAAGCAAACGTGATCATTTTGGATTTAGGGATATTGATAATATGGCCTTATGCATGTATGCTTTCCCGAGATAAACTGCAGTAATAAAACAGAAGTTTCTCACATATGTGTCACCACTGATTTCAACGTTTTGAAACCTGAAAAATGGCCTTTCCCGTTTCCGTTTTTAGTAATAGCATTTAACCCACTATTGCACATCTGCATATAATTACAGCATATCATCATGAGAAATTTCAGAAAGTTTGGCCTCCTGTAATGCCCTTATCTGATTTCTTTTTGACTGTATATTCCCAGTTCTATTTTCAGTAACAGCGACCTTGACCTAGGAATATCTCAAACCACTATTGCACATCTGCGTATATTCACAATGTATCATCATAAGAAATTTCAGGAAGTTTGTAACAGTGACCTTGACCTTAGGAACTTTTTAAACCCCTACTGCACATCTGCACATCACAGTGTATCCACATGTAAAATCTCCGAAATTGTGGCCAGCTGGATCATGAGATAATCTCCGGAAATGAAAGTGACAGACGGACGGACGGATGAACAGACGGACACTGTGATTATTATAGGGCAGCTGCATTAATGCGGAGCCTTAATGCGGAGCCCTAATTATATTTCTGGGGGATATTTATATTTTGCTATTTTGTTTTCAGAGGCTACGTAGGTAGGCATGTTTCAAGTTAATAAATATCCATTGGGTTATAAATATAAATAAAATATTTCTTTATTTAACAAAAAGAAGGTTCATTTGTTTGGTCTAACAGATTACTTTTTTCAAATCATACTTAATTGAAATTCGTCTGAATTGTAATAACCATATTTGACAGTTGTCATATACCTCATTTTGAACAGCTTCATTTATACTCTTGAAAACATCAAGGCACTCACTATGTCTTTTAAGCATAAGAGTAATCTTATTTTTTGGAGGTTTTTTTCTAAACAATGCAATATTTTGTTAAATATATGCTCTGTTTGAAATTTAATTTAAATTCTTCTGAAAAAGATCAACAGATACACCCATTCAGTGAATGTAGTTTCAAATGTGAGACAAAAACAACTTAAAATGGAAAATGAGTCATCATACATTATAGTGCAGACATAATGATAAATCAAACAGAAATTTCCTGGATCACAGAAACGTCTCCACAGAATTGTGTCTCAAGTTAAAATAATACAGAAAAGCACAACTACTTAAAATGTTCTCCCAGTCCAATAGCAGAGAAGATAGAAAAGAAAAATCCCCCAATCGCTCTCACAGGGGGACAACTATGTACCTCCTTTTTTCATGTCCATTTCTTTCTTTTTCCGTGCTAAAATTGTTTTTAGAAGAAAAGAAATCATTGTCATAATTTTCTTAAAACTATACTTTAATTATAGAAACCAATTAATACTAATACAATGCATGCTAAATTTTCTTTTATTCTTTTCCTTTCATCAAACTTCACATTGTTTATCAAATATATCGCTAGATTGTACACATTATAAGCCAGTCAAAAGAAATATATGTTTTTTTCGGTATCAGCTTTGTTTCCATTAGGCTGACATTTAAAGATTCTGTTTCCACATAATTTCCCTTAACTTTTCGCACATCAGATTTGAAGTTTAAAACTACGAAATATTCCTCAACAGACATGGAACTGATAAGCTTATTCTCTCATTCCAACAACATTCACACAAACTAAATAAAAACTTCATTTGAAGTTTAATGAGAAACATTCTAAACTCCAGAAAAAATCATTATTTTTGATTCCATTGAAAAAGGAACTTTTCCCTGTATTTCCCTCTCTCACTGTCTGTCTGTCTGAATTCTCGCTAATGACGCATAATACGTTTTTCATTTAAAATCGAACCCTAAAAATCTCAAATTTTCCTTTAATCCAGTGACAATTACCTGAATCGGACAATGTGATGTTGTCAAGATCAGTATGGATGTTAGCTTTGTTGTCCATTTCCAGAGCTAAATTTTTGTCACGGTTATTCTTGAGATTATTTTGGCTGAGGTTTCGATCCATCTGACTGCCGGCGTTACTGAAACATATACTGTAAGTGCAATGTTTATCTAGAATGGTAAAATGTAACAGTGGTGAAGTACAGTGGGTCACAACATCAAACAACACACAACATTCGTCACCGTGAAACACCAGCCTCCACAAACTTTATATCTCATTTTGTCACTAATGGATTTGTTTCTTCACGAGCCAAATAATTCAATTTTCTTTCAAATGATTGTTTTCCCCACAAACCAAAATATGAAGTTTTTCTCTTAGTTGATTTATTTCTCCTCCAACCTATTTTTTTTTTTTTTTTCATTTAATATTTCTTTTCATAGGCCAAATAATATGTTTTGTATGTCCTAATTTTCTTCACATACCAAACACTTTGTTCTCACAAAAGATTTTTTTCTATGCATGCAAAACATTACATTTTTTCTCAAATTATCTTTCTTTCATTGCTTAACTACTTCATGGTACTGTTTTAGTTTGCAAATATAACTTCTGTTTTGTAATTATAGTATAGAATTCATATATTTATAAGATAAAAACAAGCTTTCGGAGTTTAGTGTTTCACTGTAACACAAAACTAGAAACAGTTCATGATAAAGCTCAGAAAAATTTGTGTGACGCTGTATTTATTTTTTTAAGTTAAATTTTGCAAATTAACATTGCTCAAAAATAAATATCTTTTACAATGAATCAATTCTTTTGATGAAAACACTTTTAGTTTTAAAAGTCAATAGTAAATTTATCTCCTGTATATACTCATTTTTTTATTGCAAACTTTTCTGATTTTAAAGTGGCTGGAAATCTTTACGATGTTTTGTAGTAATTGCTTTAGCAACTCAACAATATGATTCAATTTTTATCTTCAGAAGTAGAAGGAAATCTTTAAAATGTTTTCGTTATCATTCAGGATCCCTGTTCCACTTCACTGTGGCTTTTCCTATACACAGTAGACTCCCCCTAATTTTGCTTTTGATATAACTGTGACACAGTTTTGCTAGGACACTTCTGTTGTTTAGGTAGCTCAAACGGTTAGAAAGATAGTACAGCGATCTGAGGTCTGAGGTTCGAATCCTTGTCTAGCCCGGCTGACCTTTTAATTCTCAACACACTCCTGTTGATTATATTTTGTTTTTTTCATTTCTTTTTTTCATTAAAGTCGAAGGTATGGTTTTCTTTTCATGAAGGATTTATCAAAGCTACATGTATAGTCATCCAAAAAAACAGTTTCCATCACTTAATTACACTTTTTTGACAGGGATCCATCAATTGTCAAATCAACAATCAATATTTGTAATGTTATTTAATTTAGAATGATAATGATAAAAATCTCCAGCATTAGAAATTTGGTGATTTAAGATGGAAAGTACAGGTATGAATAGAAAATTAATAGCAGGTTGCATACAAGGTCAGGGTCATAACAGTGACAATGCACAAAGTTCAAGGTCATATTGGTGGTACCGGGTAATACAAAAAGTTTAAGGTCATATCAGTGGCAAAACACAAAGGTCAAGGTCAGTAGCAAATTAACACAGAGATGAGGGTCATGGATGGTGATGAATCATGAAGATACAAGATATGTGATTTTGTTTTGGTAAATTAATCTTTTTGGGACTGATTAATAGAATGCTTTTCATGAAGAAAAGATGACAAGCCTTTCGTATGTGTAAATTGAAACAAAACAACAAATCACCCCAAAAAAGGTCTATTTTCTCATTTCAACAGCAAGTAAATTTGTTTATTTAATGTCAAGACTTGAACATATTTGATACAGGGCCATGCCTGAAATCATGTTTACTTGTCCTGACTGAATCTACCTCAATCTTAGAGAGCATATAAATGCTGGGTAAAAGGTGTAAATTATTTTCAATCCTCTCCTTCAGTTTTAAGATGCTGAAATGCATACAGAAAAGTATGAGCACATAATCAAATGTCAAGAATAAACTGGCGATGGACCTCACAAGGTTACGTGTGACACGCTGCACTCAGTGTACAGAGTTTTGACTTTTGACTTCATTCTTTGACCGTAACCTTATGAGTACACCGTTAACTCATATGTGTTTTGCTTTATCAGAACACAAACTAATCCCAAACAAATTGCAGGGATAGAGGAATTTTTTCCCTATTTTTTTTATTGGATTCATAAAATCATATTTAAAACTCATTTCCACTGGCTGTAGTTATAAATCCATATGTGTGAATGATAATGGATGGAAGATGTTATTTCTATAAAAGAAAAGGTTGACACCAGAGTACAATGAGGAGAAATGAGCTCAATTTAATAGCATATCACTTCACATTTCCACCATGATTTAAAAAAAAAAAAATGTTTATTTTAAAAAACGACAGTCAATCTACAATGGATAATAGTAACAATACTTTTATATAATATCCATTTAAAATGATGTTTTGGTCATTTTTCTTGGTAATGTTGATATTTTTTTCTTATCAGTTACATCAAACTTTTCCCATAAAGACTACATATATAGAATAATGAGGTAACAATTGTGGCATTTAGTTGGTAATTTTTATTTGCAGTGTCAACGATTTATCATATATATATATATACCAAATACTATCTGAGGAAAACATTCCAGCCAGGACATTATCAACAGAAAGAATTGCAATGAATATTTTGATGACGAGAAATGCTCAGGAATTCAGGGGAAAATCCAGTACAAAAGTGAGGTACAATACCAGAGGTCAACTCAAATTAAGTGCAATTTAGGAAAACATGTTAAAAGGACTTTAAACAGTGAGGAAATATCATAGGAGAAAAGATACATGATGCTGAATAAGATATATACAAAGTGTATGCCGAGCTTGCACTCTATACCACAATAGCAGAACAGGAGGATGATACATATAAATATTATTATTATCTTTATTTAATCTCTGGGAAAAAGTGTCATGAAATACAATATAAGAGGGATTTATTGCTTCTTGAATGATGATAATTAATATGTCATCAAAAGGGGGTTCATATTTTGATATTTCATGAGCGTAAAATGTTTAGTATTAATCTCACAAAGATAAATACTTAACATTTTACACTCATGAAATATCAAAATATGAACACCCTTTTGATGACATATAGATTATTATTGTTCAAGAAGCAATAGATCCTTAAATTTATTTAGTTGAACTAGAAATAGATCTTGTATGCATCACTCATGATATATACTCATAACTAAAATCTATGAGATAATAAACATCAAAATATACATAAAAGATTGTTGAAAGGGAATTGTTCAAGTTTAAGCTTCCCATAAGTCCAAGGTGCTAGAACATAACATATTTATTTTTAAAAACATTTCTGAATTCCACCCAATTGACCAAAAAAGACGTTTCTTATTCTGACCTATGACCCCAACTTTTAAATACATGTTATAAGAAACATCTGGAGAAATGGGTTTTTCGTTTTAAGCTTATTTGGATAAATCAATTTAGTTCTGTTTATTTCTATCGCTAGTGAAAAGAATTCATATTTAAATTAATTGTAAAGTTGAAATATTGAGAGGAAATGATTACTTACTACGGAAAGTTTCCAGTTTTTGGGTCTTCATTGTTTGCGGGGGAGGGTGGACATATATTGACCTGTGGAGGGATGCCAGTATCGGTCAGTGCTAAAGCTTCACGATTCTGCTCCTCAAGCATCCGCTGTAAAATTTAAAAAAAAAACTTTTATCAACATTGGGTCCTGTTTAAATCTAGACGTTGAGAGTGTTAAATGTATCAGGTAAAAACTATTTAAACTTTAAAATGAATATGGTTTTAACCGGGTACAAATTTAAGTGACAAAGAAATGAAATATCTTAAATGTTACAGAAACGTACCCCACTGAAACATGATAATAAATATTTTAACAAAAAATTACTTATAAATAAAAATAAATTGTTTCACATCTTTTTTATTTTTTTAGTAAATGTGTGTAATAATATGTAAGATATATCTGAACATGATATGCGTATGTATATATTATATAATTATATTATATAATGCTACAAATATATAAGTCGTGAAATGCACATACAATATATTTGAAGGATAAAATCTATTACACCTTGAAAACTGAAAAAAACAACAAGGACAAATCTTTATTTGGAGACTTGACTGAGAAGCAGTGAAAACAAGTCCCTTGATGTGACTATACATAGATGTTAAAGTTTTGATGTAGTGAAGCAAAACCCAACAGAGAATGTGATATTGACTGCAAATCAATACAATGATAAAGCATGTCAATTACACCTGTCAGAATCAAAAACGTTTATAGCATAGATACAAATATGTAATTAAAAAATGTATATACACAGCATAAAATATAAAGCCTGCAACAGTAGCAATAGTTAACATATATGTATGAATGAAGAATTTAAAAAAACATATTTTTAGATGAACTTTTTAAAGAAAGCAGTATATTTGCACTCCAAGGGACAGAGGTAATTTCAATCGATCAATTAACATACCAGGGGTAGTAGTGTTTGAATTTTGATCAGATTTATTTTTTCAAACATGATATTTATTTTTATTCATTCTTTCCTGTTAGTCCCAAAGTATATGTCTCAAGTTTCTCAACTGACCCTAGTTTTCAAGATATCTCTCAGGATTTTTTCCTTCCATTTTTAGACAAGCACTGTTTTTATCCTGTATACAATATAACTGATGAAACAAAACACACAAATTATTTGTAAGGTCTTAATGTGTTTTTCAAAAGAAAGGAACAAATATGAAACAGAAAAGTATATATAAAAAGTTAATAGATAGATATGGTATGTCTCTCCTATGTGTTTCCCCTCAGCAGAAAAAAATCATTACATTGCAGGATTGTGCCTACAGTGTCTCAATTATATATCTGGAGGTAAGATAAATTCAGTCCCGTTGGCAATGAGATTTAGACATAAATTTTGAACTTAATGAAGAAATCTATTTTGTATCTAGACAAACACAACCTCATTTCTTAATTTTTCCTTATAGATGATTTTAACAAGAATGAGTTCATAAAATAGACAGAGAAAAAAGAAGAAAGATTTCAAAATATCAAGTTGGATGCAAATCAGTTTTTTCCTGAACATAAATATCAAAATTCTCAAAATATCTAAGAAATCCTGGAAATTATTCTCAGATTGTATTGATTATGAAATGGAACTTTTGCATCCAAAATCAAATAAAAACAAACATTTTGAAAACTGTTACGAAAGAATAAATATATTTCTTTCCTAAATACCAAAGTCTCTAAAGTAAGGTTAAGAATGTCAGAGGTACAATATAAAGTAAATTATGTAATTCCTTCTTTACCTAAAAAGACAAAATACCATCACCATTGAGTATCTGTTACAAAATCAGAGAGCCAACTGGAATATTTTTTCTCAAATAAATGTTTTTTTCCCACAGTTATCGGGAGAATATTTACGTAGCTGAAGAACTTTCTTCCAAACTAAATTCACCAGGAATGTTTGATAAAATGTTTACGTTCATGCTGATTTTCTTGAACAAATTTACAACCGTTCATGAGTGGACCATTTAACAAAACACAGTAAAAATGTCTCAACCAAACCATATCATGAAACTCTACTCATGCCCAAACTCAGATTTTGTGCTTAAGCATGGCCAGTGGCCAAATTCTTCTTCCACTGGTTGATAATTCAAATTTCATTGGGTTTTTTTCAATAATGTGTCAAGTCTCTCCAAGGTCCTTCCCTTTGGAGGAACTTTGGAGACTTGGGAAGTGAAATATCATTTTTAATGGGGTTTTTTTTTTCGCATAACGTTGTTGCATTATTTTAGTAAATTGAAAGAAAGCTGATGCGAGCACAAAATTCATGCTTGCGCATGCATGAAATGGTTTCATGAATGTTGTCATTGGACCAATATTTATATTCAGAATAGGCAGGTTCAACCGCATTTGGTCCACTGTCCAGCAAAGCCATTTGTTTGGTAGCCTTTCATCCATCAAATGACTTTGCTAGACCAGCGCATACTAGCAGGCAGATATTCCAGTTGATGCTGATGTTTCCCAAACAAGTGTCGATGAGGAGCAGGACCTGAGTTGGGAACCTCCGGTTGGTAATCATGAAACCGTTCTTATGCTCAGACTCAGATTCAGTGCTCATGACCAATTCCTGGTTTCAGTGATACATAAATGAAAATTCACATTTTGCGAATGATTTAAAACAATTTTGGAGAGACTGTAATATTTATACTTTTTTCAATGATTTAAGCGAGGTATACAGGAAAGTCAGTTGCTGGAGCATGAAAACAATTTCATGAATAAACCATGGTCTACTCTTGTATACAGGTTTCTGGTTTAAACAGTTTTTTGTACTAACAGATTACCATGAAGAAGCAAACAGTTTTATTCTATTTTCATAGAAAAGAGAAATTCTTTACCTTCAGATTTGTAAATATTGCTAACACACAACAAAAGTCTAACAAATTGAGAAGAAGAGTTTTTGCTTGGAAAATTATTCTATCTGGCACATGTTTTTGTACAGGTTTATAGATCTACAATGCTATTGCGATCAGAGTAATGTTGTTTAATAAAGTTTTCGCTACAAAGACAAGTATGTGAGTTTGAAGTGAATACAGAATAAAAAAGCTTAAGCCAAGGGAAGTAACCTGATCTGTGAACTTTTCTTCCATTTCCTTTTTCAGTTCATTTTGACGCTGTAAATCAAGAAGGGGTGCAAAAACATGGGAAATCAAACTCAGCTGGGTTGAAATAAAATTGAAATGGCAGCAAGTGAAAAGCATTATTTGACAAATATCACAAAAGGTAAATTGTTAAATCTACTCAAAATAAAACATTAAAAAAATGTTCTAGAATCTAACCCATGGAAGCCCAAGGAATGGGTCTTTAGGCACCCCTAATAAGACAAATGAAATGGCATATCTCCAGGATAATATGGGATAGCACTACTCAGGTTAATAAAAAAATTAACAAAGGGTGACAAGACGAAATGAAAAAAAACTACGTTAATCAAATATATTCAAGTGAAATAAATTTATCCAATCTGGTACAATACAAAACATATCAACAAAAAGATTATTAAAAAATACTTTTATTTATTTTCTCTTTTTATTTGAACATATTTTATCAAATAAAATGGGGATCAGTTTTTGTTAGGTATTGTTCTTACCGCAATCTTCTGTCCATCTTCTTCCTCCTCTGCAGCGGTCAGTTCTTGTGCGTTGGCCAAGTTGTCGACGGCGATAGCCAAGAACACATTCAGAAGTGTGTCTGATCAGAGTTAAGGGTGGTCGTCTTGTAGACACATTGGGTACCACCGCATGTGGTGACACAGATACAACCTGGTACATATATGATAGTCCTAGACAAATAAAAATCTACAGTGACGGACCTGGAGCAATCTCCAGTCAGATCTGATTATTAACAGATATCATGTTTAATATCTGGTGGATAGAAGATAACAGTGAACGTTTTGTTCCCAAAATTAATTTACAACACATTTAACTCTTTTACCTTTTTCATATACAAAGGGGTATTTATGGCTTTTGGAATGCAGTCTGACTAATGTACGTTATTTGTTTTATATAGGGACGACCGCTGGTGACCTCTGTATTTTTTTCCTGTGTAGCCTTGGCAAATTCTTTCTAGACCCTTACATTATTTATTCAGGGACTGCTGGGAAATCTTAAAGTTTTTAAGTAGATCTTAAAGTTTTTAGAAGACCACTAAATGTTTCCAAAACTATTACCTGAATCAACTATTAAATTTATAGATAAATGATCTTACAAATACATGTTAAATGGAATTTCCCATGCAGTGGTAGCATACTTGCCAACTTTTTAAAATGTCCATGGGGGGAGATTACACGTGCTCAGAATTAAAAGCATAAATAAAATGTGTGTATGTACACCCTAGGTGAAAAACAACACTTTACAATGGCATCTTTTGAGCCGTTCTTTCAGATGAAATCATTAGATGTTAGAATATTGGAATAGTTTAACGAATTCACTGGTTGAAAATGCTCAATTTTAGAGTCCTAAATTGGGAGTCTCCCTCCAAAATCGGGAGAGTTGGCAATTATGTGGTAGTTTAGGCTCTGTCTTTTATAGTCAAATGTTTGTTCTAAATCTACCGTTTTTTGTGTGTGCTGTCTAAAGGATACAGTTGCCAAACACGACCAGGATGATGAAGTACAGAGAGTAGATCATGCCGTGACCCTCAATCCCGCCGCCCGCCCTGATTCCACTGTACATGACCTCATTCCAATCCTCACCCGTCAGGATCTACAAATAACGATAGGTGAGGTTAGTAAGAATATAACATACAGTCAGGATCTACAAATAACGATAGGTGAGGTTAGTAAGAATATAACATACAGTCAGGATCTACAAATAACGATAGGTGAGGTTAGTAAGAATATAATATACAGTCAGGATCATCAAATAACGATAGGTGAGGTTAGTAAAATGTAATATACAGTCAGGATCTACAAATAACGATAGGTGAGGTTAGTAAGAATATAATATACAGTCAGGATCTACAAATAACGATAGGTGAGGTAAGTAAGAATGTAATATACAGTCAGGATCAACAGTACACTAGGTTAGCTTACTGAAAGATCGGTCTACCTTAATTAGTTGAACATGTTGATAGAGTTTAATCTGCTTGAAGTACATATGTCTTATAGTCACAAAACTACATTTTTGTTGAACAGGAAAATCTAAACAAAGTATTTTTTATCTAATATCCAATTATTTGAAACCTACAATCAGCTGGTCATATGTGACTTCAAAGTTATTCTTTATCCAAATGACAATTAAGTTGCCTAATTTCAAAAAATTAAAAATTAAAAAGGAAAAGGGGTTATCACCCTTAGTAGCTATGTTTGCCACTGTCATTGTCCAAATGGCAACAAAATTAAGAAAATCTCTGATAAAATTTAGTTTCATACCAGTAATTCTCTTAAAAGAATTCAATAAAATCATTTCATTTTAAGTACTAATGGTACCTGTATTAGCTGACAAAAACAAACACACAGCCATAACCACAAATCAAAGTATTTATATATTCCATTGACACGATAGTTTGGGGACCCAAAGTTGTGAATCCCTCAATCATAAATTCATAGCTTTGTTTAAAACCAATAGTGTAAAAGCCATTGCCATATATATATATATAGACTATGATAGTATTTTAATAACAGGATTGTATAAAAAGTGTCTCACTACTTGTACTGCTGTGATGATAATTACATGTAAGTCAAGTGGGATTAAAGTCATCTTTACCTGGAATACTGTCAGTAGAGCTCTAGGGAAAGTATCAAAGTGGCTAGCCGGTCGACCGTCTTCAAAGTTCATTCTGGGAAACAAAAATATGGACAATGCATTGTTACCATTACAGAGATCACTGTTTAATCATCAACGTTTCAACAATTTCAACCAACCACCAGGAGAAGGTTTGGTCACACTAGATCTCCTCTTTATGAATTACAGCAAACGATATACTACATATATATCTATAAAGACAGATGAGGAAACGATTCCTTATAAATATGAGGTCTTTACATTAAAGTCTTTATCATAAAGAAAACTACACTTGGTGATTCATCGGACAGCTGATGAACAGGTGTGATCTATGGTAAGACTGTCTGTATATATATATATAATTACAGACCTAAGAAATTAATTTCTTAGATGCAGCGATTTCTTCTTCTATTTTCTACAGAACAGTTAAAAATATTTCAATATCTCTCAGAATGATAATTAAAAGCAATGAACTTTTAATACAAAACTAGTTATATTTTTAATCCATTTTAAGGTGTTATGGCATTCCTTGTAACTTACCTCATTTTCTAGGGAAAACAATTGTGGTTGTGGGGATGAATTTTCGAGAAAATATGTTAAGTTTTAACAGGTAAAAAACTGCTATTTGGCAGTCCACATACATGGGGAAAAAAACATGGGAGAGAAATGTGTTTATTTACTCAAAAAAGATGGAGGATCCATCCGAGTATACTTACTCTCCTCCAAACAGCTGCATGCCGAGGAGGGCAAAGATGAGAATGAAAAGGAAGAGTAGGAACAACAGACTGACGATGGACCGCATACTGCTTAACAGGGACACAACCAGGTTCCGCAGGGAGGCCCAATACCTGTGTAACATTAACGAGTTTACACAGGTACGATATATATATATATATATATTCTGTTCCTTAGATTTATCTACTAAAAACTAACTAAAGTCAAGTATGTCCTTATAAATATAACATGTCTATGGCAAATGTATTTCCTTTTCAGGCAAAAATATAGCAAAATTCAATATACCAAGTTTGGCTCTTGACTGATTGCAAACTTTTAAAACAAATCTTACAACTATTTAAGTTCATATTTAATTATTTATCCTGTAAATCTACATTGAAACTTATTTAAAATCTATTTTTCAAAGTACTCCCTTACTTGTATATTGTTAAACATTTAACCCTGATTTATAATTCTTAAAGATATGGGTTCCTGCTTTTATTTTCCAGTGTCAAAAAAAATTGAACTTTTCAGAAATATTACTGGTAACCATTGAAGACAAAATTAAAAATAAGTGTTCGTATAATCAGAAATATTATCAGGCATAGTTTGAGCCGCTAATGTGTATTAGCAAGATTAGTTGAACCACTATCAACTTTTGTATGCTATCCACTCAGTAAACAGAAAAAAAGGTACAGTTGTTTGTACATATTGACTGTACCCTTGAAGCAAGGTAAAACCTGGAAAACTTTTGATTTTAAAGTATTCCCATTGATATCCTTGGCCACAAAAAAAGGAATCGTGTTCATTTGATAAGCTTACAGTCTGAGGATAGGATTTTGAAGTGTATTATACATCAATGATAAAGTTTTATTATATCAAACTGTTTGTATTATTTACATTCAGACAGAAACAAAATTTTAAAATGTTATTTTGAACAACAAACCTGGTAACTTTGAATATTCTAAGAAGTCTCAAAGCTCTGAGGGTACTTATACCAAAGGAAGCACCATCTTTATATTCAGACCAGATCACTTCAAAGATGCTTCCCACGATGACCTGTGAAGAGAAAAAGCTCTTAAAAATTGTTCAATTTGTGTTGAGAGAATATAACCTCATATGCACAAACAACAAAATTATAAATGATCTTCTTTCAGATCCGTGTATACTAAACTAGGATTTCTGCTGTTGACTTAATCCATTAGCTTTTTGCATCAAAAAATAAATCTAAAGAAAATACAAACATGCAAATGCAACCTCTTAAAAGAATTAACCAAAATGTATATTATCTCCCCTTAGACCAGTGAACCTTTCCTATTTTTGAGAACAACGAGTTCGTCTGTTTTCAAGGCAATTTTTGTCAAAAATACTAATATTTACAAAATCATCACCATGCATATTACCTCCCCTTAGACCAGTGAACGAGTGAAACATGGGTGTTTTTTTGTGTTTTTTTTAGAGAACAACCATTTTTTTCTGCTTTCAATGAAATATTTTCAAAGATGATGTAAAGTTAATGCTAGCTGGCCAGATTTATCTAAAACAAACAACAAATACTCAGAGTAAACATATGTCTACTGGATCTAAATACTTACAATACAATCAAATATATTGAACGAGGATTGGAGATAAATTCTGATGCCGAGACCGTACATTTTCAGGATCATCTCCATCAAGAAAAAAGCTAGGAATACAAATTCTGTCACATCTGAAATAGATATGTAATCAATGCAAATTTGAATGAATTCTTATAAGTCTGTCTAGGGAGTAAACAGTGGAAGAGTATTTCTCAATGTTCAGCCTTTTACTTGATTTAACATTGAACTGCTAGCAGTAAAAAAAAAATCAATAAATGTTACACTTCTTCAATATATATTTATTTGAGACAAATGTTTCAACAAATCTTGACAGTCATTTTTCAGTAGAGAAAGTTTGGATCATTTCCTTTTTGATGCGTTTCATTTTAATATAAGATTGCTTATTTTTTTTTTTTTTTTTTTTTTTTTTTTTGAGACATTTTTTTTATACAAAATTGTCCCAGTTTTAAATAATCATCTCACATCTAGCACGAGAATGAAGGAGGCTCATTATCTACTGGGAAGGAATCGAAGGTGACTTTGTTATCAACACTGCTCTATAATAACAATTTAGTTCTCCTTCCCGACTTCATATTTTATACTTACATAAAAATAGTGTGTGCCATTCAGCCTGGCCATAATGCTCTGATGCTGTACAGACAGTGTTGAGAAAAACTAGCACAATCACCGACCAGTAAAATGGCTGGCTCTTCACTAAATGACGTGTTGAAATTCTGGAAAAGAAATTGAAACAGTCATTTTTAAAAAGTTTTTAAAAAGAAATGTATCAAATGATTGTTTTAAACCATGTACCAATGTGATTTTAAGTCGAATGACAATTAAAAAGTGTCTGCTGATGATGGGGCCAATCAAGGGCTACTACAACATAAAAATATTAACTGATTTTACAACAATTACGTAACAAGTTATTTCAACTTATATTAATCATTTTTGTTGGCCCGGATGTTAGCGCAAGGAGGTATTAATGTGGGAGGAAACCCGAGTACCCGGAGAAAACCCATGTGGTCGGGCAGGTGACCCCATACCTTTTCACATCCAATAGGGGAATCGAACCCCGGACGCCTTGGTGAAAGGCGAGTGCGTTATCTACTGTGCCACCCATAAAAAGGAACACTTTAAAGTGCTACCACAAAAACATGACAGTAATAATTACAGCTACATTTACAACTGTTGGCAATTTAAAGCATTAATCTACCTGAATCTTTTTTCTGCACGCCAAAATGATGAAAATCTGCCTACGGATGCTCTTCTACTAGCTAATGTCCTCCCTCCTAAAGAGTTTGCTACAATGAAATGAAAACAGAATAATCACGAGTTACATGTACAATAATACATATTATTTGTCTTGTTCATTTAAATTGAAATTTCAAAAATAAACCATTAATTTTATTTTTTCAAATTTGTAAAAGTTTATTATTTTCTTTAAATTAAAAAAAGTCACCATGCAGGTTTAGAGTATTCGTTTCCTTTCCCATATGATTTAAAAGTATAATAACAAATGAGTTACACAGATAATGAATAAATATTTTTATAAATGCCATTAGACAGCAATAATTTATCATTATTTCATGTTTTTCTATAAATGTCACTTAATTGTTAGAAATAACATATCTATTTCTATATAAGGATGATTTTGTGACTTTTTATCTCGTTTACCTAATACAGTGACAATTGGTTCCAAATTGGTCTCTTTTGATGAAGTTGGCCTTTATACTAACATACCACATGATTTAGGTATAAAGGCTGTTAAATATTGGTTACAGAGATATCTAGACTATGTAGGCGGAAGATTTAGTAAAGAATTTATAACAAGCACTCTCAAAATTGTTCTAGAAAGAAACACGTTTAATTTCAATGGTAACCATTATCAGCAATGTCAGGGTACAGCAATGGGTACTAAAGTTGCCCCTACTTGTGCTACTTTAGTGTTAGGATATTTGACAGAGATTCTTTATAATGAAATAGAACAGAGTTCAGATAAAGAATTTTCCGAATTTTTGAAAAACATTTATTTTGAGATTTTTAGATGATGCTTTTATCATCTGGCCCCCGGACAATAATGTCTCTGATTTTCATATAGAGTTAAATTCCTTACACTCGGATATACAGTATACTATGGAAGTTAGTGATGATAAACTTCCTTTTTCTAGATGTTATGGTAGAATTAACAAACGGACACATATCCACAGATTTGTATTGCAAACCAACTGATTCCCAGAACTATCTTTGTTTTCATTCCAGTCACACCAAACATACAAAAGTTAACATACCATTTTGTTTGGCATCTAGATTTGTTACCATAGTCAGTGATAAATATAAGTTATAGGAGCGAATAAATAACTTAGTAGATAATCTTAGAAAACAATGCTATCCAGGCGAAATTATATTTAACGGTATTCAAAGAGCTAAGGAGAAGGGTCCGATTTCAGTTACCGACCCAAATAGTGCCAATACAAGTCAAAAGGATATTATACCGTTCGTTACAACATTCAACCCTAACAATTTTAACATGTTTCCATTTGTGAAAGTTCACGAAGAAATTTTAAAGAATAGCAAAAAAATGAAGAGTGTCTTGGAGAAGAAGAAAATAATTAATTGCAAAAGAAAACCAAGAAATCTGAAACGTTTATTGTGCAAGTCAAAATTTGATGAGAAAATATATGTAAATTACAGCGTGACAAAGTGTATGAAACCGAGATGTGGAATTCTATATATATACCCCTTAAAAGCAATAATTCATTATCTATAAATCGCATTAAATATCAATAATTTACAGTAAACTCTATTGACCCTTTAGATAGAAATATATGACCAATTCATAAATATTTCTTTAAATGCCATTGAAAATCAATGTTTAAAATTGTTTTGAAAAATCTCATTAAAAACCAATGACTGATCATTTTTCTTATAAATCCCTTTATATTTTAGACACCATTGCCCATTGGTACCTACAATGTATATTTATTTCTGATAATAAATCATCGTCATTGTCCTCGTTATTTTCGTCACTTGTATCTCGTCCTTCCTTGATTTGTTTCACTTTTCTCACTGCTGCCTGTCTTCTGGCTGCAAGTACAGATTGAATCTCTGTTCACTACCATATTATCTTATTACCAAGGGACATAATTCTCTATAATATACAATTTGCTTTTATTAATTTGCATGTTATATCTGATACTTTTATTCTATCTTCCTTCTCTGATTTACAAGAATACATATTTTTATACACATTTTTTTCAACTGACTTTTTGTCACTTATGTTACAAAATACATAAAATGAAGTAAAAGAAATTTAACTTTTAATACTTCAAGTATTTAAAATTCATTTCTCTCACAAATAAAACTTTAGGCTTGAATATATCAGTAAATTGTTGTTTTGCTCATTTTATATTACCACCCCCCCCCCCCTAAAAAAATAATTTGTTTGCGCTTTTCCTACTTACCCTAGTTTTTAGTGCCTAATGTTCAACATCTTTAGCACTGTTAAGTCTGAAAAGCTGTCTCTGTATCCTAAATGTTTAATTTTAAAGTTCTTCTTTGCAAAAGTGTCCCAAGTGTATAACGAAACCTTCAAAACATCTTAATGAGTTCAAGTTTGCTTTCAAGGTTATTTAATTAGTGGAAAAAAATGAAACATAAATGAGATAAATAAAAGTTTTGTAGAGGCTACAAATCACTAGACGATACTAATTAAAAACATAACAGGGAAAAACGGACGCAATGTATCATTATAGTTTAGGTACTATACTTACCTTCCATAATTCTAAGTTTATCTTCATCTGTCGTCCTTTCTTCATTAAGTATTACTTCTTCTGCAAAATCAAAATTGACAAGAGATTGGTATAAATATATGAGAGTAAGAACATGTATACCTTTGATCATGTTTTCATATGTGTATTTAAACCACTAATTTGGCTTTTAATTTGAATGCGTTCAGAGAAAAATTTCCTTCAATAAGCAGGCATCAGATTTCAGATAAGTTGTATACTTGTTAAATTAATATGTCTAATATCTGAAAATTGTGATGGAAAATTTATTTATAGCGTATGTATATAGTGCACTGATTGTATATAAATTGTGTTAGTGTCAAAAATTAATAAGTTTATTTGCAAAATAAAATTACTACCAGAAAATCTAAATAATATATTTTGAACATATTTGTCGTGTCAAATGTTCGAAAAGATTGTAACATGCGGTATATCTACTACCAGTATGTAGAATATTTCATGATCAACATGCGAGCCAAGAGCTTTGGACACAACAGGCGTCAGAATACACACTTAACAAGCTCACAACCGTGAAAAGACATCTGATGGAGTAACATGCATTGTTAAGTTACAGACCTACATTTAATTTTTTGACAGATATTTAACAACAAAAGGGTACACAGCTGTTGTTATGATATTACGAACTCATATATAGCTGTGTATTAGTATATCTATAACATAATTGTTTCCTCAACTATATATGTCTGTTTAGTTACAATTACTTACCCACAACTGGCCTATATACACATGTATGTCTATACTAATAACTTACAACTATGTAAAGACAAGGGGAAAACTTGATTCTAGAGAAAATCTTATCTGACCAATGAGGATGAGTGTGTCCTTTAATACATGTGTAATCGAATACAGAATAATGGTGAACTCTAAAATAGAATCTTAGACAAAAAAATGTCAGTCTCTGAAAACTTTCATGCAATAAATAATACTTGCATTCACCTGATAATAACTTCACCTTTTTATTTCCAATTTCCATTTCAGTGTTAAAAACAGCAAACCGAAATTTAAAAAAATGCTTGAAAAATCTGTTTATTCCATGTAAATATTTGAGTATTAAAATGAGACTGAAATTTTTGGTCAACAGGAATCTTTTACAGAAATGTAAAACTGTGAGAGTTTTGTTTCAAAAAGTGCCGGTGTGTAACAACATGCAAACAGAGAGAATGTATGAAAAGAGCAAGCAACAAAAATTTTAACAGTGATGACATTGACGAGTTTCCAATTTCAACTGCAGTTACCTCCCCTGATCCACCGATAATATAGCTACATTTGTAGCTGGAGAAATTCACACATGCAAAAAGCGATAAACTGGAGTTTCAATGATAAGCTTGTCTTATAGCATTTTCTTCGGATAATATATTTAAATATATATATACATCAAAAGCTCTTAGTTCAAAAAGCATGGAAGAAGAATTTCTTGAAGGAAGAAAATATACTGATGTATTACTTTGATGATTACCAGTAGTTATTTACAGCATACAACACTGCTTCAATAAAACACTACCATGGTTACACGTTTCTCGTGACATTATTGACGGTCACAGGAGAACAGCTTATAGATTTAATTCATTGTGGTATAATTATGCATCATCATTTTTTATAAAAAAACTTGTTTAACATCCATGGATTCAAATAACTTCAAAATATAAACATTTCTTCTAGAACTACAGATCTAAAACTACCGGTATAGAAGAAATAAATTGATGGAAATCCTGAGATATGTTTGTATTGACAGACCAATATGAGAGGCGATGTTCGGTGGAAATTCATTTTAAGTGAAGATGTAACACAAACTTGACAACAAGATCAGAATCTACACATTTGTTTTCAGTAAAAATGTCTGTTTCTTTATTTGTCCCATAAATATAATAATGTACATTGAGTAAATTTTGATTAACTTTGAAAAGGGTGTTAAATAGATCTGCTTCAGCTAGTAATCCAAGTAATATCTGACCTACAAACTGACAGATTATTTTTATAAGCCGCCATGCAGAGTGCTAATAATTATATAAGTACATCAATATTTGTTTACTGGACATCTAAACAGACATTTTTACTGAGAATGTGTGTTTAGTGTCACTCATTCTCAGTAAAGAGATGCAATGACTTTGCACACATAATTTTAACGTACCCTCCTCTGTGTTAGCAAAATGAGACAAGAATTAAATCAAAGTTAAGTATGCTCTTACTTACAGAACAGGTAAACAACAAATGTTTAAAGGTATTATTAAAGATTTTAAATCACTTTGTAATGTAACAGGCCCTTTTAGTGTTTCTATCTTTAACAGATTATTATTAATCAAAACGTTTTAAAGAAGATTGATATCAATACAAGTTATTACAAAATAAGGATATTTTAAAAGAATTCAAATTACAAAAAAAACTTTCTTGCCACAAGATTGGTTTGATTACTTTAATGGAGATTATTTGAAAACCATTTGTTTTGACTCCATTTAGAATTTTACTAAAAATAGCCTTTGATCCTCCAAGGAAATTTCAGATTAGAATGAAGATTGCAGATTGCCGCTGTTCCATTCACAGATGCGCGTGATTTCTCAATTTTACAAGATAAATAGACTTGCGGACGTAATTGGATTTTCCAAATTGCACAATACAAATTGATGTTTAATTTTAGAAACAAAATTCCAATACTATTTCAATAAAATGGCTTTGTGTATTTGATGAATTTCGGTACCAGCATCTTTCTGTTTTATTGATTATTGTCTTTTTAAAAAAACTATAAAACAAACATGTTACTGCTTTCGGGTTTCTATCATCTGAAAGCAGCCACTAGTTGTAATTCTACGACATTCATCATTTCACTTTTGCCTGCTATGAGCCAACTTAAATGTGTATTTTCAAACAGAGTATAATTTTTAAATTGTTGCTATGAAATTATCCACCTTAAAATATTTCTACGGATTTCTATAATAAATTTTTCAAAAAGAATTTTAACATTGAAAAAACAACCAATATATGTATCTTAATTTTCAAAAATTCATAAAGTAAAAATTCTTTTGTAATTGTTAGCGAAGTTGACTTCTTAATCAGGATTTTTTACATATAAAATATCAAACCAATACATGTATCTATATTGTCCGAAGTTTCCTAAAGATAAAATTCTGTTGTAAATATTTGAAAAATCAACTGCTTAATCAAATATATAAAATACTACCTGGTCTTAAAAACTGGTCCACTCACCTGTCGTGCCTTGTTTTATTTTTGAAATATATATATATTTACTCATAAAAAATATCCTTAGGATTTTTTAACTCATGTACAACCATGGCAATGTTACGGAACAACATGATGGGGGAAAGCGAGGCGCCAGGTTGGTACTATTGTTTCAGCATACTCAAACCAGGTACAAAGTAAACTCTTTACCTGCTTTCAATATCCAATTTAGGTATCCCTCTAGCTCCCTCTGTATTTGTTGATGTCTGCGTAATTTGAAGAAAGCACGGCGGTTTTCAACTCTCTCTCTTTCTTTGGCAAATTCACTGCAAAGTAGAGAGTTCAAGAATGAGTAAAAGATAAGTTTTACAAGTGTTGTAAATTTAACTCTTAAGGGTTGTAACAGTAAACTCCACTTGAGTTAACTCAGATGAGTTGTGAAATTGACTCAGCTTGACTCTACAGGGTTGTACACTATGACTCAAATAGTGAAAATAGACTTTTAAGGTTTTACAATACTGACTTAATAATTACAAACACTGACTCTTTCACTCGAAAGTGTTGTAAATATTGACTCTAATGCATTGACTTTGAAGGGTTGTACACATAAACTTTGAGGAGTTGACTCTATCTAAGGGTTACAGTACAACTCTCTTATGAAGGGTTGTACTAACATTGACTTTGAAGCATTTTAATCATTGCTTGGATCCGGTTTTGCAAAGAATCTTTGACTTTAAAGTATTGTAGGCATTGACCTTCAAAGGTTGTAAATGATTCTAAAGAGTTGAAAACCTGAAGTTTGACCTACTGTTAAAATATGACCTTAAAGCTGACCTGCTACATTGACATTAAATTCAGTTTGACCTCCTGTAATGATGTGACCTTAAGTTTGACCTACTGCAGAACGTGACATTGAGTTTGACCTCCTGTAATGATGTGACCTTGAGTTTGACCTACTGTAGAATGTGACATTGAGTTTGACCTCCTGTAATGATTTGACCTTGAGTTTGACCTACTGCAGAAATGTGACCATGAGTTTGACCTCCTGTAATAATGTGACCTTGAGTTTGAACTACTGCAGAAATGTGACCTTGAGTTTGACCTCCTGTAATGATGTGACCTTGAGTTTGACCTACTGCAGAAATGTGACCTTGAGTTTGACCTTATTTATTGCAGAAATGTGACCTTGAGTTTAAAATCTGCTATGCAATTTCAACATTGTCTTTGACTTACTGTAATGATGTGAAAATGAGTATGACCCGCTGTCGTAATGTGATATTTAGTTGTGACCTTGAATCTGACCTATTGTAGTGAAATGACTTTGACTTTGAAACACTTTACTGTAGCGTTGATAACTTAAGTTTTGACATACAGAAGTGATATCCAAGACCAAATGTGATGGATCATTGTAAGAAAAGTTTAAAGATGTTATGCATTGATAATTTCGTTGACAAGAGATAGTGCATTCCAAGCCTAACCTACAGTGTCATGGTTACCCTACCACGTTTTACCAGTATGGAATATACAAGTGTCAATTTCCTGTAGGCAATATTAATTTGACTGTTCGCTGTCTAGACTATCACCATGGTAACCGGCCACCGCCATATGCCTGCATTCCCTAGAGCCAACCTACTCCAAAATTATCTTTGTTGCTTTCAAGAAACCTTTCTAAAAATGTTTTGAATTGTTTTTGTACAACAAGCTGTTATTTCCAGAAGCTGAACATATAACGTTTTTTTCCAGAAAAAAGTTCTTTATATTTTTGTCAGGGTTTCCTTAATAATCTTTGCAACCCCCAGGATCATACTTAATTTTAAATTGGGACACATCGCCAAAAGAAGATAGAAAAGAAAATTCGAAATTTTATTTCCTGCACTGAGAGTAATTTTCTAAAAATGAAACTGCCTCAAATATCTATTACAAATAATAACCTTACACTTCAGAAATAATAGAACGAAACAAAACAAAAAGGAAACATGAACAGCTAGCGCTTGCTGAAATCAATGGTAATGACTGTGGTTTCTGGCCATGTGTCAGCCTGCTTCACAGTGTGGAGGTAAGACTATGTACAAATACATTATATAACCACGGCTAGGACCCTGATCGATACACATGTATAGGTTTAGTAGGTTCAGCGGAGTCACTATATAGGACAGGGTTACACAGAACCTTCAGATGTTGGAGATAAAATACCTCTTTTATTTTTTCGAAATATTGATCTTAAAATTATACGGTTTTAGCTGTTTGATAATAACAGAACATCATACACTTATAGCGTATCTGCATGATCATACTTCAGTAGCATACATTTACTGACGAATAACTGGAACAGCAATACTTCTTGTGTGTATATCCATTATTGACCTTTGTTGAGGTGAATAGGTGGTTTTACAGACCTGAGAAAGCAATATTGACTTAGACGAAGCACAACGAATCACAAATTCTATTTAAATGTTAAATCTTCAAAACTTAGGAATAATTGTAACTCAAAAGTATGCTGAACAAGAAAGTGAAAACCTTTCAGGATATTTTAAAATGTGTTGAAATTAAAAACTAAAATTGTAACTTTGTGAATTCAAAAGAATTATCAATTTGAATAGTTTATAATTTTTTAAGGCGAATATTTACAGTATGTGAGATAACCACTCAGTATAAAACCACAACAAGTTATTAATGAGACTACATTTCAGGAATAAGAGGTAAAAAATCTGTTCCCAGAAATTCTAACAACACAAACAAAATAATTCACACTTTTCTGACGGAACCATCCTTCGTAATGGTTGTACACTAACTAAACATAACAAACTGTGTATTTCTATTTGCCAACAATAATTGATCAATTTGTCCTCACTGTAGAGGGAAGAAAAGACTAATACGATGTACAGTAAGTTGGAGGAATGGAGGGATGGACAGACAGACAAATGGACAGACACAGATCTATACTCACCCACTGAGAACTCCTAAAACTAAATTGAGCATGAAAAATGATCCTAAGATGATGAGCGGATAGAAATAGATCCAATTGAAAAAAGGCCCAAAGGCATCGTTTGTCTGCAAAATAAAACAACAACATTATTAGCCAGACAATCACATAATATCTCCATAATGAAATAAATGCATCATTTATGAATTTGACGACTAAAATAAGACAGTTTAATTTGACTGTAACATATACTACTCTACACTTGGCACTGAACACTTATTAACAGAAATCAGTTTACTCATTACGATTGTAAAATAATGTCAATCAGCAAATACAAATGTCAAACAAACAGTTATTAAATATCGGAAATGTGAATCATCATATGTTGTAAATGTGAATCAACACATAATATGAAATGTGAATCACCTACAAATATCATAAACGTATTTCAAATTAATGTTTATGTCTCTGAGGCAATACACTTGTATATCACACAATTATGAAATACTGGTATATATTTTTATTATATATATCTTAATCTTAACCCTTTCACCCCTATGTAACTTTAGTAAACTCGACCATGCATTGATCTGGTTAAGTCCATTATGGTCTACAGTGGTGAAAGGGTTAAAGCCATATATTGCATTTATTGCCCTCAACATATTATATACGTTGAAAATGTGTTTATCGATATATATTTAAAGTACCTAAATAATCCTACAATAAATGCAGATGGCAACTGTAAAACGTGGGATCAAAAGTTGGGAATGGGCTGTATATTGCTGGGATATAGATTATATAGAAAATAAACTAAAGGCCTCTGATTTGGAGGGGTGGATTTATTATCTGGCATGGGCTTATTGCGGGATAATTACGGTAAATTACTTCAGCGAGGATCTGAGATATAAAATTGAAGGTCATAGGTAACTTATTGATTCAAGGTCGTTGTAGATACAACACATAGAAAAAACTACATAATGATCGACTTATGAATATGAATGAGATGACATCATCAGCGTGTACATGAGGATATATAATTGATGTTAATTGCACACAACTGTGTATTAACAGTTCATAAAGTCATGTACTTTAAGGAAATTAAAGCATAAAAAATAAATCTGTAACATTTATGAACATCAATTACCATAACAGCACATGTGTGCACATAGCTGTCACTCTGTTGATTCAGCTGTGATTTCAACAACCACAAGTATGAATGTCTTATTTTCCAACTAACTTAGATTTCAACCACAACAAGTATGGTTGTTTGATTATATATTCAACCAACCACGATTTCAACCACTATAAGTATTGCTGAGCGATTATTTCTAACTATAGCTGTGATTTCAACCCACACAAGTAAGTTGTCTGATCCAACCAACTATGATTTCAACCACCCCAAATATGGTTTTCTGATTATATATCCAACCAGCTTTGATTTCAACCACTAGAAGTATGGTTTTCTGATTATATATCCAACCAGCCATGATTTCAACCACTAGAAGTAAGGTTTTCTGATTATATATCCAACCAGCCATGATTTCAACCTCTAGAAGTATGGTTTTCTGATTACATATCCAACCAGCTTTGATTTCAACCACTAGAAGTATGGTTTTCTGATTTTATATCAAACCAGCTATGATTTCAACCCCTAGAATTATGGTTTTCTGATTATATATCCAACCAGCCATGATTTCAACCACTAGAAGTATGGTTTTCTGATTATATACCCAACCAGCCATGATTTCAACCACTAGAAGTATGGTTTTCTGATTATGTATCCAACCAGCTATGATTTCAACCACTATAAGTATGGTTTTCTGATTATATATCCAACCAGCCATGATTTCAACCACCACAAGTATGGTTGACTGATCCAACCAGCCATGCTTTCAACCCCAAGTATGGTTGTCTGGTTATATCATGCAACCAAACTGTTTTAGGAGACAGATTTACTCTTTTCTGAACAACATTGTCCCAGTAAACCTGCTGTCTCACAATCCAATCACTATTGCTGGGAATGAAGGTGCTGGATGATCAAGGCTGTGAATAGATTATCGCGAGGCTCTGAAGTACAGGACTTTGATGTATTGCTTTGGAGATTGAGGCCAAATGTAATGGGAGAATCTAAAACATCGACCACATGACCCCTGAAAATGGCTAAGGACAATAAGTTTCATTAAACATATTGCTAATATTGGAGTAAACGGTCTTTAAACACAACAATGTTTACTACACAAATTGTGGCAATATTATGAATTAAATTCTCATTTCATGATGTAGTTAATATTCGTTGGATTTAAATGAATTCAAACTCAATATGTTGTCAAATAAGGAAAATGTAAAATTATTTAGAAATGTGCACTACTCATTGTCCTTTTTCATGTAATGAATACACCTATTTTTATAATTCAATAAAAAATGTTTCTGACTTGGTGAAAACATCCAAATACACCACAGTGATCAGTCTTTACTGACATGAGGTTGAGGGCGTGGGGGTGGGGGCGGGTGGAAGGTTGGTCAGATAAGATATTTTGTTTTGGTCAGTAAACCTGCCTTTACGGACAAGAAGATGGAATTGGATCAGTTTGTCAGTATACATGTCAGCAAATCTTTCTTCAAAGGGTACTGCATGCATGTCCTTATTGAACAGTCCATAACATATGTTAGTTAACTTAATTTTATTAAACATCAGATGGGACTGGATTAGTCTAACAAACTAAGACAGGTTGTCAGTAAAGTCAGGGTTAAAATAAAAAGAAAACCCTATCTTTTTAGGTGTCCTTAAACCAGGTGGCGGTAAAAGTCTAAAGAACTGGGACACAGGATGAGGAAGGTTGATGACAATAACACGTGAGTCAATTATTGATAATCAATAACGCGGTACGTATACAATTAGTCAGCATCTGGTGTCACCTCGTACTCGAACACCGTAACGCTCATAAATATTCATCACGAGATTTGTAACAACAGGAAACAAGAGGCCCATGGGCCTTAACGGTCACCTGATATATTTATACAGAGAGTTGATTTGGTTTTTAACATGAACAGAAATATTATTCAATGTGACAAAAAACAACAACACCACCTTATTCAATATCTAGCATACAAATTTAAGACTAAAAAGTATTTGAAACTAGTAACACCGATTCTAAACAGGGAAAATGAAGAAATTTTAGCACACTGACTCTTTTGGGCCCCACCCTACAGCCCTTGGGGTAGGGCTGGCTCAAAATTTTCAAAGTATCAAACTGTCAACTCAGGGTTATAATTCCAATCAAGTTATTAACATGTAATATTCAAAGTATCTTTTGCCATTATAAACCATAATACATTTCGCTCCCCCCCCCTCCCGTCCTTTCCCAGGGGGTAAACGTGAGACCCTAGGGTCATAAACCTTAAGACCCTTCCATTTATGAAGAGTGTTTGATTCTACCATATCTGGGTTTTGAGAAGAAGATTTTTGAAATTTCAGCCCTTTTGGCCCCTCCCATCAGCCCCTGGGGGTCAGTCAGGGCTGATATGTGCATACCATCAAACTGTTACCCAATACTGATAATGCTAACCCAAATTAAATTATTTCCAATGGAAATTAAACAAATGTTTGTCCAAAATGTGATTTCCCTATATAAACTATAGTAACGTTTACCCCCTCCCCAGGGGGAAACGTGAGACCCAAGGGTCATAAAATTCACAATTTTGATAAAGCACCTTAAGACCCTTCCAGCTATGAAGAGTATTTGATTCTACCATATCTGGGAAAAGATTTTTGAAATTTTAGTCAATTTGACCCTTTTTGGCCCTGCCCCTCAGGCCCCTGGGGGCTGGGGACCAAACCGGCCAATAATTTTGTTGACCTTTGGCCATGGAAGGTTTCTGCAAAATTTCTTTGAAATTGGTTCAGGGGTTTTGGAGAAGAAGTTGAAAATGTAAATTGTTTACAGACGCACGACGGACGTTGGACGCCGGACGACGCCGGACAAAAGGCGATCGAAATAGGTCACTTGAGACTTTGTCTCAGGTGACCTAAAAAGGGTGAGATGTATTGAATGACAAGTTGGTTCGTTTCCAGTATATACTGTCAAACTTTGACATATTAATAAATGAGAAAAAGTGGATGTGATATATTATATATATTTACAGAGTATAATTAATTCAATCAAAGCTGTGCAAGAACTAGGTCACCTTTTTCAATAAATGTGACAGCTACTTGATACACATAAAAAAAAAAAAAGATTCTCTGACAAAATTAATATGGATTGATATCGGTGTGGTCTCCCTGCACAATGCCCAGAGATATTGGAAATATGTCAACAAGATGTATAGACAATCTACTGTATAAATCAGGGATTCTGGTATTAGGATGGACACTTGAATAGATGCAAATCTAGAGTACGCATATATACTGGTCTTCAATCGACCCATTGAAGATGGTTTTTATAGGGAGGGTCCAAGTTGCTTCTATAAATGGTCTCTGAGTGTAAGGAAATCGCTTATAAAGACTTTTTTTCTGTGTCAGTGTTTCATATAAGAATGATCTAGAGGATGTTTGTTGTCAGGATGGTCTCTTGTAAAAAAAAAAAAGGCTCTCAGGAGAGCTAGAATGATTTCCATTATGCATAATCTCCTGAAAGAAACGTTTCCTGTAAGTATGGTGACTACCGTAAGAAATTTCTCCTGAAAGAATGGTTTGCCGTTTGTATATAGTGCTCACCTACTGTAAGTGAGATTGAATGTCTCTTAGAAAGTAGCCTTTCATAAAGATGTTCACGTGTTTCCTAAAAAGATGATCTTGAGGAAAGATTCTTATGTTCTCTTGGTTTAAAACCACAAGAAAAGGTTGAAGTTAAAAGATCTAACAACACTTCGACTTATGCGGTACTAATTTTACAATGTGCTGTGCTTTTCAGTGAAATATTCTATTGATATATATGGCGACATTATTTCTGATTGTATAGATCAAGGAACCTTTATCCCAATGAAAAGGGCCAGGTCCCTAATATCAGTAAAAACATGACAGCCGTACAAGCACATTACCACGAAATAGATGTACAATTATTTTAGAAGGTGACTCTCCACCATTAAATGATGCTTATGATTCAGGGGTCGAATGAGTTCAGTCCCCACACTTACCTCCCACACACAATTATTATCCACTTTACAAGATATGTAATATATACTGCGCTTAAAATATTTTGTGTGACACCTACGTATTGGGAAGCTTGTACAATAAATACATTTTTCTGTAATATATGTCATATTTCCATGGAAACTTATTTCTTCATTTATCAATTTCACTGCATGCTCACAGTTTGTACGCACGAAGCTCACCATACACCTGCTTACCATCTGACTTAATGACAAAATACATTCTGAGGGCAGAGAGGCAATGATTGATGAAAATTGGTTCTTTCGGCTATGGCAAAACAATAAAACCGCGTTCCAGGTGAATTCATTTAGCAAAACAGAAATATTGATTTTATTCTGGATCAAACTCACGATTTTACGGGCACCAGATCAGGAAACTACCATCATGTTAATTCATTGCATGCAATGCAACTTACGTGCATTTTACGGGAAACTGGTTTTAGAGACTGATATTATTGGTCTGTGTAATGAGATACCAAAGCGCGATAAATAATCTATAAATTATGCATTCCAGATTGATTTATTTATATCTGACAGATCAGTTATGCTGATGTCCAGTTTGGTGTTAATGGCCGGACTACAAGCGCGATCAATGTCGTCCTTGATTGGTCTGTCATCCTATACCATCATCGCACGTTCTCCATTGTAGCCGAGCTCCAGGACTATTGATCAGAGCGGTCACTGTAAACGTCGGCAGCCATCTCTCACAGTGGTGTCAATACAGTAGTGTAGAATGACAATTATGTCAACATTCACGTAAAACACCACTCAATATTATATAGGGCCACACACTGTGTGTGATTTTGAAGAGTATAGCAGTGGGCAAAGAGGTAACAGTTTACTGGACAAAGCTGTAGATCTGAACAGTTGACCACAGTGAAAACAAACAATGTTGAGTGCTCAACATTGTTTACCAACTTGACAATGTAAAATTTCCACAGAAGAGCTCTGCAATATTGTAATGAAGTAGTGAAGTTCCTGTATTTCACTAAATATACAGTATCTGGTGCCCTTAGAAACAGATTTTCCAAATATCAAATCATATTTTGACCTCCTCATTCCCAGGTCTGGTTTGAATTTTTGGGGACAATTTTCCATTTTCCTTTCTAAATTATTCATTTAGCTGTAATTCCATGCATAACTTAATTCCGAGTTAGGATCCAGAAAAATCTAATCTAATCGTATACATTTAGGAAGCTTAGATATATAATCCTTTGTCCTATTTCCTGAAGGTCCAGTTGAGAGGTTTATAGGCACATGACAATTCAGCTCATGTCCCAAATATGCAATAGGGAGGTTTATGCACAAGACAGTTCTCATGTCCTTAATATACAGTAGGGTTGGTTAGACACAAGACAGCTCTCATGTCCTTAATATACAGTAGGGAGGTTTAGGCAGCTAAACCATGTCCAGCAGATCCAGAAAGGAAATTCAGGCTATTGATACTGTATATTTCTATCCCTCATTAAGACTTAATGCATACGCCTAAATTACAAGGTGCAATTATTGTGATGTGAGAATTTCCATGATTCGTGATCTTTTTAAATCAACTGAATTACTGAGCTAAATGTATAGGACTGAGTTAAGCACAACAGATGAGTGCCACTGGTGACTGCTAGCTGGGTCAGAAGAGCGTTGCAAGACATTTTTTAGTTCTACTCCCTAGCTACCCCTGAGCTAAAGGGGAATTCCCATTAGTCAAAGGTTGTAGGGCAACTTTGACGCTATACCTGGCATTATAATAAGTATGTGTAATTGCAAATCTTCTACCAATGTATTGCGCTGCGTCATGACCGCCATTTTGTACAGATCTCCTTCCTTACTTTGATCTGAGAAAAGCTTTATGCACGTAATACCTAATCAGGAAATATGCAATGTGGTGTGGGCGGATATTTTGGAGTAAGTCACGGAAACGGTTTCTGCCGACATTAGTACGGTTAGATCTGTTGTTGTGACAGCCTGTGTGTGCTGCACCAGAGAACTGATGCATGTGGCACGCTCGTAGCGTTACACCAGCTACGGAAATGACTGTACGTGTACATTATGAGACACGCAGAGCAAGGAACAGCAGGAAATAACAGGCCATCTCATCAAATATTTATTGTGCGTAGTTCTGGGCTGCTTTGGCATACAGGAAACCCAATGAATATTCATGAGCTCAAATGTGAATGGTTGTTGTTGAGCACTTTCTAAACTTTGATGCCTCGGAATATATACATCTATATGTTATGAATATTCATGAGCTCAAATGTGAATGGTCCTTGCCAAGGGTAAATACAGTATCACACATGGCAAACTAATACATGGTTTTGCAATCTATTCCGTCTCTAAAGCCAGACAATAAATGAGTCTGTTAATACGTATTATGGAAAATTCATGAGATGTGCCTAGAGAGATGGGAGACTATAACCAGTTGCAGACATCTTATATCTTAGATGTGTTCACACTCATGGCAGCTAGCGTTTAGATTTCCATTATACATACATTGTATATAAAGTTTGTACATTTAGCATAAATGGTTTCTTTTAAGGACAAAAAAGAAAAGATAGCACATGGTATATATATATAGTATGTATATATATATACTAATAGTGTATATACCGTATATACATGTGTCACCCTGGTAGAATACTCATTTCTTCCTACTGACTCGGCTAGCTAGAGAGACTTCTATTTATCTCATTCGGTAGAGTGTAAGACTTAAGTAAGCCAGAGGTCCTGGGTTCCACTCCTAGCAAAAGATTTGAAAAAATGATGACCTCGGTTACACATGCACTCAGTGCTAGTCTGAAATTCGCAAACTAATACCCAGATAGGGGCATATGCCTATTATTTAAAGAGAAAATGGAAACACTGAGAGTGTCCCGGCCCACTCAGTTTTTTTTTTTTAAGTATGTGGTTGACTTAAAAAGAATAGCTGGTTGGATGTTCAGACACATGCTATAATGTTGACCTGTACATATTCTGAAAAACACTTAGTAACAGCCAGTTCAAACTGGATGAAGCGCAGGCTAGAGTGGCTACTTTTGTGGCAACTTAATTTACTATAAAGGATCCCTGTACCACTGCCTAAACCTGTAACCGAAAAAGTCGTTCCTTGCCAGACTTTTATGAGAAAGAATAAAAGATGGAATAAACAGAATATAATCTACAACAGTGTTTTAAAAAAAACACTGCAGGGCTATAGACGCGGATTCGAACCCTGAACTTCAGGCTGTTAATTAAACTATCGCTGACCAAACTGCTTGAGCTACCTTGTGGACGAAAGTGTCCTGGCCGAATTTTCTACAGTTATATACCCAAACAGAAGTTAAGGGGAGGTTACTGTATATAGAAAAATACACAGTGCAGTAGGACAGGGATCCTTAATTATAATGAGAACACTGACCGAGGATTTTGTTTCATCATTCAGCATCATGGCAGAATTCTAAAAAATGCTGCTAACATTTTTTTTAATATTTCCATCAGTACATTTCATCTGAAGATTGGTTGTGCACTTCAGAGTCTTTTAACTTCAATCCAGCCAAATGGATGTGTTTAACCCTTTCACCCCTAATTGTAACTTTAGTTAACTCTTCCATGCATTGATATCTGGATAAGTTCATTATGGTGTATAGTGTCCAAAGGGTTTAACATGTAGTGCTATAAATTTAGCAGCAACATTGTGATATTGTTTTCTGCATTGTATTTTTGTGAAATGAAATCGTAGAGTTACGTTTGTTTCGAGACGATGTAATGGATTGCCTCGAACATTTGACAAATATAATATTGTTTGCACTGTCTGTATTACACTTCTGCTTATGTATTGATTAATGTAACATGCATCCAGCAACTATTTGTTCACTAGGACCCTGTGCTTTCATTGGATCGTACTGTTGTAACCGCTCAAAAAACCTGTATACCATGGATGTTAACATAACACACATGACAAGGTCACAGCAGTCTAGCGTCTAGTGTGCTGGTAACAGCTGGCTCGTATCAATTTAACAGTTCAATACAATTAAATTCTTAAGTAGATCAATGTTGTATTATTCAGTTAAAATGGCTGAAGTTTAGTCAAGCAGCATACACATTATGTAACCACACCGTCATTTTGTAAATTGTTGAAAACAAACTCAATTTTTTGAAACTGGGCTCATTTTGGTAAATTTTGAAAATTATGCACTTAATGGAAAAATTAAGAAACAGCTTGGTAATGTTATACTGTTATTTGTTGTTTTGGTAATATATTTATGACTCATTGTTTAATATACATGTACTAAAGCTTACTTTACAGCACTTAATTACCCCCACTTTTCAAATCTGTCGAATGAACCCATTTCCAACTGAAAAATATGCCCCTTTTTACCTCTCCTCAATTGGTCAAAATCTTTCAAAAAATTTGCAATAAAATTGTATTCCGATTTACAGTTTATCAACATCTGAATATATAATTTTAGAAGTTTTGACAATATTTCCCCCTTTTACATTTGTGTAACTGTTTTCCAAGATAACTGCAAAATTCTTGCCTTAGTGAGCTGCAGCTTACTTACATAAAGTAGAGGTGATCTTGGTGAGCTGTACGGCTTACTTTGGTAGCAGGAGTGAGCAGGAACCGTGTTTCCTCTATCTAACAGGTACTGTACCGATTTATTTTTCAGATTTACGATTGTGACAATAACAACACAGATGACTTACCACCAGCCTCCTGTACTCTCACAGAAAAAATAAGTCCCAGTAGGGAACAGAAGTCCCATTAAAGGACCTTAAGTCCCAATACAGAACAAAAAAGTCCCATCACTGAATAACAGAGTCCATCACTGATCGACAGTCTCATTAGGGACCTATATATGTCCCATCACAGAATCTCATTAGTCCCACAACGGAACCATGTAAGTTCCGTAACAGAAAAGTATAAATCCAGTATTGTTCAGTCATAAAGATACTTACATAATATAACACTGTTGACCATCCCTCCATGGTAACACACTGGAACACTGTTAACATGGCGTAACCGATGTTGTCAAAACTAGTTATTCCATAGTTTGGTCCCTTCCAGAAACTTCGACAAACAGACACATGATCCTGACACCTAAATCCCCCAAAGTTCATTGCCGCCCCTGATTTGTCGTAACAGGGTCGAATGTTTGCTTCATCTCCTATCACAATGTCGTCTGCAAAAAGGTTAAAGGTCATGGTTATTCGGTTTGTTTGTTTCAAAGCTGCATAATAAGTATTGCATATCTGTATTGGTAAACAATGTCTGAAATATCAGTTGAATAACAGTAAAAAGATTATACTGAATGGAGCTAGATTTAGATAATAATCACCTACCATTGTATACAAAATGTGGTAACCAATGGATACCAAATGTGGTAACCATTAGATACTAAATGGGGTTACCATTGTATACAAAATGTGGTAACCAATGGATACCAAATGTGGTAACCATTAGATACTAAATGGGGTTACCATTGTATACAAAATGTGGTAACCATTGTATACAAAATGTGGTAACCATTGTATACAAAATGTGGTAACCATTGTATACAAAATGTGGCAACCATTGTATACATAATGTGGTAACCAATGGATACAAGTGGTTAACATTGTATATTAAATGTGGCAACCATTGTATACTAAATGTGGTTACCATTGGATACTAAATGTGGTAACCATTGTATACCAAATGTGGTAACCATTGTATACCAAATGTGGCAACCATTGGATACCAAATGTGGTAACCATTGGATACTAAATGTGGTTACCATTGGATACTAAATGGGGTTACCATTGGATACCAAATGTAGTTACCATTGGATACTAAATGGGGTTACCATTGGATACGAAATGGGGTTACCATTGGATACTAAATGTAGTTACCATTGGATACTAAATGGGGTTACCATTGGATACCAAATGTGGTAACCATTGGATACTAAATGTGGTAACCAATGGATACAAGTGGTTAACATTGGAAACTAAATGTAGTTACCATTGGATACTAAATGTGGTTACCATTGGATACTAAATGGGGTTACCATTGGATACTAAATGTAGTTACCATTGGATACTAAATGGGGTTACCATTGGATACTAAATGGGGTTACCATTGAATACTAAATGGGGTTACCATAGGATACTAAATGGGGTTACCATTGGATACTAAATGGGGTTACCATTGGATACTAAATGGGGTTACCATTTGATACTAAATGGGGTTACCATTGGATACTAAATGTGGTTACCATTGGATACTAAATGGGGTTACCATTGGATACTAAATGGGGTTACCATTGGATCCCAAATTGGGTTACCAATGGATAGCATTTGTGGTAACCATCAGATACCAAATTTGGTTGTCATTGGATACAGCATTTACCATTGAATGCAACATGTGTTAACCATTGGATTTAACGTTTGATAACAACTAGATGCTAGCATGTTTTCAAGGGCGTCTAAGGGGAGGTAATCTTTTGTGGTACTCACCTTCACTGTTACTGGCAGAAGAATTGACACGGAAGCAGGCACGATGGAAAATACCAACGTAAAACTCTAATCCTACAATGGCAAAGATGGTGATCGCAAACAGCACCAGTAGACACACCTGCAGAAGGGGTGCCATTGCTCGGATGATGGATTTTAAAACCACCTGAAGACCTGTAATGAGAACAACAAATTAGACAGATATCCTCGTTGATAAAGTAGAAACATCATGTATGTTTCCTGATAATTTAGTTATAGATCCAAAAACAATGGTGTCAGCAGGTTATTCTCCAAAAAACTCATAAAAAATGGGGCAAGCATCAATGCTGTTTTCTAGGGATGATCCGAAGACAAGAAACTTTTCTTCTTTTTTTTTAACCAAAAATGAAAATTCTTCAATGTTTAACATTACACAGTTAGATAATAATCAGCTAATGTATCCTTTTGAATATTTTTTTGTGACTGAGAACCACACAAGATCAGTACACATGCTGACATTTATTTTTTCCCAGATAAAATGTATGTAAATCAAGAATAAATATACATGAAAAACGTTAATCCCAATATTTTATAAAGAATTTTCAATCAAATCAGATCATAAAACACTTCGTTATTGGATCACACTAACATTATATTATGTTTTAATGATAGAAAATATTAATCTATTTACAACCTTTTTCCAATAATTACTTTCTGATGTTCTTAAACCATAAATACCCTATAAAATGTCAATAGATCAATGGTTCTTAACTTTGTATAACCCAATACTGTATTTTCCACAATTAGCACCCAGGGGCTTTAACACATTGGCTTAAATGGGGGAGGTATTTAATGGTTTAGGATAAAAAATTGTGAGTTATGATAGAAAAAGTTGTCTGCCTCATCGGAAGTCCATCCATGATCACCAAAGACTTGAGTCTCTAGTTTTAACGTTTAAGTACATACTATAAATCATTGACCGGGCCTGCAGTTTTCAATTTCTCTTGATAAAGGGGGAGGGGTGCTAATTATGGCAAATACAGTATTTGTGTGAGTTTTTGTAAAATCAATTTGTTCATACATTTTTTGTTGAAGTTTATTACAAAATACATACATTCCAGTCATAAAATGATGCAATATTTCAAATGTTATCCGTTGAGATACTTTTTTCAAAAATTATTAATTTATATTGACTGGTCCAAAATACTGATTGTTTGCAATGTGTTTAATATTTGCAAGGTGTCATGTGTGACAGCAACGATTTGTTGCCATGACAACATATGCAGATTTTAAGTAATGACATGCATATTTGAGGAGCTATCCGCAGAAAATACTGACAGAGCGTTTATTGAATACTTGTGATAACAAAATCTCTCAAAAATTTTTGAATAGCTGATAAATGTTCAAAAGATATAACAAAACAGCTGTTGAATGAATTTTTTGAGTACCATATGTTTTGATGGTTCAGCCAAACCTTGAGTTTTGTTTCTGGCAACAATGACTACAATGTACTTATGAACCCCACAGAACATATGTTGTCCTCAAACTGGGTTAACAACTGTATAATAACAATGTTAGGTCATACGTACTTGGTATTCCGGAAACTAACTTGAGAGGTCTTAAAACCCTTACTGCTCTCAAAGTTCTCAAGTCAAACTGAGAATTTGAGGCATAAATTGTGATAAACCTGCAAAAAACAAAGAGAAATCCACACCATTGAAGCGCTAGGTTTGAAGGGACAGAGTGCTACAATAGCCGCCAATCACAATTTGGAAATATTTTTTCTTGATTTTAATTCAATATTTTTTTTTAAAAGATTTTTTTTTTCATTCTTAAGTAGTTTTCTTATTATAACCTATTTGTGCATATTCTGTTTTGATAATTTTACCATGCAACATTGGTATTTATTTATTGTTGTTATTATCGAAATACTTGCAGCTATTTCTCTTAAATATTTCCCCTTATTAAACCTAACAATTAGTAAATACATTTGACGCTATTCTTTTTTTAATTTAATGTCCAAATTGTGATCTTGTACAGCAACTTATCAGAATCCACAAATACTACAAGTGCAACATATGTTTCTATTTTAAAAGCAAACTTTCAATGTACATGTATTGAAGTATTTGAGAGTATTCCCTTACAAAACAATATCTAAATTTTAACTGTAAGTATTTGTTCATAAATCTTGAACACTTGAATTGCACGATAGTGGATTCTTTTCCTTTAAAGTCTAGCTCAGTTCAAATGCTTAAGAAATTCCTTTACTTCCAAAGGCAAATTGTCTGTAAATTGGATTAATCTACAGGAATTTTGGTAGGAAGCCATTTATAACAATCAAAGCTGGACTCGAAAGGAAATAGATAAATTGCATTTAATAGTTAAAAAAAGTTTTGGTTCTAAGCTTTACCAGAAACATGCAAAAAATAGCAATCTTATTTCTTATCACTTTCTTTAGATAATCGTAAAAGTCATCCTATTTTTCTTTTCTTATTTTGTTAATCGTAAATACAAGATGTGTCTATTTTTTTTAAATTATTGACTAATGTCATGTGAGATTCATGACTCACATATATTTAAACAAATTGAATATTTATCGTAAAAATAAAAAATGTTAAAATCTGTCATAACAACCTTCATAGAACAACAGCTGTCATACTAGAAAAATAGTATCTGCTTACACACACCTACTGGTAATGATCGCCTTAGCTTCCTTGTACAGCATTAATGATTCAGTTCATCTGTACTACATGCACTGTGATCTTTAATTATTTTATCGGGGAACTTCTAAAACATGCTATTTCAATTCGAAAAGTCACACGTAAACATGTCACTGGCTGTGCTATATGAACCTGTCTGCAATATGCAGCACACTGATAATGAACACAGAATTTCTGGACCATACACTACTTTAAGAACACATTTCAAAAATTTTCAAAATACTTTAACTACCACATTTGTTTTTTGTTCAATAGTGTTAGGACTTTTATTGATTAGAAATGACAATGACATTACACTATTATTTTACTTTGAAGAAGAATTAAGACAAACCTGTACAATAATGTTTAACAAAGATTTTTTTTACATTGAAACAGGAGAGGAGAAATGCAACAGGACGAGAGTGGAATTTGAGCCTGGCACCTTCAAACTTTGGAAGAACACGCTAAGAAACCAAACATGAGCAACATGTAAATAATGATCTGGTAAGTCACCCGGCTCAGTCCCGCTACAACACTACTGGTAACTACCCTTTTTACCAGTGAAGCTGTTCTAACCAGCTAAACCACATCATCTCCCAAGGCATCTACACATTGTACATAGTTTATCTACTAAATGGGTGCAGCCATTACTACAATGATCATTCCTACTGACCATTTTAGTTGGAAGTGCTCAGCAAAACGCCCAAGGGTAATTCTACAGGTACGTGGCCAGGGAGGGGGACCAATTGCAGACACCATAGAGCGAGCAAATTTACCATTACAGCTTCCCTCAGTTTTTTTATTTTTATTTAGCAACAAACAACTTACTCTCGATGCCTGTCACAAGTTTCAGGGGACGCAAGACCCTTAGAATACTTCCAGCCCCCTGAGAGGAGGGCATAATTTTACTGTAGTCTAACAACCTGGCATAAACATTATTACAGTTGTCATCAAATCAAGTTTATATACATCAAAGGACAGCAATCAAGATTTATGACAAAATGAATTGAATTTTAATTCTAAAATGAGTATCGATTCAAACCTGAACATCTGAATTTGAAATTACTGTATATTGCTAAATAAACTGTAGATACCATTCACGATTATATGATGAAACATGACTTTAAATACAATTAAAAATGCTATTATTTAATTTATTAACACATGTACATGGCGTGGCACAAATCCTCACACGACGATCGTATGTGTACTTTACGATGAGAAGACCCTTTTAATTGAGAGGATGCACAGATACTCCAACGCACCCTCTCAAGTCTATACAGGTCTTTGGATGAGGACATGTGCCACGCCCCTGTCATCGTATCGTACTAGGGGAGGGGCTTTGTCTACCGTCTAGAGTAGCCGTTGTTTACATGCTGTTTTTGGGAACAATTCAGGATGTCATTTCATTTCTCCGCGCGTTATCTTCAGCCCGGGTCATAATGACTTAAACTCCGTAATGTTACATCAATGATCCCGATCAAATAATTCTGTACAAATCGTTGTATCTTTCCCATGGTTATCATGGTCACACCAACGTCTCCCGCCATCATTTAAATTTTCTTCCCTCTAGCACAAAAGAGTTCCACTGAGATATCGCGCTGGTACCGTAAATACCATATATAGCACACATCTTTTCTCGAACAACGATATCATAAATTAATTGTGTCTAGGGACATTTTAACAACCCATTAATATTGGATCTAAAGATGTATAATGTCGATGTTCTAACTTTTTAAAACGACTCAAACCTTTTTTCTTTTTTTTTCTATTAACGTAGTTTACCGTACTTACCCTGTTACTACGACTACGAAATCCATGATGTTCCAGACGTTGCGTAGATACGACCCACGATGTAAACAAAAGCCCAAAGCAACTATTTTCAACAGCGCTTCTACACAAAATATCCCTAGGAAGTACATCTCAGTCGCTTCCTAAAACACAATTTTTTTTTTAAAAAAAATGCATTTGTACATACAAAATTAATAGGTGGTGCATGTAGTTAGTTTATTATCCAGGTTTTTTAACATAAAAATATATGTATAAAATCACGGAATGAGATCGAAGTCCGTGATAAAATATGTAGAATTTCCTATTTGTATGCTTTCAGAAAACAACATATTTTATTTCAGTTACAGATATACGTTACAAAAGCTCTGGAGACCTAGCTAGATAATTGAATTATTAATTCATTATTATGAATTATTCATTTATCATTATAAAACATGCATCAAGATATTTTATACCCGGCATACGTACCAGCTGTAAAGCCAGAGGCGTTCTGTCGTCGTCTGGGAGATGTTCCTCCAGTGCGAGTACGATGCAGTTGGCGATGATTGTCAGGAGAACCATGTACTCAAATGGCGTGATCACAAGTCAAGGAGTGTAATGACACATTTTTTGTTTAATTTTAAATTGTATATACATTTTTGAAAACGAAAAATGAAATAAACGACATGATAACAAGATCCGTTTACTGCGATAATTTTTTTTTACAGTATCTCGAAAGATTTGTGCCATTTTGTTATTTTGTCTTTTCGTCTCCAAAAGGCGTGAATTTCGAGCTTTTGCCTCAAAAAGACGAAGCAACGAAATGGCAAAACTCATCTTTAGTCACTACAATATGTTACATACGTAATTAACGTATACATTATGTAGATTGTTTACACTTTGGCTAATCGAACATATTATGTATACAGCAACGATGCTACAAATATCTTGTAACTGTATGTAATGCTATTTGGAAATGGACGAGGCATTTAGAAAATACTCAAAAACATACAATTATGAATAATTCGAAAACTAGAATACAAACCGAATACAAACGCGATGAGTTCAAGAATAAGTGTATAAATAAATGTTCATTTTACCCATTCTTGACCATGGCTATTTGTGATTGCTGCTCAAAAACTGACCATGAATCGATAGAAAAAAAGAATATCTGGGAACAAGTTTACCTTTCTTTACATGCCAGTTAAACATTTCGACTGCATGCTCAGACATTGGGTGGGAGACACTTGTTCAGAGATAAACTCGGAAAAAAAAAGTTTTGTAAAACCGTTAGTTTTAGCGGTTATCGATTATTTAAGACTGTACATGTCAGCAACACATATAACGATATAACGAGATGGAGTCTTTAAATTAAACACGCACCCTGAAGCACTGTAAAGCTATAACTGTTCTCTATCGCGACACATTGCCTTGTCGTTACTATACACAAAAAAATCAATGAAGCTTCACCAAAGCAAATTCAACTGTTTATACTAGTTTGACCTTTTAACCTCTTGTCGTGACCTAGATAATCACCATAGAAACATAGACATTCAGCGGTTCCATGGCTAGGACGTATTGGGAAGTTTCATGATTTCTTGCGGTGATCTTGACATTTTGGTTGTGTACATGTACATGGTAGAGAAATTCGAGTTTTCGGGCACATTTGTTTCGTTTTGTTGAATTCGAAGTCCTTGCAGCAGCTAAAGTCATAACAGGACCACTGCTCAAGTCTATTTGAACGTGCTTTTGCACTGGGAAAGCCGCATATGGACACTTTAGCTATAAAAATCCCAAAACAGTATTCATCTCCACAGATTTAAAGTTAAACGTCAAGCAGAGACCATCAAGCAAGTACAACTTAAAGGAATGTGGGTTGTCGCGTCTGCAGGGTCAGCATCAAAGCGAAAACGAGGTTTTGTTAAGTACGACAAGAGAGAAGATGATATCAGTTAGGAAATTTCTTGTGGAATGCAGATATCTATGAGGTTCCATTGATACATTTTCAGGTCTGTAGGCTTTATTATCCGTCAAGAAGAATTGCATTGTGTTGACCTTTGACCTTCGTTTCTGGTCTTCCGTCCCAATGAAAATAACCTCTGCATGATGTTTTTATATGAAAATATCCAACCCTTTAAAAGTCAAAACCCAGAAATGCATTAAAACAACTTGACATTTGGCTCCCTCGTGACCTTGACATTTAACTACAAGTGTGAGAGATATACGCGACACACTCTCCAAACATGGATGCATCCATCCACGAAGATGACTCATTAAAACCGAGCTGTTTAGAAGCTGTGGACCAATTAAGTCTAATTGACAGACTTACTGACACTGTACACATGCAATCCCATATACGATGTATTCCTAATGGATTCACCAGCTAATTAGAATGACGGAAATTCAGTTGTATAAATACATTTCTACTTATGACATTAATGATATTAAGATATGTATACATGTCCAGTAATCAGCTCATAATACTACCTCGTTAAGCTGGTCACAGAAGGCCGTTCTGTCCAATACCTAGTCTTGTTGCGATGGTTGCTTTTAAAAGGTGACAAATGTCAATGAAATGATTGGATACACACTGCTACAGATTTGTACCAGATGCTGCGAACTAATGGCTACTGTAGGGAATGGAAAAAGAGCCAAATGTTAATTTGTAAATAAGGACATTTCTATTTATCACAATAGTGCATCGGCCTACAGGAAACGCGTAGACCGATCGCAAGTCACCCCGCGTATGACGTCAAAGTTACGCTACCTCGTGACATTTGCCGTTTGTGTTAATGGATAACTAATAGATTTGTAATGTTTGTTCCGTGTAACTGAATTAATACGTGCCGTTTCGAACGAACGAGAAGTAAAATGTTTGCATCTTTGAATGCCCTCGGGAACCTCTGCTGATCTAGACTGTCTGGTACGACTGCTTGACGGTCAATGTATGTGCATATTGCCAGTTTAATTTTGACGGTAATGGCATCGTAATTTTATTTCGCAACACAAATAAAAATAACACAGAGTTGTAGTGGAGAACGAACACGATATATCTTTTAAACAATATTCAGAATATATTCATATCTTGCCTGTGATTATTTCTTAAATTCCAGACTTAAGGTCCTTTACGTCAGTGTATCTGCATGTACGTCTATATATATATATCAGCATAAGCTCGGTTCAGTTGAGAAGTTAAAGGGCATTTCAAGGTAGAATGACAATAGCCTAATTTGTTCCTTTGGCATTGTTTTATCACAATGTTGAAAATATGTTTGAGCTAAGAAACAAATGACATTAATGCGCAAAAGGTCTGAAACATTTATAAAGAAAACAACAAAAACACTATTTAATGACCAATTACAACCGGAGTGTGAATGTGTTCGCTAGATTAAATAAAAACTGTAATTTAACTTTTTTTTCTTCTCAAAAATGAGAGATCTTCTCCCTCTGTCGAAGATAAATCAACAATGAGAAGATATACTAGTAATCCATTCCTCACTACGTCAGACAAATCTTTCCAACAGCTGATAATATCGTTCATACACTCTAATCTTGAACCATCTCTACGTAACAGTGAAACGACGTTTCTGTCTTTTCGTTTCGGCGTTGGGTTCCTGATTTCATCCTAATACTGACGATGTTGTACTTTTTCTACTTAATTATATATTTTTAGAAACACAGTAATCGATGACGGACAGATCGACACCCATAATACACGACGACATATTCAGATTACACACTTTTTGATGACGACATTTGCTGGTACACAACTGTGGAACATGACATTAATGTTGACGTCAGTTTTAAGTTTCTCGGTACCAATAAGCGGACATCCGTTTTCTGACAATATACTGTAGTTAAACACTTCTTCTTCATTGAGCCACCCTATCATTTATTTTTATATAAAACCCGTTTTAACTCATTAAATAACACGAAAATATACTATTAAAACCTTCATCTGGGGTTCATGGGATCGTTATTTGCAGCTAAAACAACTCATAATGTTTTTTGAATGAGCTATGTGCGATTGCCTTTCCCATATCAAACAACATAAACCTATTGAGCAAATTACACATGCTATGTTCAGGCAAAGACGTTCACCACACATCAACACGACAACTTAACGAATGGTTTCGTGGCATGCTGGACTCAAATTGAATTATAGTGCTGAATTGGATGTTTTAACCAGATGTGTGTATTGATCGGCCGGGGAGAAGTGTCATCGCGTGCCAAAGAGGGCGTTCCACCAGCATCTGCACCACATGAATCAAAACCGGAAGTGGAATCATGCACGGGTATGCATAGATTTAACGCGCAATCGGGTCAAAACCAGAAATCGCAATATTGTAAAATGACGAAACGTGCACACCTACTGTACATTGGCAATAAACATGTTATTTTATTCTACTTTTGAAGCATAATTTGCTTAAAATTTAAGATCAGCTTAAATCAACTAAAACTCACTGAGTATAACTTTCCAGATGAATGAAAACACTTTTTTTTTTATATCTATGAAACACAACACGCTGTATAATTGATGGGCTTTGTATAATCAACGCAATTAGTTTCAATGATATAGTTTACTCTGTAATTTAGGACAATGGTTATCACATTATACTAACTAGCTAAAACGGTTTGGGGTTTCCAACGTCAATGTCGCTGGAGTAATTGTGTTTGTATTTATTTTCCTGGACTGAAAGCACTTATATTTCATTTCGATTTCTCGATACACTGGTCCGATCCTATTTAAAACTGGTTGGTGGGGAGTTTTTTTCAATGTCCTACGTTCGATTGGCATAACTTGCAAGCGGAAGTCATGCATACCAATGTACCGAACCAGGTTGTCGGTAATTCCTCGCCGACTTAATGCATTTTACACTCGGCGTCAGACCGCTATTCAATTTTGATCGTCACATGGATATCTGCATTATCGAGTATAGACGTAATTCTATGGACCCAAATCGTTTAAATATTACATAACGTTGTTCGTTGAATTCCCCTATGGACAGTGGGTACGGTGGACCACTGGCCTGATAGGATCAGCATATTGCCTGGCATTTATATCATTCGGAGATGACAACTGGAGGCATCGGAATCAAAAACAGACCTGGGCAAATTATTCATGGAACACAGCCATTTCTGTGCATGGATGACATTGAGATTGGCTCGACATTTGAAGCCGCGTACGGCGATCAGAAGATATATTCCATATATGCCGACGTTGCGGTAACATGCTATCGTAGCCAGTCGCCTGCATTACATTGAACACCGATTGTCTTTTTTGTGTTTTATTTTCGTCTTGTAACCTTTGTTAGTGTAGTCTGCTCCGCAGTCATATTTGAAACCAATTGCCAATTCACCATGGCTGTGTGACATTGTAAACAGCACGCGGCTTGTCCGCGGCCGACATTGAATCTTGAAATTCAATGTCTGCAATACATAGTTGAATTTATTTCTGGTAGAGGATGAATCGGGAAAAGAGTACCATTTATAAGAGTGTTGATGGTCGTTCAAACAGCGTATATTTTGCTGAAGACATGAATATTGCTTCCTTAATAACAAAATAACAAAACTATTTTTGTCTGAAGAAAACAA